TTTGCCTCTAATATAAATAGCATTGTGTTTGTACTTTTTTTTTGTTACAATGTTAGTACTTATTATTATCTTAAGTTTAAAGCCATAAAAAAATGAGTTCACTAATTTGTTTTATAATTAACTAGATATTGAGTGAGAAAAGTTTTTTTTTATTATTTTTGGTATAAGTTTAATCACTTTTCATTACTCAACTCATCAAGTGAAAAAAAAATTTGATGACAGTGTAATGTAAAAAAAGTCAAATTCACAAGGACATAATTAAAATTTATCTTAAACTAGTGTCTTGTTAATGTAGATCAAAAAAATTTTTGTTAATTCTATTTACTGACTTTTTTTGTAAAATTTAACTAATTAATAAAGAAATAAAAGACAAAAGTTAAAAAAAAAATGAAATGACACGTGGATACTTCAATTGGGCTCATATTTTTACAAAATTTATTTAATAAAAAATAAAAACCTAAAAGTGAAAAAAATAAAAAAATAAAAAAGAACAAAAAGGAAAAATAAAAGGAAAAGGAAAAATAAAAAATAAAAAAAGAAGCTCTTAGAGGGTGTATGAACATCCCATTGAGTTTAAAATATTAATTTCTTAATTTGAGGTATCAAATAATAACTATATTAATATAATACATATATAAATATAAAATTAAATTAATAAAAAATATATACTTTTATATATTTTCTAAAATGAGTCAAGACAAATATATACTTTTATATAAACACACTTTCGCCCCAATCTCGTTTCTTGTAAAAACTCAACCCATCCCATTGGATCCCGATTTTTAAAAAATTGACCCCTATTGGATGTGGATGAATCGAAATCCATCAAATACGAATTATTTTAACATCTCTATTAATCACTAACTTTATTGCAAAATTGATCTAGTAAAAAATAAAAGAAAAGATTAAAAAAAAAGTTAAATGGGTGTCACGTGGACACCTCAATTGGCCTTATTTTGTCACAAAAGTGATTTAATAAAAAAAAGTATATAAAGAAAAAAAAAAGAAAAAGAAAAAACCCAAAAAATGAAAAAAGAAGCTTATTGGGGTACTATATGGACATCTCAATTGAGCTTAAAATGTTAATTTTTTTAAATTAAAATATTAAATAATAACTTTATTAATAAAAACATAAAAAAAGAGGAAAAGGGAAATAAGAAAAGAAGAGATCAATGAGGTGCCATGTAAACATCAATATTGAGTTTAAAGTGTTAATATCTTAAATCAAGTAATAAAATAATAACTTTATTATTACATATGATACATATATAAAATTAATTAGATAATAAAAAACATATATTTTTATATACTACGAGGTGATTGAGGATAAAATACACTAAATTTGTTTTTGACTCATGCTAGTGGGGCTTTCTAAAAAAATAACCCAATTTAATTCGATACACTTTTACAAAAGTACTTATATCAAATCAAGATGAATCAAAAACTATCAGATACTAATTATTTTGCCATCATTATCAAATGGCTCATTTTGTTGTAAAATTGATCTAATTAAAAAAACACAAAAAAACCAAAAGAAATAAACAAATAAGGGTGATATATGGACACCTCCATTGAAATTATTTTCTTATAAAATTATTTAATAAAAAAATAATAAACAAAAAAATGAAAGAACAAAAAATTAAAAAGAAAAAAAGAAAAAAGGCTCATATCGGACTAAGTTGGATTGAAATCCATCAAATATGAATTATTTTGTCACCCTTATTCATCAGTTTCTTTGTTACAAAATTTATGTAATTAAAAAAAATGAAAGAAAAAAATTGAGATCTACACAAACACCTTCATTGTTTTTCACAAATTTATTGAAATTAAAAATTAAAAAAAAAGTTGACAAAAAAAAGAAAGAAACATAAAGTGTCATGTTGACACCTTGAATAAGAATAAAACAAAAATCAAAATAAGTAAAATTTATATAATTGATGGATGAATGAGTTACATCTTAATTATTTATAAATATAATATTTTTGTTAAATTTAAATATTAAATAATAACTTAATTAATATAATACATATATATAAATATAAAATGAAATAAATAATTAAAAATAATTATATGCATATATACACTCAAGATAGTATGAAAGATTCTAAACTCACCTTTTAACAAACCCCAATTTAAAAAAAAAAAAAATGACCCTATCACAATCTTTTTAAAAACTCACAAATATTGGATCGAGATTAATCGTAACCCATGGGATATGAGTTATTTTGTCATATTTACATCCATTAACTTTTTTTCCAAAATTTATCTAATTAAAAAAGTCAAAAACTTAAAAAAAAAAAAAAGGAAATAGTGAAAAAGAAAAGAAGAAAATGAAGCCAAATTGAAATGAGACATGGATTTATTAAATTAAGATATTAAATAACAATTTAAATAATATAATATATAAAATATAAAATTAAATGAATAATAAAACATATATTTATATATGATCAGATAAGACAAACACCCAAAACTCGCATTAATTTATATAATTGATGGATGAATGAGTTACATCTTAATTATTTATAAATATAATATTTTTGTTAAATTTAAATATTAAATAATAACTTAATTAACATAATACATATATATAAATATAAAATAAAATAAATAATTAAAAATAATTATATGCATATATACACTCAATACAGTATGAAAGATTCTAAACTCACCTTTTACCAAACCCCAATTAAAAACGAATAACCCTATCATGATTTTTTTTAAAATTCACAAATATTGGACCAAGATTAATCGTAACCCATGAGATTGAGTTGTTTTGTCATATTTATATCCATTAACTTTTTTTACAAAATTTATCTAATTAAAAAAGTCAAAAACTTAAAAAAAAAAAAAGAAATGGTGAAAAAGAAAAGAAGAAAATGAAGCCAAATTGAAATGACACGTGGATTTATTAAATTAAAATATTAAATAATAATTTAAATAATATATAAATATAAAATTAAATGAATAATAAAACATATATTTATATATAATCAGATAAGACAAACGCTCAAAACTCGCATCCAACTTGATCCTTATTTTTGAGAAAAAATTCAATCCAATCCCAAACAAAAAAAAAAAAACAAACTTATTGGATCAAACGAATCACAATTCATCATATAAGAGTTTTTTTTTATTCAAGCCCCCATTAATAATTTTATCAAAAATTTATTTATCAATTTTTTTGTTGTAAAATTTATTTAATTAAAAAATAAAAACCAAAAAATTGTGGAAGAAAAACGAAATATGTTACCATGTGTACACATCTATTGAGCTTTTTTCCAAAAAATAATCTAATTAAAGAAAAGAAAGAAAAAATATGAAAAAAATAATAATAAATTGAGTTGTCAAATGACATTAACAATGATGATTGTTTTAAAATTTTATATCATTGATTTAAAATAACTTAAAAATTAAAAAAAAAAATGAAATTCGGATGACGTTGACATCTTAATAATTTAAATCCTTAAATGTATAAATTTTAACATAATTAAAAATAGTCAGATTTGAAATTTTAACAACTGTAATTCTATTAAAATATTCTGAACACCCTAATAATTTTATTTATCCAAAAAATAAGAATATAAAAACTTATTATACAAGCTACCATAAACCATATACATGAAGATGAATAAAAATAAGCTGTGTTATATGTACCAACAAAGAATTACGAATATCTAAGCTTTAACATAAATCGACGAGATTCACAGCAATATCCACCTTTGAAATTACAGTACTTGAATCGAGTGATTATTGATTAATAATAATGGAGAAGAAAAAGTTGGACCGAGCAAATATTCCTTCTCCTTTTCCATGCTTTACCAAGAAACATATCTCATTTTCTAATCATGATTTTGAACTTGTAACTAATTTGTTCGAAATGAATATTGTAAAAAATTATTAGAATATCAATATCTTTCACAACCATGCTTTCTACATTGGATAAGGGCTAGCAATGTATATATTCTCTCTCAAAATGTGAACTCAATTCACCGAATAGAATGAACATGAACTAATTAAAATGGAATGAAACCCCTCTTTTTTTGTTAAAGAAACATTAATGGTGGCCACTCTTCTTAGCACCCAACCTTTAATTAACAAACACCACAAAAACTTTGCATGCATATTTCAACACCACTAAAGCTTATCATCATTTGACAACAATGACTCGAATAGATCCCCACTTATCCTCAAAATCAAATGTAAACTCTCATCTATCTGTCTTGGGGGTTTTTTTTTTTTTTTTGGGGTACATTCTATCACGCAAGATAGGGTTTTCTAGCTATATAGCTTTAGAGTGGGGGATGCCTTTTCCCAGTGGATAAGAGAATCTGTGGAATTTGGCGTAAGGGTACGTACGGAACTTGTACAATTTTTTTGTGAACAAATTATAAAAATTGGCATCTTTTCTTTGTTTGGATAGGATGGATGGCTTTCAGTATTCCCTCCTCTACCTATCCAAAATAGAAGAAGAAAAAAATTTTCCCAATTGCTTGTGGCTTCAATTTTCAGTTTAAAATAAAATAATATACAACGAGCAAATATCAGAGATTCAATTATATCATTTTGTGTAGTGAAAAAATAGATGAAATATTAATAAAGTAGAAATCATCATCCATTTGGTAGAGAGCAATCCAATAAACACAATTAAGGGCAATTGTATGGGCACAATTTTTTTTATGCGCTTTCCATTTTGCCAAACTTGTACTATCCATTCCAAATCACTTCTAACAAATTTTCCAAGCTCTAGAGCTTTTATAATTGGTAGTTTAATTTGAATCCTATATTATGATATATAAACCCGTTGAACCTTAATTAAATTATTCGGAATTTAATTTTTTTTATTTTGATAAAATGATTTAATATATTAATCTTCATTCAAAAAAAAAAAAGTAGTAATTTGAACTTGAAATGTCCATTTTGGAGATGATGTATAATTACTACTGTTACCCTAATCACCGGAAACAAAAATGCAATTTGGATTAGAGAAGCAAATTTGTCTTGTTTCTGATCTCTCTCTATCTCTCTATCTCTATCAGGTTAGCCACCTAAAACAATAAACACTTGCCTTTTTGTTGCCATCCGGCCCCCTCACCTTCACCTTTCACTTGCCTATAAGAAGCCTCGTCTCATTTCAGTGCTAGCATCCCAGAGAGAAATTAAGCAGCTGACAAAGTGAGAGCAAGAACGAGGACAGAGACATAACGGGCGGGCACTGAGAGACATGGGAGACAAAATGCAAAACGGTATCATGTTCTCTCTTGGGCTTAACAAGGCAAAGCCATACTTGGCAATGTTGTGCCTCCAAGTTGGATTTGCTGGGATGTATGTTATCACAATGGTTTCTTTGCAGAAGGGAATGAACCATTACATTCTTGCTGTTTATCGTCATTTGGTTGCAACCATTGTTATTGCACCCTTCGCTCTAGTTCTTGAAAGGTCTGACATCTCTTTGTTCTTCAGGCAAACTCTGCCCACCTAACTGTTAGCTGAAACCTGTTGCTTACTTCAATTCTTTTGTTTTTAAACAGGAAAATCAGGCCTAAGCTGACTCTCCCCATTTTCCTGAGAATCCTGGTGCTTGGTTTCCTAGAGTAATGCTCGAAACATTTTTCCTGGGGTTTATGTAGAATTGCACTTCATGGCATGTTGGAACACGTTGCATGCATATGAAAGCACTATTTCTTTCTTAGAAACCCGAACAAAAGAGTCAGACAAACCCTGTTTACTCCCCTGTTTGGGATCATTTTTCCTGATTCAAGCAACTTTTTCATATACTTACAAGTACTATATTCATTAATTTTATTTAATCTCTCCATTAATAATAATAAGTTCATTCAACAGCTAGGCCATGGTCAGATATATATACTAGTAACTTATCAACCTCTTAATTTGCCTAATTGCATGAGTTAATTATGAACTTTACAGTCAATGTAAGATAATTAATTAAATTAAGATAAAATACAACAAAAATCAATAAAAATAAATGTCTAATATCATGGTTGGTTGTCTTGATGATCAAACAGGCCAGTGATCGATCAAAATCTGTACTATCTGGGAATGAAATACACGACAGCAACGCTTGCTTCTGCCACTGTCAATGTGATTCCTGCCCTTACCTTCGTGATGGCATTGATTTTCAGGTACTATAATTAAGTTCCAACTCATATCCATAACGCAATAATAAGCGTGCAAATGAGGGGTACATGCGCAAACAAGAGGCAGCCATAATCTGTGGAAAACCGTGGGGGCCATGGATTGACATAAGCTCCCACATAGATCAAACCAATAACACCAAGTTGGAAGTTGCTTCACCATATATCCTTATTCCTGTTCGTTTATGATATCTTTTTTTTTTTCTAATTTATTTGGGGTTTATGCAACTTTTTCATATGCCTCTTATGGAATATTCATGATAAACTTTTTGGACAATACTTTTTTCACTTTACTAGTTCACATGCTATTGCTACCAATTTAATTAATAATTAATTACAACGATATTTTTCTTTTTCTTGCACTCGAAGTTTAAGTAAATTGAAATTACAATCAAATTCTTGTCATAAAAACATAAAATAGAAACCTGACCAGATATAGCAATTCTCTTTTTTATGTATGATTAATGAGCATAGATGTTAAATCAAAGAAAATCTGAGACAAAAATGAAGGAGTTTTGTTTTGATTAAGACTAAAATATCTTGGAAACTATCATTGGGATAACACTAGAATTAACTTTGTCAATTAGGTTGGAGAGAGTAAACTTGAAGAAGGTGCACAGTATAGCCAAGATAATTGGAACAGTAATCATGGTACCTGGAGCAGTTATCATGACTCTGTACAAAGGTCCTGCAATCAATTTTATAAATTTGCAAGGAGGAGGCCACTTCAGTGCCACCAACCAAGCTGAGGCTAAGCATTGGGTTGCTGGGACACTAATGCTCCTAGCCAGATGCTGGGGCTGGTCAGGTTTTTACATATTGCAAGTGAGTACATATATAAACATTAAATATTGATTCCTTCAATATCCTAAAATATAATGATCTTCCTGTGCAAAATGCTAACTTGGGTTGTGGTAATTTTGGTTTCAGTCGTTTACATTGAAGATGTACCCAGCAGAGCTCTCTCTTACAGCTTTGATATGCTTTATTGGGACCATAGGAGGTGCAGCAGTGTCATTTGTGATGGAAAGAGACATGAATGCCTGGAAAATTGGCTGGGACTCAAGCTTGTTAGCTGCTGTATATTCTGTAAGTGACAGAAGAAAGGTTAAAACAATGAATTTAAAATAAATAAATAAAGATCAGCAACAGGCATGCATAGGTCTTGAAATTCTAAAACTTGTGATTAACCAGGGAGTGGTTTGTTCTGGAATTGCCTATTATGCACAAGGAGTTGTGATGAGGGAACAAGGCCCTGTTTTTGTTACAGCCTTCAGTCCCCTTTGCATGATCATCACTGCGGCCCTAGGATCAATTATTTTAGCAGAGAAAGTTCACCTTGGAAGGTATTATTACAAGATTACACCTTCAATCTTCCTTTCCATAACTTGCCTTTGGTAAATCATAAAGCTTATAAAATTTCTTGTTCCCTTTTTTGTGGGTGATTTCAGCATAATTGGAACCGTTGTCATAATTTTTGGACTCTACACTGTCCTGTGGGGCAAAAGCAAAGATCAGCAAAACTCAACAACAGAGAAAGGTAAAGTCCAAGAATTGCCAATTACAGATGGTGCTAAATCAATCAACATGGAAGATAGCATCGAGGGACCAGCTAGAATTTTGAAGATCCAAGCAGAGAGTCCTTTAACTCGAGAAACATAATAGAATACTGTAATTTTTGGAAATTTGCAGCCGAGTTTTCTAAGCTATAAGTGATTTTATATCTTATGCTTCTGCCTAATCTATCCTCTGTCTGAGAGTCTTTTGTTGAAGAATAAACCAATTGTCGGGCTTTAACCTCTCAATATTGAAGCTTTCAAGTCTCAGGGTTCTTCATTGTAGTGTACTTATTTTGACTGAGCGCTTCAGTTTTTGCTATAAATATAATTTTGCAAGGATATAGCCTAGCCGTTACTGCTATTCTGCATATCTGTTTACTATATTCATAGAGTTCTTTTGCAGCATCTGAAAGCACATAGTTCAATATCTAGGAAAATTTCAAGAAACAGGCCTGAGCTTTAATTACAAATCATTTACAATCCATTGGAGCTTACCCCCACTATGAATTAAACCAAAGTGAATGCTGATTAACAACTATAAGTTTCTAACAGAAATTTGTAAGAATTGAGATAATTATAGTTTATATAAGAGTAAAAACATGACTTGATACTCTTAATTTGAAGTGTAAATAAGAGATTTTATAAAAACTCCATTGACAAAAATAGGAATACTACTTAGAAATGGATTTAATTTTGACATTAAGGTAAAAAAAAAATTAACACTTAATGAATCTCTCTCTACTCAAAAAAGAGGAGAATTTACTTATAGAAGTGTTACATTTTTTTTATTCTTGGATCAAATTAATTAAAATTAAAACTATTATTTTAATTCAAATTAATTATGACTTTAGTTGTCATTTAAGAATAAATAAAATATAATACTTGCATTTATATAAATGCATCCCTGCAATTTCAGAAATGCTCACAATTTCTTGCATAGCTACCTATTTGATCCCTACAGACCATATGATTAAACGAAGCAAACTCCACGGTAGAAACGCAGCAAACATCTTGATTCTTGAACACTCCAAGGATGTCGCACCAGACATGCTATGCTAGCTAAGCACTCCATCCTCAAAGTCTAGAATGAAGGGAAAGAAACTAGCTTGCCTTCTTTTGCTGTTTTACATCCCTCCACATTTTGGAAGTGACAAAGAAGCAACACGATAAGAGATTTATATTATTATTATTATTATTATTTGCTATAAATTTTGACAAGGTGACAATCAAATAGATAAACTTCATTATTATTTCAGATTCAAACTCTATTTTTCCCATACACCCAAAAAAAAAAAATTATTAGGAAGGCCTTAAATTTATTACCGACAATTCTGTTAATTTGAGACTCTGCTTTATAAAATTTTAATTTTCAGTTTTTCTATTTTATTTAGATCTAAAGACAAACAAGTGCTTTACACTTCATCTCTTTTGTTAACAAAGCAGGAAATAGGCAAGAGATTAAGTGTCTTATAAAAGAGAAACGAAAAGCAGACCAACCTATTTCCTTTTTAACGGTGTGTTGTAAAGGTGATAGCCTAAATCTGGTTATAAACAACACCATGCTTTTTTTACATTTAAAACCAAATGCAATATGGCATTAACATAGAAAATTACCTTTGTTTACAAAAATAACCTAATCCACTGCATTACTCGACACAACAAAGATAAAAGCAAATTTCCCTATCAACTCATCAATTCTATCAAGGACTATCCACCACACCTAGTATACAACTAGAAAATATTAGTAGGAAATTAAAATTTGGAATACATAATACAGCATCATAATCTAACAGTTAATGAGCGGGCCGTCACCGTGCAAGTCTCATGCAGGATTCAATCGCTGTCGTCATCTTCTTCTGCAAACATATGCACAGATCATAGAAGAGAACTGACACAATAGCTTAGAACAAGCATCCTACTATCTAAGTAAAAGTTAATAAAGATATGATGTTTGCAGCATATTCTGGTTACTTTCAGATACTTGGATATGAGTCAGGACTCAGACGCTACTACATGGCAAATGGTTCCATTTTGCATTCCATGGCTATTCTATGATCACCTATATAACATTAATAGCTCGATTCACTTAAAAATATGTTCTTGATATTAAATGTGTTTGTATGGTATTGAGTTTGCCCCATTTCTGAAAATTGTCACAAAAACTTCCCACACCCAGTTCTGAATTCATAGATACACATAGTACTACATAAACTATCCAAGGTATAAATCTCTCCTTAGATGTACCAAAAATAAATGTACTATAACAAAGGGAAAATAATCCATTAGTTGGTTAAGAGTGATAACTTTATTGTTCATTAGAATGCTTATGAACAATTTACACGCTCCTGTCTATGGGAACAAAGAATCTGCTAAGATCACAGAGTACATGCACCAATCACAAGATCTATATTCTCATAACTCAAGGTCCCCATATTTGATAGTTCATAAAGATAGTTAATAAAACTTTAAAGCAAAGCAAACAAACAAATCTGTATACTCACCTTCATCTGATTCTTCACTTTGGCTGTTGCCATCATCACCAGCTTCTTCATCATCATTATCTTCATCGTCATCATCGCCATCATCCTCATCACTTTCTTCACTTTCATCATCATCACTCACATCCAGAATTTTGGGCTTTGGTGGAGGAACAAAACTGATTGTAGACCTTCTACGTGAACTTGACACAATATTACTCGTGTCAATCCCTTCAAGTTCCTTCACTCTTTCTTTTCTCTTCCTTACCTCCTTGATTTCTGAGAATTTAAAATACTTCTATAGATTAATAAAAGTATAAAGAAAAGATTAAATAGTAGAATATAATGACGTTGTTGATGATGTTGGTGATAAAAACCACAAGTTGTGGATCATGACGCATTCAGCTTGAAGTACACTGCACATGGAAGTCTCTGCAATGCAATGCAAATTTTATATATTCCCCTACCTAATATTAAAACAGCAATCATCTTCCAGATATATGATGGGTGCCCATCATTAAAATTTTCAATTACACCTGAAGCAAATATCATCAACCCTTCCGAGTACTGACACAGAAAGTTTCAACCCAGAAAAACAAATAGCAAAACTAAGTACAAAAGATAGTATGAACAGGAATGGACATGCTTTAACTTATTTTTACATAGGAATCAGTTCTCTGTCAATTAACAGTTTTATCATCATCCCTGCTCATGGATGGTTAAGGCATCCATGAGATGACAAAATTAGTTAATAAAATTTCCCCTCTTTCCCAAATTTTATTCAAGCATTAAAGAGCTTATTAATCACCCAATAAAAGTTTATCCCACGTTTCCCAGTAACAAAGCTCCTTCCAAGACAAGGTCAACTCCATAAATGAATAGTAAAATAGTTGTACACAGGCTAGAATCTTGACCTTTTTCCAAGGGATTTGCAGACAATCCTTCTTTAGAAAGAATCTCCTCTAGTTCCTTAATTAGTTGGGCTTCACGTTTATTCTCAGGCACCTGTTTGACTCTCTTGTAGATCGCGGGTGGAACACTGTAAATAAAATAAGTAATAAGAATACACTAACAGCCAAACTTCATGGAGATCAAGATTCAAAAAAGGGTCAGTCAAAGCGAAACCTCATCCCACATGACTTGATAACTGACTTAAGATGTTCCACACGTTTCCCATATACTGGAGCAGAAGTTTCTTTTCTCTGCATATTAAAAGATGCTTAATGTAAATTAAATGAAAAGATGCATAACTTTCAGAAAATAGACTTTGGACAGAAAATGAATAATAAGAGGTAAGACCTTCACAGCCTTTGCAGCAGAAGATTGTGAGCGGCCATCATCAGAGACACTCCCACTGCCTTCTTCATCGCTATTATCATCTGAATTTGATTCTGTGTGCTTTATTCTCTTCTTGCTGGGCATCTCTGCCTCCTTTTTTGGTATTTTCCGTTTTTTAAGCCCTTCAGAGTTCTTAATCTTCCCTTTAGGAATGATCTTCTTTTTGGGTTTCACTTCTTCTTCTTCTTCATCTTCCTCTTCTTCATCATTCTCACCTCCTGATGAAGCAGAATTCACTTTCTCGTTGACCTTTTTAGAAGTTTTGCTCTGAAAATTTTTCTTGAGACTTTTTTTCTGAACCTCACTTGCTGGTGCAGAAGCTTCATGAGACTTTAGGACCTGATAATTAACAGAGAAAATCACAAGAAAGCTATGATGCACATGATAATTTAGGAAGCTGAATTGACTTCTCATAAACAAATTATGCCCACCTCATCTAATTGTTCAGTTATGAACTTCTTGTATGGATCAAGTGCATATTTATCAAGTTTAAGATCTTCCTCCAAAAGCCGACGAAGTCCTGCCATTGTGACTTTACTGAAAGATCAAAGATCCAATGTTTCAATGTTACACATCAGTATACCAGAGACACTGGACAATGATAGCATACAAAGCACCATGATGCAACATAATGAACAAGCAATTATATTTTGACTAGCAGCAACCAATCAAACAATTAGCAACTTACTCTGAATTAGATTCAACATATGAAGCTCTTTTTCTGATAGCTTTCTTTATCGTACTCTCAGAAACTTCTTTATTTTCTTTGTTCTCAGTTTTCATAGTTTTACATCCAGAAAGGCCCAAAACTGAAGATTCTTCCAATTTCTCATCTTCAGAGCAAGGTTCCTTTACATCTTTCTTAGGTTGTCGTCCTTTGGGTGATTTTAATCCTTCAGTGATTGTACTTACATTTTTCTCCACCATTTCACCAGGACTCTTGGAGCCTTCATTGTCATTGCCACCATCTAAACACTGTAAACAAAGAACAGATTAAATGTACTGATCCTATGAAAGTGAAATGAGAAAATAAAATAACACCTTTCCAGTCAGAGTTCACATTCCAATGCATCCATTCCTTCTTTATATAACATTATTAATATCCAAATGTTCCAATAGCAACAAGATTTTGATTTTCATCATACTGAAATAAACTACGGCTCTATCCTAAACTAGTAGGCCAGTTCATCGAATTTTTTCTCTAACATGCGTGGTCCTGTAAGTCCAGAAATACTTTAAAATGAAACATATCATTGTATCATAAAACAGGGGATTAATGGCCCAAAAAAAAAATAAAGACAGGGGATTTAAACTGTAGCATACTCTATCAACAATCAAGTAAAGAATGTAAAGACAATAAGAGGCTATTAAATTTCAATTTCTGTATTATACATAGATAAACCATTTTTTGTACTTTACAAAGATAAACTATAAAAATAGTATGCCAGATACAGTCATAGACTAGCATTTCCAATACATGCTTATTTTCCGAGGAAGGAAAGAAAAAAATATAGGGGTTCATGTGATTGTTTTCGCTAGTTATCTCTTGTTAAAATTTGTTATAAAGCCAAGGCAAATATGGAAAGCAAAATCATGACCAATTAAAAATAAACAAATGACTAAAATTTAACATCAATTTTAACATAATTTTTCCATTGAAAAGCAAAATCAAGCATTTTGCATCCAATTGCACATTTAGTGTATGCATCCAGTAGCAAATAGTAAAACATTATATTAAGCATACTTTAATTACCAAATGAGCAAAAGACTAAAATACATTAGAAATTAACATAAATGTTCCATATAAAAAATAAAATCATGCATTCCAATATAATATATACAATTCTTATTTTTAATATTCCAAAAATAGATTCGGCTTTGTCTCTAAAACACACCTTTTGCTTTTAGAAATAAAAGAAAGAGAAGCGAAAGAAAGACCCAAAATTTACATGAAGCCTAAATGAGAAAAAGCATCTCATCAAGAAAGTAAAAAGTAGCAGAGAAGGAATTCCAAAACTGAAACCCCCTCCCCCAAAAAAGGTACCTTTAACAGGCATTCCTTGACGAATCTCTTGTGAACATCCAATGCAAGCGTCTCTAACCCCAAGTCTTTCTCTAACAACCTCCGAACTCCCTCGAATGTCAATTGACTTACAAGAAAACCAAAAAAAAAAAAGAACCAAATTAAACAAAATTATCAAGTAAATCACGCTTAAAACTAAATTATATATTTTAATATTATACTCGATATTCACATTATTTCAAATTATTCGAATAAAACCCTTCAAATACCCGCCTAAAACACCTACAAATCCCTAGAGTTTAACCCTGCAATGGGAATTTCACAAACTTATGAATTCGAAACTGAAAACATAGTTATGGAAAATGTAAGAAATAAAAAGCCAGAGAGAGAGAGAGTTGGTGAGTGTACTCGGCTTGTTCCTTGAAGTGACCAACGCGAGAGCGCATGGCACTGGTAATTCGTGACTCGATATCTTCCGCCAGCGATGTCGCTTCCGCCGCGTCGGTGTCGAGGGTGGGGCTATCGTGCGCCTCCTCTGCCATTTGTCGGAAGGAGGTTTCACTGTTAACTCTTACTGGCTTAGAGAGAAAGGAAGTGAGCTAAAACCTTAATACACGGGGAAGAGGAAAAAAGAGGGACGAGGAAGTTGATGGTGTGGCAGGGTGTAGGATAATATAATGCTTCCGGCTGTTTTAGAGTGTTTAATCAGGGTAGAATTTGGTAATTTGTGGTAGATCCCAGACCTGAAGAATTATGATTGACTTTGAAAGGAGGTTTTTTCTTTTTAAGTAAAATTAAGTATAAAAAATCTTGAATTAAAAATGAATAATTATTTAAATTTTTATTATTTTATTGTAATTAATTGAATTTTTAAATGTTTATTATCATCAATTAAAAAGGTTAAAATATGTGTGAAAATAATTGTTTGTATTTTATTTAAAACATATTAAAAGAAAAATAAAAGCAAAAAAATTGATAAAGCATAAAGTAAATATGAAAAATAATTTTTTAAAAAAATTGCAATACAAAAATTGTTTAAAAAATATTTTTGTTACTGGAATTATTATTTTTTTAATTTTCATAAAAGTATAATTTTTTTTATATTTTTCATAAAAGTATAATTTTTTTTTTTTTGGTGCCGTGCTTTTCTTATGGACTATGGATCAAATGAAATATTTGGTAAAAGATTACTACTATTTTGAAACAAATAGAATAATTGAGGAATAAAAAAAATGAAGGATATTCCGCATACTCTCTGAAAGAGCCAAAGCGAGTAACAACATTAAACAAAACCGGATCTCGGTCTTACGGACACGCAAACGTGTAACGACGACGACGACAACAACAAACAACAAACCCATCTCTTATTGTTAAAACTCATCATATTCCCCCAAATCTAAAGCCAAAAAAAAAACTTCTGTTTTTAGGGTTTCCATCGAAAGACAATGGGCGGCCATGAAGCTGTGGAGGTTGCCAAGACGGTACTCGAAGTCGCTGACGTCGCATGGACCGCCATGGAATGTTGCCACCACCTCCACCATCACCACAACCACGACGACTATTCTCCCGAAAATCATGACAATTCCAAACTCGAAAAGGAATTGGAATCCCTAAAATCCGAAAATCGATGTCTCAGGAATCATCTGGAACAGAACCTCAAACTTCTTAACAATCTATCCGAATCTCCTGCTCTATTAAACGATTGTCCTCCTGACGTACGTAAATTTCATAATTTCTTTCGTTTGTTTGCTTTAATTTTCTTTTTTTTTCTAATTTCTGGAATGAATTGCAGCTCTATGCTCGATTGGTATCTACCGTAGATTCAAAGGACTTTTTGACCCGACTCGAATCACTTAATGAATCCAATACTAAAATTGAGTTTCCGTTCAAGGAAGCTACAGGTTCTTATATACTAAATCTTTTCTTTGAATTTAATTGTTTAATTGATTAACTTATTTCAGAGTAATGCTACGTATCTCATCATTTTTGTTTCATCTATTTGCGTGTTTACCAATGTCTAGAAATTCATAATTGAAGTAATAAATTACTACAGCATCTGGTGGGGAATATTTGCGGGGACAAATGTTGGGGCTTTTTTTTTCTTTCTTCCTTTCATGTTAGGAATGTATATATTGATTGACTAGTTAATATGGGTGTTTATTTGTTTTTAAATTAGGAGATGATATGCATTCAGTTGAAGTTCTGATCAATGTTGACCAAAAAGAACCGAGTTGGTGGGTATGGGTAACTGATGAAATGGTTCCAAGCAATGTTGAAGAGTGGAGTGGAATTGATGATGAGAATTACATCGTTGTTAGTGAGGAGCATGTCGTGGATGGGGTTGCCAACTTTATGGCGAAATGCATTTTGTCCAATCCTAAAGCTCAGGTTTTTTAGCTACTGGATCTGATTTTTTTTTTTTAAATATTTATTTCATATACTTTGTTTTCATGTTTGTTTGTGATCCTGATATTGCAGACTTTGAGCCCAGAAGAACTGCAGAAAAGTAAGTTTGCTGCTTACTTCACCTTGCTTTACTACCTAAATGACTTATCTTTGCTCATTTCTTTTCATTGGTATGGTTACCTGACTGGATAAGTGCTTCATGATAAATGATGGTAAATATTGCAGTTCCATTTTTTTGATAAATAGGAAATTGTATTACAATTCACTCCATCATTAAACTATATAGTGGAAGATAGGCAGCACTACTGCAATAATTACTAATAAATTCCAGGCATTTAATTCTAGATGTGTCTTCTATTTTCCATGTTCGGTAACCTTAATGGTTAGACATTTGAAAAGTGGTTTTCTGTTTTATGAGTATGTTGCCTGACAGTTGAAACTCACTGGTGAATTTGAGCACAGAGCATCATTTTCCATTGATTTTATAACTAATTACCATGCCGTTGCCCCCATTCTTCTAATCAAATGTGAATATTATATATTGTTACTTATTATGATGAGATATCTGCAGCTCTGCTGAAAGCATTAGGAGGTGTCAGCAAATTGGAGAAGGTTTTGGGCATTTGGCATGCTGGAAAGATGTTCTATGCCTTGTCAACATGGGGACTTGCGTTGGCTGGGTGCGTTTCACTATTCCTTTTACCATTGTTTCTTTGCTCTTCGTATTTGTTAATCTCCTTCCATGCCCTCAAGGTTAAAAAAGAATGGCATGCTTGTTCTTTTGGTTTGAGAGGACAGGCCTGCTGATTTAACTGTGTACGCCATGGAATCTTGACCCTATTGGCAATGCTTTTGAATCCTTGTTTAGAAAAGATCAAAGTCCAAGATACATTTTTCATGGATGATTAGATTAGTACTAAAACTTTATGGAGCCTGCTTCGATATTAGCAGGTGAAAGATATAAGTGGTTCCCCGCGCCTATACAACACCTTTTTTTTTTATTATAGCTTAATAGGGATTGTTATTCGATGAAACAATTATGCCTTTCATACATTTGATTACAGTCCTGTAGAATCTTTCGTTCTTTTGTAGGGATATCAATGTGTAGGGTGTTTTAAATTTATCTTTATCTCCGTTCCTATGAATACTTAATGAGAATGGATAATCTTTATATCCATAGCTTTTAACAAAAAATTAAAAATTAAATTTTTTTTAGCTTTTTTTTATTTTTGTCTGGTATATTTAAGTTATTTTTAATAAATATATAGATAAAGTACTGTTTGAACAAACTGTACTACAGCATAGAACTGGGAGCCCTATTTTGCATTCAGTACCAAACCATCAATAGATTGGAAATTATTTCTTTGTACTCCAAAGTTGTGCATATCCATTGTTACGGAAGATTTTGGTACCTGAAAGATTTTCTCAGGTGCCATTAGATTCTGAGTCAAGAACTCAAGCACAGTGTGCTGGGTTTTAGCTGTGTCTTTATGTAATATCTAATCTGATGAATTGACATTATCATTTTTTTTCTCTTTGACTTGGACAGATTATATAAGACCCGTACTATAGTGAAACTTGCTGCAATGGGTGTCCACACAACCAGCAAAGTTGTAATGAGGGCTCTATGAAGTAATTGCTCTGTAGCAGAGAAAAAAATCTCTCTGAACTGTATTAATGCGTGGGGATTCTTGTTTGGTTTGGTAAGTCATTGTTGATGTAAAATGTAAATATTGTAAATACATGCGCTTTCATTTGTACTATTTTAATGGATAAATTGTATTGATTCATGCCATGATTGCTGCTTATAAAAATTCTCTTTATACACCTAAAAGGTGGGTGGAGATCAAGATGTTTGATACCGGTCTTCATGATAAATTGATCAACTGATTCATCATCGAAATAAACATAATTTATATGTTCAATCATGCGACATTGAAATGATGGGAAATCGTATAAATTTACGAAGAGGACCACCTGGATGGCTCTCATAAGAATGAAAATAGAGAAACTGACAAAGACTGGAAATGCAATTCCCTTGTATAAACATTTATCAGCACCTACCGTGGCTACTGCCTGAAAAATCACGTACATTTGTGTGCACTTTAAGTAATTGACCTGAAATGGTCAATGCCAAGGGAAATGAATTCTAATTTCCATAATTTTTTCATTCCGAGTTTTATTGGTGAGCTTCTTACAATAAATGTACGAGAAGAGGCTTTCTCTTGAGATTTTATAATGTCTTGACCTCTTTCTTTCCTTTGTAACGAAGAACAAAAAAAAAAAAAAAAGATAAGCATTTGCCAAAACTAAACAGGTAGTATGATTGCCACATAGAATACTTATAAAATAAAATTTGAACAGGGCCCTAAAACTGCAGATATAACACAAGTAAATGTTAATACAAATAATAAAGCATCCTTTCTGCTAATTCAGCTTCAACTGTTTGGTGGAGGAATATCAGATACAAGGGGAAAGAAGTTATGCCCCATTGTATTTATTAGAATCTTAACTCAAACCTATCCAGCTCTTCTGAAGGTTAGCAGGGGAATTCATGGTAGGAGGAGCAGAATCTCTGGTCTGCAATCCCTCGATGTTGTCCACCTCTTTTGCCATGAGCACGGCACTGGCAAATTGAAGAATTAGACCACAGGTTGAGAAAGAAAATAAAATGTTTTGAAAAATATTCATCTAGAACCTTTTTCAACATTAACGACTTTGTGAGAAGACGAAATCTAGAATCTTTCTCATCTAATTATTCACTTCATACAAATCCTGCATATCAATGATTGCACAAGAAGATCCTTTTGTACTTGCAAGAAACCAAGATTCATGTAATAATTGCTTGTAAATATAAAACAGGCAAACATCGCAATGTCCAAAATGAAACTTAAATTGCTAAGCAAGAGAGACTCACCAAAAATTAGACGATAAAACTTTTGTACCCTCCTTAAGTTCATGTTTCTGGAGTCTTTCTCTTTTTGTCAGATGCTGAAGCCACCTCAGATTGAGCCTGACCAAATACTGACCTGCACTTACAAAAAAAATCAACTGTACATAGGAGGATGATAGAAATGAATCCCAAGAAACTGAAAAAGATGTCAAGGTTTTTCAAGAAGAGAAATGAATGATTGCTATTCCAGACAACCACTACTTCTATCAAGAAAAGCTTGAGAACTCACTGAACTTTTATCATTCAATTGACGAGACTATGGAATATGGATATATTAGGAGCCGAACATAAATTATGGAATCTAACTTGCAGCCAGAAAAATAATACTTATATGCTTACCCACAGGTCGAACATTTCTTATGATGCTTGCAGAAAATTGACAAACAAACGGAACATATGTAGCCCATGTCAATCGTATCTTTATGGCAAAAACATCTGCAAATTTCAGAATGCAATCAAGTGCCTTTCATAATTTAAAGTTAAAGAGCACAAGAATTGACATGTAGTTAAATGGAGGGAATATAGAGGGACATAAGACCTTATGCAGTTATGCTAACTCAGCAACATAAAGTTTGGCCTATAGTTTAGAAAAAGCAAAAGGAAATGAAAAATAAATCTAGTACTCCCTCTGTGCTATTGTAATACCAGAAAAATGCTAAAAAAGGATATTTGCAGCGTTTGAGCTAGAGTTGTTTTCATGCCTCACCTTACCTTTTCTTAAAAGAATGAGCATGATATCAGCTTGTTTCCTTGGTTAATATTTTGACAAACATAATCCATTATCAATGAGACAAACACAAATTTTAAGAAGAGAGGAAAAGTGTACATCCATACAAAATAAGGATGTTTTTGCAATTTACATGATAAACAATTAGTTAAACTTACGAGGCACGGAAATCTACCCCGACAGGCTTTGGAAGATTTAAGAAACTGCGAGAATGCAAGTCAGTAGCAAAAATAGTCTGCACAGAAGGCCAACAACGTATTAGTACAATAATGTGCCCACATTTTCATCAACCAAATGAACTTTAAGGAACATTTACAAAGAAAAAGACACTTTTAGCACTACACAAGGTTGCAAGGTATGGTTCTCATAAACTAGTATAAAACATATATTTCAAGAAATCACGTTACTTCATCAGTCTTTACAGATAGGGCACCATTAGTGGCAACAAGCAAGATTTTAAATCATAAATTCAAACTGCTGCACAATTGAGAAAACAGCATACCATGAGATATTGAAACAGCCCATCCAAATTTTGAGGCTTATGATGTACACCACCAGTTATGTAAGAAGCCTAAAAGTCCCATGCATCAAAGAGTATCAGTAGAACTAAGAGAGAAAGACCAATGTCTGTTTGTTGTTAATGACATTACTAAAGGTGCAATACCTGCTGCAGGAAGGCAGAATTCTGAGCACCTATGTAACAAGAATCTATAGGAACCTGTAGAAGGAAGCCAGTTAATGACATTAATACATTTAAAGCAAGACAAACTACACATCCATATAATTAATTAATTGATTAATTTTGTATGCATGTGTGTTTGCTGTGTACCTTCATATTTATAGGGAGAGAGAGAAATAAACATGACAGCAAAAAGAAATAAACAATGTGTCATTTTCACCAACCAACATTATGTAAATCATCCTACTATAAAACAAGGTAGGAGTGGTGGAATGACACTAATAATATTTCCACTAAAAGTTACAAGACCAATTAACCAACCACAAGCTGTCATTGTGATATCCTGTATATACATCCCTAAACAATTCAAACAGCTACTATGAAAGGTAGAGAGCATAGGACATAACAAGTCAAGGAAAATTAACTTCCCAACTAATTTAGTCATCTAAAGTTGTTCAAGTCATTAGAAGCAAGAACAAAGAGGACTAGGTTGAATTTAGTCCAATAATGAAATGCCAAAATATAAGAAACAAAAAATTCTGGTAAAATAATTGGACAAAAATATATTGAAGCGAGGAGAAAGAAATAATAGATGAAACACCAAGTACCAGAGAGTGTTGGGCAGAGAATATCGCATTCATGATTGCAACATATCTGAACAGAAGAAAGTCTTTCTTTAAATCTAAAGTCAGAACGGAAAAGTGTAAACAACAGAGAATATAAAAAATAACATACTGTTCAGGTCCATCTGGTGATCCCTGCAAGCATAAGATCTGCCTACATATGTTAGTAAACTACCACAAAACATAGCAATAAAGCTAAACAAGCAAATGCATAACAATCCACCACCATAAGTCAGTCATAAAATTTGCACATATTTAGTGTTTTTCTATCATATATCCATAGAAACTCTCCATTTTCTTCTTGTTTTGATTATGGCTATTCCCTTACAGTTTGAAATCAAACAACTCCAAATCTTTTGATGAATATGCAAAAAGGAAATTACATCATCCGGCATACATTTACAGCAACCACAATTATATATATCCTCTATACTCAAACAAATATCTTTCTCTCTTTGTTGTTGCTGAAATCAATAAACTACCATTGACTCAATAACAGAGAAAATTAAAAAAAAATGCAGTGGTCAATATTACCAACAATATTGAAACTGCACTGTCCTTCCAGATGCACTGGTCTCAGTACCATAATGCCAGCAATACTCTTAGATGTCATCAAAGTAATATCAAAAATGATGACACAATAACATGAGGAATTGAAAATGGACATCCTCATGCTAGCATTAGACACATTGTTCTAAAGATGGCATTTTGAACATAAGAAGATAGATGAATTTCCACCAGCTCTAGTACTTAACAAGTTACATATGCAATTGATATGAAAATATTCAAGCAATGTACAATTACAGAACACACACACACACACAAAAAAGGAAGACAGAGAAAGAAAATAAAAATGGGTGTATCTATAATTATTATTTTAGTAGAAGTGCAGCATCAAGGAAATAATAATGCTATTCAGTTTCATACAGCAAATGAAAGCGTAGTAAATGCATAATTGCTGGATAAATTTTCAGATACAAACTATCAAACTTGGCAGACAAATCAAATTGCAATCAAGTATTTAAAGACTCACTCGAGGATGAGGATGCAGGGCTCCTGAGCGAAACACTCTCTGTATATCTATTAAAAATCTAATTAAATCAAACAAATTGTAAAGGACATATTCACAAAGTCCAACATAATGTAAATATCTTCTGTTTCCTATGCACTTTCCATGCAACTGAATGATAACTACCCACACAACAGCACTTGCTATGAAACAACCAAATCCCTTACATGGATCTATAACAATATTACCAACACAAACCCATTGAATCTCCTATAAAGCTCAGTTTACCGTGAAGAAAGCAAACATTAACATCAAAAGAAGTAATGAAGCACTAAAAGACCAGAAAGGATACAACAAAGAGCCATTGACAATGATCCTGACAAGAGGGAAGACTTAATCCTTCCGTCAGGTTCCTCCTTGCTAAACTGCTCGTCTTTAATAAGAAATTCCTCCAACTTTTGCAACAAGCTGGAGCACATAACAGGCATTCTGCCATTCTCAAAACTCCGGTTCAAATCCGAAGACGAATCAAAGATATAGTCACAAGAGTTATATCCAGTAGCAATAACCACGACTTGGTTTAGTTGATTAAGAGTCAATATTGCATTAAAAAATGCAAGAACCTATACAAACACCAACATACAAATTAATAAAATGCAAAAGTCAATTAATCTTCTATCTTGATTTGCTTTAAGTTTAGGGTTTTGGATAGAGAGAAGAAAGATTACATGAGAAAGAAACTGAGAGAAAGAGAGAGAAGAGGAGCTCCAAAAAAATGGGTTAGTGTCTAGCAAAACCACCACAAGGCTAACATCATCTGCAGATAACAATAATAAATTTATCAAAAAAAAAAAAACCCAAGAAGGAAATCAGTCAAAATTAAGTGAATATAGAGAAAAGTTAAAAAAAGGGAAACCAGCATAGAGCTTGGAAGGAGCTGGAGCCATGAGGAGGCAGCTTCTCCTACTAATTTTTTTTTTTACTATTTCAAGATTGGTTTTTCTTTAATCAGCAAGATTTCAGTGAATTGGATTCCTGCGAAAATGGGAATCACAGCTCACTGGAATCTGGGATGAAATTGTTGCTGTTCTTGTAGCCGCTGATTGCTGATTGCTGATTGCTTAGCTGAGGACATTGCAGGGTTTTGCATACAATGGGCCGGAGAGCAGAGGAAGTCCTCAAGGGACAGCTTTTGGATGGCTCAATTGGGCCCATTTGTAAGATATACTGTTCGTTAAAGAAAAACAATATCCCTTCCTTGTTTTTCTTCCTTTTTCTCCACTTGTTGATATACTGTTCAAAATAGTAATTCTTTTGGATTCCATGAAATCCTATTTTAAAGTGCAAAGTCCGTGTAATTATGACATCGTTAGAATTTTAGGACCACAGCTACACTACCTGAGCCTTTTTGAATTGAACCAGTATGTACGGTCCAATATTCTTTACAATCAGCAGATCTTAATGGAAATTAATTCATGTCCGTGGTGGCTGGTGGCAATCTGAAAGCTTTTTAATTGTCTTTCAACGGAAAATCTGAATATCTGATAACATGCTAGCGGTGATTTAATAGATCCGTCAATTTTAAATATTATACAATGAGATAATATAAAATTAATAATTTAAAATTTTAACAATAATAGTATAAAATTTTAATAAAAATAAAAATAAAAATAAATATTTCATGATATATCATACAATTTATGATACTAATTTCTGACATAAATTCATGAATTATTAAATACAACATTTAGCAAGTAGCAAAGCAACTCCTTGGAAACAGTTGCAAAAGTTTTGTAAACCCCAAACTGGGAATCTTTACCATCTGCCAATCCGAAAATGAACTTACCAAAACCAAAAATATTGGAAAACGTTAACATCAGTGATATACTACCTCATAAAAGCAGCGGCCGAAAGAATAATCATGAGTAGGAAGTTGTACTGCTCAAGCTCAACCTCCCCTAGCAAAGGGACGGGTTCTAAGCATTCCAAACCCACAATGCCCTGGTTCCAATTATTATTTTCACTTCAACCTTAACACACTCTGATCCTGAAGGCAGATATTTCGCATCTAATGTCTGCTTGTTTACATTTGAAGATTTAAAGATTAATATTTGTCTACAAAACTCTTGTAACCATATTTGATTTTATATGCAACATCCTCTGTTAAAGCAGCGGTACACTGATTCTTTCATGCTATATATCCTGTAATTTTTCTTTCCAATGGCTGCAAGGTCAGATCTGAGATGTTCAAAACTAGCTATTGTCATGTTGTTCCCCGCTCATGAGTATTGTAGCACAACCAAGACATGTCAACAAACTAGCTCGCCCAGAACTTCCAGTGTTAACTGGTTTCTAACATTAAAAAAGGCCTCAAAACCAAAGTAGCAGATGTGTAACACCAGATTATAAAAATATTACCGTACTGAAAACACAGAGTCAACTTATATACACCAATATTGCAACATTCTGCCAACACATTATTCATTTCACATGCCTCAAAGACAACTCTTACAAATTTATATCCACCCAACAATCCAAAATCAATAATGATTCCCTTTTATAATATCCACAAAGTAAAAAACAAAATCATGAAACATGGACACACAAGGCAATAAAAATCTTACCAGTCCTGCAAAGACAATGCAGCGATCCAAGTAACTTCACAAAGCTAAGAAAATTTAATAAACAGAAAGGCAACTGCCCATGAATTGCACTGTACGATTAGAAATCAAGTAAATTAACTTACTATTGCAATTTGACAGCCCATCGCAACATCGTAATGCAGTCATGATGAATAAAGTTACATACAACAGACAAGTGGGACAGGTCAAAAACTAAGCAACCTTACAAAACAAAATCCCACCAAAACTTACAAGCAAAATTACAATGAGAAGGTTGAGATTAATTTGAATATTTGATAAGAAAGTATATCACAAGTGCAGTAGGAAGAGCAGCCACCGAATTCACCAATGTGGAAGCATCAGATAAACTTCCAATAGGGGCACCTGCCGGGGGAAGTCCAGGAAGTGACCCAGTAGATGGGAATGAAGTCTTGGGCACAGTTGTTGTGGCACCATTTGACTGGGGTGCAGGTGCTGGGGCAAAAACTGAATCCCGTGTTACATGAGTAGGAGGTGCTACAAGGGGAGGAAATTGCTGCGGTCCTGCATTATTTTTTGAAATACAATGCAAATTTAAATCAGTCAACAAGCCTTCTATAAGCATCTGGAAATATTTGTGAATTCTAAAAGGTAAATTGCTCATGTTCAACTCCTCAACATTTGAAGTTACATGTCTTGTCAAAGAAACTGAAACTTTCATTTCTTTTAAAAAAAGAAGTACCAGAACTGTCAATAAATATGCCTCAGCATAGGTAACAAATAAATTCAGTATTTTGAAGAAGAAATAAATATTATTAGTATTTGCAGATGCTACAACAAAAAAAGATCAGATAAATAACCCCAGATAAGAACTATCTCATTCCACTCCATTCAATTACCAAATTCAATCATTTTAATCTCTCTCAACGCAAAAAGGAAATAAACACATTCACATTGCATTCGATTAGGGAAGTCCAAATCAACCTAAAATTAAACAATTTCTTGCCTTCATGCATTTTGGAATAACAGGCTATGAGAACAATGTTTTACAAACTCATACCTGGACATCTGGGTTGAAGAGAGGATGACAACCTGCAGAACAAAGAAAATGGTTGAAAGGGTTCAATCATTGGATAAAACTCAAACACAAAGATCACTTTTCACATGGCCATCAATAAAAATTAGGCAAAGAATGTGGCATACGAAGTAATAATGGTGCCATTCGCATAACCAGCATAAGCACAAGAAGTAACATTGCATCCAGCACTACTTTGCTGCACTGTAACGTTCCCTAGCATAAGATTGCTGCTTTTACATTGCATGCTTGAACAAGAAACAGCTAAAGAAGCAGGCATGCAGTACAAACTGTACAACACAATCAGTAAAGGTGATTAAGTCCAGACTGTTAGATCTAGCAAAATGAATCCCACACAGTAAAGACTATTATAATTGACAACTAATAAACCAATATGCTAAGAAACAGCTCAATTACTTGTGACTGCCAGGCCCACAGCTGCACTGAACACAGTGGCTAGCAGTAATAGCATAGCTCCCATTGGGTACGATCAATCCACGATCTGAGGCATATATAGGAAAATTCGAAGCACAAGCTGCGAGAACAGAAAGAAACAACACTTAACCTCCATTGCTCTTAGGAAAAAGACAAACAAAGCAAAAGCATAAAAACGCATAACTCAATTCCGAAGCTGAGTATAGATATTCACAATTATTGCATTAGCTTGAACTCATCAGCCCTACAAACTATTAAAAGGATAAAATTCAACTAATACTACAAAAGGTTATAGCAATACCATTTGCAGCAATTATAGAAAGCCTAATCCTAGTATCCTACTACATAAGCAAGTCTAAAAAAAATCACCTCTACAGCTAAAAACATACAAGATAATGGCATTGGCTTTAGATAATTAAAGCATTACAATTTTCAATTTTAATGTCACCCACACATTCTACCAAAACAAGGCAATGAAAAACTACCTGATAAAGGAACAGCTAGAATATCACCAGCCTTAATAGAAGTACTCCCCATAGCGTTAACATTCATCAAATCAGTGATCGTAGTTGAATAACTCGCTGCAATTCCAGCTAACGTATCCACTGCCTTCACCACATACGATAGATAAATAGCCGGCAGTCCATTATCAGTCCCGTTAAAACAAGTACACGGCAAAGGAACCACAAGGTTCTCTCCCACATCAAGAACAGAAGGATCAGCAATCGAGTTAGCCTCCCTAATCTGATCAGCTGATACCAAACCAGCATAAATGGAATCAGCAATCGACGAAAGCGTGTCCTGAGGGCGAGTTTTGTAGTGAATGGAAACGGATTTTCGAATACCATCAACACAGGAACAGAGGATGGGGATCTTGAGGAAGAGCTGAGGAGGAAGGATGTGGTTTTCGACATCGGGGTAAGAGATATCGATGGCGTTGGCAGTGAGGACCGAAATGGGGTCAACCTGGAAGAGGGAAGCAACCTCAGCCACTTTCAGGTCTGTGTAGAGAGTGTATCCCAGCAAGGCGCTGCAGGAATCAGAGTTTGAACAGGGCTCGATTGTTGATTTGGCCGTTACCAAAGCTACATTGATGAAAATCATGAAGCAAGTGGCTTTGTAGAAGAAGAAAAAAGTGGGTTTTCGGTTTAGCATTGATAGGTTCCTGTTGTTGCTTGTTCCTCTACAGTTAAAAGCAGGGGGAAAAGAGTGGTGGAAGAATGTAAAGAAAAGAGCTTTGCTTTGGTACTCAAAGCTGGGTTCTTTTCTTTACTAAGGGTTTTGGGTTTTAGACAGAAAATACAATAAGGGAGCCAAGATGTGAAACCAATAAAAGATGGGTTTTTTTCCTCTTTGCTTCTTTGGGTTCAATCAAATGATTAAAAACAATGGACTTGAAGGTTTCTAGGGTTTGTTCGGCTGCCTTTTATCCACCACTCTCAACAAAAACCAGTACTATTTGCTTACGAAAAAGAAAGAGTTAGCAAAATGCAGAAACTTTGAGACTAGAAATATGGCTACTTCGAGGCTCAAGCTGGGTAAATTTCACGGGTTTGGGCTTCTCTTTTTTCTTTTTCTCTTTTTCGTAAAATGGCCTACAGCACAGAACAAGAAGAAAGAGAAAGAAAGGATTAAAGACGAATGGAGCTGAGGAAGGGGACAAATATGGTTGCATAGAGACAACAGACACAGGTCAGATTCTCGATCTTAGAGTCCTCAACCATTATTACCTTTTGCGATATTCTATTTACACTCAAAAATACTTTTCACGTACATATATTAAATAACACCCAATTTTAAAATATAAACTTTTTTTTTTTTAATTACATCCCACCTCAATCTTTTTTCCATTCATTGTATTTACACTCATTCAACTCTTTTCTTCTTCGTTATTTTCCTTCTTCAATCGGCCCTGATCAAATCTACTTCAAATTCAATCATAAAATCATTGAGTATACCCTTAAATCAAAAGTTTTTGACTAATCATTGTATCCAAAAATAATATTTAGTTTATTATTTATTTAATATTATTTAAATAAATTTAAATTTATAATTTTTTCACAAAATTGTATATTACAAAAAAATATTTTTATAAGTTACTGAAGCTTGACGAAAATATATTTCTGTATGCTTTTATAAGTTTATGGTTTTGAATTTTCATAAACTTAACAAAAATAATTTTTTGTAAGTTTTCATAATTATAAATTTAAAAAAAAAATGTATGAGGATTAAAAACGAATTTACTAAAAATTTACTAAATTATTTCATTTAAGGATAATTTTGTAATAAAAATTAAAAGTATAAGCATTATTTGGATTGACTTTAAAAGCTCCCTTACAACATTAAGACTAATCTGTCCCTATTCTCTTCCTATTTCTCAATTTAAGAAACTGATGTTGGCTAGGCTATAAAAAATAGCGTATCCTTTTCAGGCGTCGAGCAAAGGTAAGGAATTTTTTGCATTTTTCATTCTTGAATGTTGCGGCTTTGGATATAATTAAGGTGTAATCGAAGATATAGTAAAAAATTTGAGTTTAATTTTTAATTTGAAGTTTGATATTTAATTTAAATTCGATTGAATTTTATTTTTTAATTTAAATTTAATTTATGATTAAAATTAAATTACTTAAATTTATTTGATTAAATTTAATTAATATATTAAAATAAATTTAATTTTTATATTCGATAAGAGTTTGATTATTTATATTTGAACTCGAATTTAAGATATTTTATTAATTAAAATAATAAAAAAAATTTAAATATAAAAATTTAATTAAATTTGTGAACTATTCAAGTCGGATATAAAAATATTTAAATTTAATTCGATCGATAAATTAAACTACTCAAACTCGATTCAATAATAATCGAACCAAATTCAAATTTTATTCTAATAAAACTTGAATAACTTATCGTATTAATATATTATTTACATATCTAGACATCACATGCTAAAGCATTCCTAATGCTCCTCCCCACGCTTCAAATGGGCACGTGTGGTTCACTTTTCAGAGTTGAAATGTCACGTGATACGTCCGTGACAACTAACGAAGCCCATCATACGCGATAGTCAAACCCGTCATGCCAGCCAGTCTCTCGACGGATTTATTCGTTCAAACTTGAAAGTTCAAAGACTGAAATTTTTTAAAAAATTTAAATTTAATTTAATTAATTTAAATAATTATTTTTAAAAATAATATTTAATAAATTTATAATTTAAATTTTAATAATTATAATTTTTTATTTTCAAATTACATTATCCTGTATAAAAAATACTACTTACTACTCTCTCTGTTCTCAATCCTCGCCAACATTTTGTTGTCCTAAGTTGGCTTCAAAAGGGTGATTAAGCTTATTTTATGAAATTGTGAATCATAGTCTAAACTTTATTGCTTGTCGTTTTGCCCATCGTGTTTCGCATAAACCAAGTTAAATTGAATCAACAGAACAAAATGCTTTAATTCATGTAATTTTTTGGGAAATAATTCGAATTCAGTATCACGAAGAGAAAATACATACATTTACTATTAAATTAAATGTTTAACTTAATGTCAATGATTATGTTACAACAATTTAGTGAAAAACTTTGTTTTCTTATGGTTGAACCTAACAAAATGGATAATGGAGTTGTCCAAATTGATTTGATTGAATTTGACTATTATTGAGTTACAACTTAAAATCAATTTATTTTAAATATCTATACCTGTTTATATTAAAAGAATCCTCAAGAATTTAAATAATTATTTTTTATTCATCTTTATATTACAAGATCTTTGTTTATTTTTTATTTATATTAAAAGAATCTTAAAGAGTTTAGATCATATTTGATTTTTATATAAATAAAAATCATTATAAGATGATAGATAAAATAATATAATAATTATTTTATATTTTATTTGATTTTTATTTAAATAGATAAATAGGATTATAAGAAAGATTAATCATTTTTTTATATATGATAATTCAAACATTTCAAAATGAAAAAGATTATTTCATAAAATTGAACTTACATATTTATTTATATTCGTAAAAATTATATAAATAATTTAAATTATATAAAGTTTGAAGAATAATAGTTTTGATCAATAAATAAAATTATATTAATTTAATTATTATATATATCAAATATAAAATAAAATAATATTACTTAATTCAAATTTATTCATAATATTATTGTATATTATCTATAATATTGTGTATCAAATATGCCATTAAAATTTTGATAGCTATCTTGTTTTTAATTTTTGGTTGGCCTCGGGGCATGAAGGTTTTTTTTTTTTTTTTGGGAATTTTTTAGAGTTGGGTTTTAAAATTTTCTAGCTAGAACAACTATTAAAGTTTGCTTACGATTAGACATAACAATTTAAAACATGGACAATGATGATACGATATAAAATATTCAAAAAAATTATATATGTATTTTGAAAAATATGTTTCATGTTTATTCGTATCGACACGATATTATTCATGTTGACGCGATATAATTCTTATTGACATGATATATGCATTGACACATTTAAATACATATAAAATATAAAAAATACGTTTAAATAAATATGTCACACAGATATACAGTTAATATGTAACACGATAAAAAACACATTTAAATAAAATATGTCATACAAATATACATTTTACACGTGACACGATACGAAAATACGTTTAACACATTTATTATTTATTTTTTAATTTAATATAAACATATAAAAATTATTTTAATTTTAAATCTTTTAATTATGAAACTCTATTAGCTATTTAATATATCATATAAAATTATTTTAAACATTTAATTATAATACTCATTTAATAATTACTATAAAGTTATTTTTAATATTAACAATAAAATATAATATAAATAATAATATTAGTACAATACATCATTATTTTATTTTTTTAATCTTTAATAGTTCATCATTTTGGATTTTGTATTGAAAACTAATATAGTTATGTATACATTTATCATTGTTATATTAGTAATGTATTTGTTAAATTTTAAATATATTTATATGTTAAATGTTTATTAAATAGGTATCAATTTTTTATGACATTTTAAATATGCAAGTATTTTTTTATATTAGTAATGTATACGTTACATATATAAATCTTAACATATTAAATATGTATTGTTTTTTGTAACTTTTTACAATAAGATTAAAAATTAGTTTTTTATTAAAAAAAATATAATGATAATATACACTTAACTATTAAATAATAAGTAATATCCAATAATATGGTCATTGATCAAGTAAAGTAAATCAAAATCACATGAATATACAATAATATATTATAATTATAATAAATAGCATTTATAATTATAAAAAACTATATGATAATCTTAATAACATGAATCATGATATGTGATTATTTTAAATTATAAAAGTTAAAATAAGAAATTATACATTTGAAATTAAAATTAATACATATTCTAAATAATATATATAATGATAAAATTTATATAATTTATTTTATATTACATAATACGATATTATTAAAAAGTAACTTACAAATAGTTATTGTAAATACACATCCTGATGATCTATTTTAAATACTTTATTCTAAATCACATGACAAGAGATTATATATTTGAAATTAAAAATAACATATTATTCTAAATAGCATTTATAATGGTAAGAGATTATATAATTTATATTTCTATATCACATGATAAAATATTATATAATATAATGTATATACTTATCTTAATAACTTGTTTAATATATTTTATTTTAAAATCTAAATCATATCATATGATACCCATATATAGTTATAAGAGAATATATAATTTATTCTAAATCATATGTATACGAGTATATTATATACCCATGATAATTAAAATATGTAATTTACTTTTAATCATATTATAACATATAAAAAATTATTATAAGTAACATACATATATTAATTTAACTTTTAAATATATATTAATTTAATATTTTTCTATAATTTTAATAAGTCATTAAGTCATTTTACAAATAAATCATTCTAATTAAGTAATTATTGAAATACATAATAATATTTATATATTAAAAAATAAATAATTCTAGTATACATATTAATATTACGATAAAAAACCAAAAAAGTAAAAAATTAAAAAAATAGCATTTGAAATAAACTTTTTTATCATATATACATATATATATGATTATTATATATTAATATTTTTATTTATTTATTTTTAATTCAAATTTACTAAATTTCTTACTTTCTTACCTAACCGGTTAACCCTAAAAATCCTTTTCCTCTTTTTTGTTTCAGACTTTCAACCACAATAAGCTAGGCAGACACCAAACAACAACTTTTCTTCCTCTTTCAGCCAGCAAGCCAGGCAACCACCATTCACCTTTCGCCCATTCTTGCCTCTTTCTTCAAGTAACCAACAAGTTAGGTAGCTACTACTCGTTTTTTGCCCACCAATCACAGTTGATCCATCGATCGATAGAGCCATTATGTCTCTTCCACCGCGTCGTTCCTACCAGAATATTGAGATAATTTTCCTTCTCTTGCTACATTTAGCATACCTGTCTTACTATCACTTGAACACGCTACATGTGAAAAATATAAATTATGGAAATGAGACAAGAAAAGTTTGGCACTTTTCTTTGCTAATTTCTCTAAATACATGACATAAGAAACTCATGGAGTGCTAGGTTCTGGAATCACAAGATCTTGTTGGTAAACTACTATAGATCTTTAGAAAGACCAAAAGTAAAATTCTTTTGTTTTTTTTCAGTTTATTCATTTTTTTAATTAATTTAGACCAATTATTAAAGGAAAAACAATATAACTATTGAAGGAAAAATGAAGTAATTTGAAATTGATCCTTGGAACTTATGGATTTTTGGTCTATGGAAATATAAGCATTGTAATGCTAGTTAGTAGTTAGGTTTCATTAAAATTAGCATTTTTGTTCACTCAATTTTTCTAAGCAATTAAAATGTTAGTTAATTTAAAGCAATCTCTACTGCTACACTTGAAATCAAAACAATATTTGCACAATTTTTCTTCTATCTTTTAATGCAACTTAATATGCATTATTGCATTATAATAGCTATAGTTTAGCTATCATGACTTGTGGATTCTAAAAGAACTTAAGTACACATTTGATACTCGACAGTCCACTATCTCCAACTAGCTTTGGGCATCTAGGTCATATGCTTAAGCTAGTACATGATTATGTCTGATGAGATAAGAATCATAGCCTTATGGTGATTATATCAAGCATGTCATGCATTTTACTTGGTTTATAGTGTCAATGCTAGAACCAAACCTATAAAATGTCGTGGCTGGAATTTCTCATTTAACAATTGTTTAGTTCTGTTAATTCCCAATAAAATATTTGAATAGGTTTTTGACTCATACATTTTTAATATATGTTTAACACATAATATGTACAATTTTAATGTTTTATTGATATAATTTATAGATGGAATTTGATGATATCAATACTATATTTCAATCAAATTCTCTTATTGCGAATTTGGTAGAATATGATGATTGTATGAAGATACTAAAACAAGATAACGTTGAGATAGAAAATAGCAAATGAAAGTGCAAAAAAAAAAAAAAAGAAACAAACTTCAAATGTCTAGAAAGTCTTTGAAGTATTGCTTAAGAAGACAGTCAATGGTATTAAGATAGTAAAGTGCAAGTATTGTAAATAAGTTAAGAATTACGATTCTAGGTATGAGAATAGTAATATTAAATGTTATATGAACAATTGTGTTAGGAGACACACACATGATGCAGGCCAAATGGTACTTTTTAAAGACCATAGGTCTGTGATACTGAGATTTAGCAAATATAATTATGAAAAATTTCGTGAAAAAATTGTTGTTACAATGGTTATGCATAATTTACCCTTGTCAATTACGAAGTATAGTGGCATTAGGGATTTATTTTCTTATTTACGTGATGATGTGACTTTAATCTCTAATAACACTACAAAGTCTAATATCATGAAAATGCATAAAAGAGAAAAAAGCAAATTGAACCAACTATTGGAGGAAACACTTAGTAGGATTGTTTGACTTCTGATTTATGAATTTCTATCAATGCTGATGGGTATATATGTGTTACTGCTCATTTTATTGAATATTATTGAAATTTACAAAAAAGAATCTTGAATTTTTTTTGTATACAATCTCTACTCAATAGTGTTGCATTGAGTGAAAAAGTGTATTCATTAATGGCTGAATGGGAAACAGAAAATAAATTATTCTTTGTGACATTGAATAATGCTTTTGTTAATGATACTTTTATTGATTTGTTGAAATTACAATTGAATGTACGTAAAACACTTGTAGGAAATGATCAATTTTTTTATCTAATATGTGCTCATATTCTAAATTTGATAGTCTAAAATGGCTTGGAAGAGATTGATAAGTCTATAAAAAAGTGAGAGAAAGTATTAAATATGTGAAAAGATCTCAAGTTAGAAAACAAAAATATTTTTTGAATGTATGAACCCACTTAATTTAAATACAACTAGAAGATTATGACAAGATGTTCTAATTAGGTGAAACTCCACACATCTCATACTTTAAAGTGCCATTTACTTTCACATGGCTTTCTCTCACTTGGAAATCAATTATTCAAATTATAATAATTGTCCATCTAAATTTGAGTGGGATAAAATTGAGAAATTAAGTTAGTTTTTATGTGCTTTTTATAATATTACTTGTGTGTTTTCAAGAACAAAGTACCTACTACTAACTTATTCTTCCTTTCAATTTTGTTGGCATACTTGACATTGAATGAATACATGAATAGAAATGATGTGTAGTTAAAAAGATGGTTTTAATGATGTTTGATAAGTTTGAGAAGTAATGATTTTAATTTAGTTTGATTTTAGCTATAGCTGTGATATTGGATCATCTTTACAAGCTACAGTTTATGTATTAGAGTTATAAGAAGCTTTACGAGAATGATTCAATAAAGTTCAAAACGGTCAAATATAATCTATTTTCTCTTTATGATGAATATGTTGATGCTGTAAAGGCTTCTATTTGTAGTTCATCTTTAGTTGTTTCTAATAATTTTATGACCAAACTATTGATGAGGGATCTAGTATAGCTACAAGTTCACATAAAAATGATGTTTATAAGGTAATTTGTTTATTTTAAAGTTTAATTTTTTTATTACTTTTTAATTTTTGTAATGTTTTGTTATAAATTCAGATACATTTGAATTTTTCAATTAGAAGTTTGACACTTTTGACATTGACAACAGTGTTACTATATGAAAATCTCAATTAAAGTTATATTTAGAAGAACAAAGGCTTGATAAGTCACAAGAATTGAATATTTTGTAATTTTAAAAGCAAAACTAGTTTTGGTATGCTAGGCTTGCTACCATGGTGCGAGATATCTTAAGCATTCCTGTTTTTACATTAGCATTTGAATATGCTTTAGTGTTAGTGGTAAAGTTCTCAATCAATATCGTAGCTCACTTAAGCTATAAATTGTAGAGGATATTATTTGTTAGAAGATTGGTTATTTGGAAAAATTGTTGATGAGAGTTTAGATGAGATGGTAAATGGTGTCATCAATTTGGATCTTAACACAAAAAGTTTTTCTTTAGTAAATTGCTTTACCTCATATTGAGTTAATTTAGTTGTGTTGACTTATTGAATAGCTTTTAAATTATTATTATTTTTTAATACTGTGAAGTTAGTAAGTTAGTATATCTTGAATTGTGTATAATACTTGAAGTTTGATGATATGTTGTATCTGCTATGTATTTGTGTATATTAGTGTTATTCGTGTGTATCATGTTTATTTGTATAAATTAGTGTTATTTGTGTTTATTTATAGTATGTTTAAACGGATTAATTATACATGTGTTTTCATATTGTGTTACATGTAACACGTTTAATAAATGTGTCATGTTCATGTTTAGAACTTAAACACGTTTTATAATTCGTGTTTTAATAATTTGTGTTATTATACGTTTTAAACACAACACTAAACACGATACGAAAATACGAATTATTAGGTTTACATAAAACTTGAATTGATCTAATTATTAAAGATTGTTTAGACTCATAATCAATTAAAATAATATTAAAATTTTTATTTTTATATTTCAAATATATTAATAAAATAAATATTTATTTATAAAAAATACTTCTAACATAGAGCGGATTTTAAAAATCATATTTAATACTTAACTCGAATTATATCAAGTCTCATGTATTGCTAAATTCATGAATAGGTCTAATAAAAATTTTGCATGTAGGATTTTCTCACATGTACAATCAATTCTAAAATTTCCGAATAACATGCGAAATTTGAAACCATTATTCAAATTATTTAAATAATTATGTAATTGATATAAAAAGAAAATTGTTCATTTCATGATTTTTTGTCTTTGAGCAAATAACTTTTTGTCCAACGAAAATTAGCTCAATAGCAACAACTAAAAAAATAAATAATAAAGTTAGTAAGTCTTAAATATCAAGATTTGCAAGTTCAATTGAATTGACTTTTATCTTGTATTGTAAAATTGCCCAATAAACCAAAAAAAAAAAAAATCATTGAGAAATCAAGTAAAAAAACACAAAAAATTATCCAGGCTTAACCACTTGTCCACATCTACATAGTAAGTAGTTATTCTATTATTAAAAAAATTAAAGTACAATAAAATATATTTTTATGATTATTTAATCCGACTCAAAAAATTTTTATAACCTTTTTAATAATTTCAGAAGAACATTTACTTAGAAAACCACTTTTATATTATAAAATAAAAATATAATAAGATTAGAACTTTTACGTGGGAAACAAAATTTAAAATTGTACAACTACAAGATGTTACACACAAATTAAAATCCTATTCTAATAAGAAATTTTAATCAAGTAAGATATAGTAAAACGAGATTTTAAATTTTAGACAAATCAAGATTTTAAAATTTTTTATACCTATTTATAATATATATAATTATTGATAAATTTATTTTTTTATTAACGAAAAGAATAATTTAAAAAGATTTTAAAGGGTGTATAAAAATATTTTCTTATAATTTTTTTAATTTTTTTTTTTTAAAGATGTTTGTAAATATCATTTGAATTCGTCTTTAATCCAAGTGTTGTATTATAAATTAATTAATTATTTTTAATAGTATTAGTTTTATCATATTCCACGTTCAAAATTGTTTGGATTATAGTTATAATTATGAATGTGATTTCATAAATTTTTAATTATTTTTTTATCATTTTGTCATTATTATTCAAATATAAACCAATAAGTTTTAATAAAAAAATAATGATGGCTGACATTTGACAACCATCGGTTAAATCAGACTTAGAAAAAATCAAGAGAAAGGCGGGAAAGGGAAAATTTTAAAAATAGATTTAGTAAAATTTAGTTAATTAGTAATTGGTTTTCCAAGTAAAATTAGATTTTAGTAATATTCACTTCTTTTATATAGATATAATAATTTGTATATATATATATATTATATTTATTTTATATTAATTTTATATAATATAAAAATTATCATTTTATAATATATCACGTTAAATATTAAATATATATTTTTAAAATTTAAATTATATTGTTTTTTGTTTTTTATCGAATATAAAATTATCAGATTTGCAATATAACAACTGCGGTAACATTTTGTAACCCACAACACGCGGGAAGAGAACCCTCGTTCCCTCCAACTCTCTCTTAGATCACCTCTGAAAATTAAAAAGCACAAAAAAAAAAAAAAACCCAAATTTTAAATCACTCACAAAACCTATTTTCCAAAATTAAGATTGGATAAACCTGAATTCCATGGACGAATCAGCTGGGAAAAAAGAGGCGGAAGTGCTGATGGTCAACGACACCGACCAGAGGGAACGGAGGAGCGTCCGCCGGAGATTGGTCCAGTCAACCTTGTTTCCCAACAAATCTCCTGAAATTGGACCGGGGATTGGCCAGAAGGCTAACGAAGGTGACGATGACAATAACGATGGCGAAGATGAAGAGTTATGCTGTAGTCAAGGCAAGAAGAAGGGAAGAAAACGGAAAGGGAAAGTAACTCCCCAGAATCAAGCTTCTAAAAAGGTTTAGTTGAGTTAATTTTTAGTTATTTGAACCGATTAAATAGAATGGAAGAGCTGTTTGGTAGTTTTTGTTTTTACAATTTTGATGTGATTTTCAATAAGCAGCCAAAGGAGAAATTGCCCATGAAAACTACACCGAAGAAGAATGGGATGAATAATTTGATGGAGAGTGAAGATGCATCATCGCCGCCAATCCCTAATTTGAGATTGGAGGCAAAGTTGACAGCTGAGGTTAGTTATTATGCTTTTTCTGCCTTATTTTGTTGCTTTCGTGAGTGCGGTGGGTACAAGATAGAAAACAAAGTACAAGGAAATGGCTTCAAGTCCTGCTGCAAATGTGTTTTTTAGGCTTATTTTGCCCTACCAATTATGGTATGCAACAGTGATTAGATCAAATAGCCTTAGGCTTCATTTGGATGGGTGGTGAGATTGATTGCAATGAAATTGAAAACAGTAATAAAAATTATTATAGCTACGATTGAAAAAATAAAATTATTGTGGCTGCGATTGAAAAAATTAAATTATTGTAGCTGCGATTGAAAAAAAAAATTCAATGAGAAATTTATGTTGAATGGATATCATTGGAGTTAGTATTTGGATTCAATTGGTAGTGTGACAAGTTCAATCACATCGCACCGGAGGTGCAGTGAAATCCAAATGGGAACTTAGATACAATCAAACCTTGTTTGATAACACTTTTCCACTTGTTTGTACCTTAGATGGGATAATACATTAAAACTTAGGATCAAGGAGAGAGAAAACAATCCTGAGACTGTTCATGGCAACTGGTGTTTGGTGATACTAATTTATTGAAAAGAAAGATGCTAGGGTATTAATAGGTGATGTAGGTTGTGTGCTGTTTGGTTGGAGGCCATTGATAATGTAACATAGCTTATGATGGAGCTCTTGGTGCTTAAATAATGCCCAGCATGATGTCATTGGATAGGATGCACCTACTTATGAGAGTAGGGAGAATGATAAGGAACCCTCACTCTTACAGCCTAGTGAAGAGCTTATTTCTCTCCAAGTTTCCTGGATCCTCTTAATCTGGAGAGGCTACTAGGGTTCTTCTTGCAACAAAGAAGCTGTTATTGTTCTTTCTTCTTTTTTTTTTGCAGAAATTCATCTGCCTTAGCTCCTACTCCCTCCAGTCTTTTTCCTTGTGATGAGTAATGCAATTGGTGTCTATATATTTGGCTGTCCATGCATCAGCTCGTAATTCTAGCAAGCAGTTTCTAAGTCCAAGATATGCTAATAACTAAAATGCAATACAATATTTGACATGTAAGCTGTAACTGAAAGTGTGTGTTTTATGCATGATCAGGAAAATTCCCGGATGTTTGCAGGAAGGCAAATTCATCCGTTTTTTAAATCACGAAAAACAAGAAAGAGGGGCCGAGAGACTGCTGAAGTAGGGAGCTTTGATTGCTTGCTTGACAGAAGTAACAAAGGCATTAATATTGGTCCTATTCATGTGTTTGAAAGAACTCAGGTATGACATTATTGACAAACTTGTCTAAATGTATTTTATTTTCTGATTTTGAATTTGCAATTCTATAACTGTTCTTTCTTATCTGGTATGACACTCAAACTTTGTTATGCAGGATGATGTAGTTCTTGATTGGAAATATTGGACATTTTTTGAGAAAACCTCCATTGACACTGGTTGCAACCTTGAAGGCCTAGTCAAATCAGTTTTTGAAAGTTGTGTTGAGGCATTATGTCTTGACAACTTTCCTGGTGTTTCACATTCCTCTGACCCATCATTTGTTCAAAACAAGTTGTCAGATCAATGCATTATTCAAGATAATGACTTTCTTGGAGCATCAGTGGCAATACCTGCTGTGCTAGTAGATAAGCAACCGGAAAACGATCAGTTCTTAAAGAGATCAGAAGGGGTATGTGTTGTAATTTAATCTTTATTATCTTTCTTTTCTTTCAATTTATTTTCAAGAAATCCTAGACAGCCAACCCCCACAAATTCCTAAACCCCATTTAACTTAGACAAGAACTTAATGCGGAATCTAATGTAGACCTCCTTTACACTGCTTCTAAAGGTGTGCTGGTTGCATGTGAGCCATTGCTTATCAGCTTTTTATGTAACTTTGAACATTCTTTGATTTATTTGTCACTATAAATTTGTTATTGCCAGGACTGCAGAGTAGATGAAGTTGTTGTCCCTTCTAAGCTGGCTGATTATGTGGAAAATTCAGAGCTTGAACAGCGAAGTAGACTTCTTCAAGAAAGGTTGGAATTTTGCATATATTAAAACTTTTCTTCCCTTTTTTTGAAGTTCCTTTCTGATATGTTAATTTAGGATTGTCTTAATATGTTATTACAAATATTTTGTGCGCATTAAAAGTATTGTTTTCATATTTGTTGTACAATATCTTCTCAGTATATCTTGTTTGCTACTGTAGTTCCTGAAACTATTCAATTCAAAGTATGCAGGATTGAGACAGTTATGATAGAAATAGGAGTTGCACCTTAATAATGTTGATACTTGCTTACCAAATGGAACTATCCCAGTTGGTATCCACTAACTTGTTAACTCCTTGATTTTACTGTCAAGGTCAATGATGCAAACTTCTGCAACCGTTAGCCATACTAATAATAATCTTGTGTATCCAAAAGAAAAGTTACTAATTGCTAGTTAATGGATTTTGCCTCTGTTAATGTAAGTTTGCCATTCTTCTAAGCAAGATCATTTTCATTATATGACTGATTGCAGAAGTGTGCCATTGTACCATGGTTGCAGTATCCAGCCTGATAATAGCTTATGGACTGATAAGTACCAGCCAAAAAGTGTCACTGAGGTGAATTTTATTAGCTTGTTTGTTCCGAACTGCAATGATCCTAATAGGGAGGGGTTGGGGGATGTGATATTATCGGCTACAGGGTTAAAAAAGCCCCTGCACTATAATTAAAAAAAATTCAAGCGCCTATTTCTTTATTGCAATCAATCAATCCCTCCAACTTCTATTTGCATCCAATTAAACCTTTATTTGGATGAAAATATTAACATCGTTAATTTTTTTGCAAACTAAAATAAAATGACATCAATAAAATAGATTAAAATTTACTACATGGTGCAATTAATATATGTAAATTAAATAAATAAAATTTTCTTTTTTTTTCTTTTCTTCTTTTTGTTTATTTCTCTCTCCCCTCTCTCTCTCTCTCTCTCTCTCTCTCTCTATGATCTCTCTAAAAGTTTAATTGATTATAGTTCAAGGGCTAATTGATTAAATTTTGCCTTGTGACTTGATTTTGTCCATTAAAGGGTTCAATTGAGTCAAAATAAAAGATTAAGGGCTTGATTAATTGCAATAAAATGTTAAGGGTTTAACTGATTATTGAATTATAATTTAGGGATATGTTTAACCCTTTAGCCAATATTATATTTCATATTTTTTTTTCTTCGTTAATGCTGCTTTTCAGGTGTGTGGTAATACTGAATCAGTGAAGTTTATGAGTGAATGGTTGCATATTTGGCGCGAGAGAAGTTTTCAAGCCATCAAAGCCATTGATAACTTTGATAAAGGCAACATGCAAGAAGATGATGACGATTATTGTGAAAGTGATTTTGATTCAGAAAACATAGATGAAGAGAATAGCCTGAAGAACGTTCTCTTAGTTACAGGACCAATTGGGGTAAACAAAAAAGTTTTGGCTGAAGTTTAGCTCATATTTGCTTGTTTTAGAGTTAATCCTTGTGTCCGTATGCTTTTGTCAACTCACATAATGAACTGTCATGTTTGGCTTTGAATGAATTTATTATCTCTTTATAATGTGTCGCTGCATGTTGCAGTTGATATTTCCTTTGGTACTGGTTGAATTCTTTGTTTATGCACTTCTAACCCTTAATGATATGTTTTTTGGCTACCGGGTTTAGTGGTGATATTCTTATGTCTTTGGTTGATTTTAGATTTTTCCTTTCCTAAAAGTGGAACTATTAAATTGACTTTAAGTTCTCACAACAGTAAATGTAGTTACACCTGCAAAGGTTTCAGTCTTGAGATTGTATAAGGTTTAAGAGAACTCTATTGCTTATATTCAATTGGAACTCCATTCCTATTCTTCTTCTGAAAGAATGCTTTGTTGGAGAGCGTTCTGTGTTTGTTTCAAATTATGTTAGGGGCATATGCTTTTGGTTTTTATTGGTAGTTAGGTATTTTTCTTGTGTTACAGAGTGGGAAGTCTGCAGCTATCCAAGCATGTGCAAAGGAACAAGGATTTAAAGTTCTGGAGGTGCTACTAAATTTTTAGATTCTTGTTCAACTGTTTTACAATTTCACTGTCCAGCATTAGTTTTGGCCATGTCCAAATGGTACTTAACCTGGCATGAAAATGCATATAACCACTAAGTTTCTTTGGCGTAATATTAGTAATCTGTGAATCAAATGGACCGTCACTTTATTATGAATCTAAGGCTCCATGTAGAGTTCTTAAGTTCCCATCAAATGGACTCATTTTATTATGAATCTAAGGCTATCTAAGGCTCATGTAGAGTTCTTAAGTTTGCATTAAGTGGACTCATTTTATTATGAATCTAAGGCTATCTAAGGCTCATGTAGAGTTCTTAAGTTTGCAAGTCTAAATGCTCATAGTTGTTACTTGTTAGACATGTCTTGCAACTGAAAGACAAAGATTCATCTCTCCTTCATTTCTAAATCATTGGATACACAAATGAGTTTGACTTTGAACTTATTTGTACGTTTGGTGTTCTGGAAGATTTTGACTGAAAGTGATAAAGTTGCATGACTATAAATCAGTTTCTTGTCCTGTACATTCAAATTCATGCTGCAATTATCTATTGTGCTTTTGATACCAACTTTTTTTAAAGCTTGTGTTTATGCCATTTCTTTAAAATATACTTGTATAGGACTGAATACTGAAATTTTCTGTAAGTTCGAAAACTATGAAGTTTTCTTCTGGTTCTCTTCCCTAGTATCGTTTTTTCTTGTTAAAAGGTCAATTCATATTTCAAAGTCCCAAATGTTTTAGCATAGTTTCCCATTTGTTAGAAGACTAGTTCTACTTCTACTACTTACTGCATTCCTAAAAATAGAAATAAGAAGCAAGTAATGTCCTTGCAATTCCATATCGCTTAGTTAAATCCCTCTGTGATTACAATGCATCCTTTCATGCAGTCTATTGAGTTATATCATTCCAATAAATTTTTAGTGTTTTATAATTTAATGATAAGAGAATAATCCATTAAGTGAAAGTTGAATGCTTCTAATTTATTATTTTGTTAGTCCAATGCATCAGACTGTCGAAATGGAGCTGTTGTGAAGCAAAAATTTGGTGAGGCATTAGAATCACGCTGCTTTACAGGGTTGGTGACTTTGTCTTCAGCATCACTCTCACACTTCTTTCCTGCGATACATTTTATTTTTATGATTATTCTATTGCCCATTGAAGTGTCTGGTAGAGTTCAAGCTTTACTATTGTAATTATCTGTCCTAAATTGTAACATATATTTATTGCAGGTCAGTAAAAAATCCTTTAGATTCACTTAGCAAGCATGTGATGAAATCTGCAGAAACTTTATCTAATGGTAAAGCAGTGCAAGAATTTGATGATGAGGTGATAGAGTTGATACCAATGTCAGATGAGGAAGATTCATTTGGTGCCCATGAAGCATCTGGAAAACGTGTCTGTAATGATAGTGAGAGTGGATTTGGTCAAGCAAAAGTTAAGCCTTTGATTCTCTTTGAGGATGTGGATATCTGTTTCGCTGAAGATCGTGGTTTCATAACTGCTATACAGCAAATTGCTGAAAAAGCAAAAGGGCCCGTGATATTGACTAGTAATAGTAAGATGGATTTATCGTTGAAACAGTTTTATTTTTTCTTGACACTTGTATGACCTGATATATTTCCTTGTGACTCCATGTTGTGGTGGCAATCAGGTAACAATCTTGTTCTGCCAGACAACTTGGACAGGCTAGAGTTATGTTTCAAGATGCCATCACCAGAAGAGCTGCTTTACCATCTTTATACGGTAAAAGTGTCCGGTGCCTTCCTTTAACACGTTACAAAAATTTTTACATTTTCATGTTTATCTTATCTTTGTGCCTCAGGTCTGTGAAGCCGAGAAAGTCACCATTCAACCACATTTACTAAAGCAATTAATTAAATGTTGTCAGAGTGATATTCGGAAAACCATCATGCATCTCCAGTTTTGGTGCCAGAGCAAAAAGTACCCGAAAGGTTAATAACATAACAAAGGCATACATGTTTGCATCGTACATCTATTCTTGTTTCTGAAATTTACATGTTACAAAAGAGGTTTAGTAAACTGGCTTTCCCTATAGTCAGGTGGGGTACAATGCTTTTAGAAGAGACTATGAAAAATTCTAGAGAAAGAAAATGAAAAGGCTTTAATATTCAATATTTCTCTCCAGATGGTTTAATCTGTCAATATTTTTGCAAATTTTGATAAATCACTCTGTAAGAAAGTAGAAGGGATCAGTTTTAAAATAAAATTCATCTGCACGTATGTGCTTGTGCGTAAAGCCAAGTATCATTTCAAGTAAATATTGACCATCTATAAATACATATTCACTTTGATTTGGGTATCTCAATAGGACCATGATACATGTGGGAGTAGAACCCTATTTAACAGTTTTGGTGGTGTATGGTGATGTATGGACTAGATTTAATTCAAGTGTTAATGATTTTAAAGATAAATGCACTAGAAAACTTCTGATCAGCCTTTGTGGTTATGGACTTATGGTTTAGTGTTATTTCAAGTGAAGGGATTGGTTTGGTCTAGTATGGATATCTGTTCTTGGATATTCTCACACGGTTTTCTAGTGATAGATAGATGCAATGTTCTTTGTGCAACGGGGAAGAAGGGGGTATATTGGTTCTCTGCCCCTGGTTAGAAACATCTTAAAGTTATACCATATTTTATTAGAAAATCACGTTTTGCATATTCTGCATAAGTTTTTCATGAAAGACAGTGGGCAGCGTGCAACTTTTTTTGAGTGAACCTTACCATATTGTTCTTAATTTTATTTGCATTTTCACTTTGTTATTGATGATTGCGATTTTGCATAAGTTTTCATTGTAGTTACAGCTGTGTATCTCTGGATAAGAAAAGCTAATGGAAGAGAAAGAGCTACATTACATTAAAGGTTTTGACATGTCATAGTTTTTGTAAAAGGATTTCTGTTATCTTTTTCTCTGACTTTTTGGAAGTTATATGTGACTTCTAGAGCTTTCAGGAACCAATTATATCTTTTTTTGTTTTACCTGGTCCAACTCAAAGTACTTATTTTGTGCTTGACAAAGTCACAACAGGTCTTTTTAAAGGGTGTGATTTCCATGTTCAGTATATGTTCTTGAACTCATTGCCAGTTTAGTCTCTTGTAAGAGCAGTTCTTTCTATTAAATATTTATACTTTATTTTAACACACATTGGTTATCCAGATAGGAAATTGCAGAATACTTATGGCTTGCTGCTGTTTGACATAGAAGCGGGTCATTTGGTACTACCAACTATAATCCCTTGGGACTTCCCATCTCAGTTATCAGACTTAGTTGAGAAGGAAATTGCCAAGACATTGTCCATTATTGAAGAAAATTCAACTTTAATGGAGGTGATTGAGGAAGGACTTGAAAATAACATGTCAAATGGCTTGGAGATGCATAATAATGAGATAGACAGTTTAGAGGCAAAGAAGGAAGTGATGTTAAGCAGGAACCTTTCTATTCATGATTGCAATGAATTCATAAACCCTTCTTATGCTGCACATGACTTTTATAATTCTTCAGGCACCCCAGTTTCTTTCTCTCGGAGAACACGTAGGAAGAAACTTGATGTTGTAATGTCTTCGGATTCCGAAGATGAGCACTTTAATATGCAACCTTCTTTAGTTCCAGACAAGAATGTTAACTGTGAATTGTTCATCAAAGAAGGTTGCGGTGTCCTCTGTGATTGTCCAAACATTCAGAATTGCATAAGCCCATTAACAGATGAGCTACTTTGTTCTAAAGCAGAGAATTGTGAGGACAGGGGTTTCCATTGCTCAGAAACAGCAAATAATTTACAAATGGAAACTTGCAAATCTATGGATGTATCATATGTTCCTGAGTCATCCTTTGTTCCTGAGACTGAAATTATTAATGGAATGGAGCTGTCTTCTCGAACTGTGTCTTACGTTAATATTGCTGAAACAACAGAAGTTTCTGTGAATTGTGAGTTCACAGAGGACCTTTTGCCAGTTGAAACAAATGATTCTGGTAAATTTATACACAAATTAGTTAAAACTTCAGATATGTTAGGTGGTACATGCAGTATTACAGCAGAAGCATCTCATGAAGAGGTGGTGGAGAATTCTCAAAATGAGTATGATGAGGCTGCATCAAGTGGGCATGCAGTGATGGATGAATGCAGCCGCATGAATTTCAACAAAAAATCCTTGCTTATTGGGAAATTTAAGAACCACGTGGCTACTGATTTAGTACAAGAATCATGGAAAAACCTCCGTGACAGTCACGCTGATCTAAAACAGTATGTTGACTCTGAGCCAAAAGATGTTCTTAAAATTTTAAAACTTACTTCTAGAATGAGCGATCTAATTTCACAAGCTGATCAACTGCTTTCCCAGTGCCACACACAAGTAAGTGATGAATATTATTATTAGTATTTCATTAAGAGACAGTTTCTTATTGTGTTTGTGCCTGTTATCCACGTTTCTAATTAGCTACTTGTGCAGGATTTTTTGGAGCTGTTAAGATCCTTCTGAGGGTGCAAATGCATTCAGCTGGTGTGATGAGCAGCTGCAGATGGTTAACACGGTTTCAGGACATGGATTTTGTGTCTATGCTAAAGATATTGATGCTATAGGATCAATCATGGGTTTTGAGCATAGGGTAGATTTGAGCAAGGAGTTGCTGGCTTCCTCAACTAGTGCAATGGCAATTGGTAGATTGCTTGGAAATGATGCTAGGGCAAGCAGGACTTCAGTTGGTGGAAAGGGTTTGGACATGGGTCCATCAAAACGTGAGCTAGCAGTGAAAAGGTACAGAGTTGTCATCTCCCTTGAAACCATGCTTGGATGTATTACTTCAATATGCATTGAGCATTTTGACCTTGGCAGATCATAGTTCACTGATCAAATTTCATGTTTATTGTTGATCATTTACAATTTCTGTTGTGGGTTCCTTAGGATGGAATGAAGAATTTCCTTGGATAAGAAGAATCTCTGTGGATGTATTATTTAGGCATTCAACCAATATGCTTTGTCTGAAACAAATTTTGGTTCACTCAACTTGTTAATAGACATGTTTTCTTGGTGCTTGATTCGTACAATTTAAAATTTCATTATTGGCATTGTGTTTTTACTTACCTAAATCAGTTTTGGCCTTTGCAATACAGGGAAGTGAAGTCACGTCTTTTTGACATCATTAGGTCCTTAGTCCCTTCAAGATTATACTTGGCATTGAAGGGTGCTGCATTTCATGAATATATTTCTTCATTGGGATGGATTTCAAGATCAGAAGCTTCCCGCTTATCAGTAGGCATGGGCTTGACAAAAAGGAGGTATACAAAAGTTTATTTCAAATTATTTTCTTGCAAATATTAGTCCTTAATTATTCACTCTCCATTATTCATGCCCGACACATCCCTTGTAGTAGTTTTGTTTTGTTACACGTTTTTTATACAGGACACGAGGTGCTTGCCATTACTTGAGTACTGGTGCACTACTGTTATCTCCCGAAGATATTTCATTGTTGGATCAATATAACTTTTATGGCAAGTTATCATCCAACAGCTGATGCTAGTCAGAAAATCACAATTGAGGGAAACTAACAAGATGGACATGGTAACAGCTGCTATGGATATTTAAATGGATCAGGGAAGTCGAATATCATTCAGCAGACGTTAAGAGTGTAGGATGTGATACTAGTAATTATTGGAAAAGAAATGTCTGGAACGGCCGTCATTTTTTGGTCCAACCTTAAGTCTGATTAACATGCCTCAACATGTGAATGGAGGTAGATATCTTACTCTTGGATGTGATTCCATCCATTCTCCTCATTGTAAAGCATTTATTTATTTATTTATTATTTTTAATTTTATTTTTATCCCCAGGGAGCTAATCTCTTTGCTTACTGATTATTGCATTGTCATTATGGAGCTTTGATCCTCCCTTTGAGATATTGGCAAGGTATGCCTCCTTTTACAGGCAATTTTGAAAAGAGAATCGAACTTGCTGAACCGTTTCTTGGGTTCCTGTCAATTATTGTTATCCTAAGATTAGGTGTAACAAATTTTTGGATGTTTTTAGCTTCAAAGGCTTAGTTAATTAACCACAGTAGTTGCGATTATATTTTATAATATTAACAAATAATAAGCGTTGAATCATTTAATGCATCAATACCTTATATTTTATAGGTGTAACATATTTCAAAATAATAATAATAATAATACTATAGGTGTAATGTATCAAAAAGATAAGTAAAAATTCTTGTTATTTAATATATATCTATATACTATATATAAAAATACCAACTCTAAAATTGCAAATAGTTAACTAGATATATATTTTATTAAATTAATTATTTTGTATTTAATTAATGCTTTTATTAAATAAAATATTGACTAATTTTTATTTAAGTAAATTGTTTCTTATAAAATCCTACATGTAACACTTGACACATTTGGGCACATTCTAGCATAGAACATGCCACTAAGTTAAGCATTAAATCCCTCAAGCATCATTGCAGCAGCAAAGAGAAAAAAGGTTTTGATTTGTAACAAAGATATATTAATGTTGTTTTTTCTAATTTCTTGGATGGATATTGGAGAGAGAAAAAAACAAATAAATTACTCCTGTTCGTTCATTTTGTCAAGCGAAGTCAATTTTATTCATTACTTCAAATAAAATCATAAAAATATATATAATCATATATATGCTTTTAAATAAAATCATTTAGTGTTTATATATATATATATATATATATTTCCATCTTTTTTGTCTAAGTTCGAACCCCTAACCTCCAGCACTAGAAGACGTAGTATATTTAAATTTTGTCCACCTATATTTACTCTAATCTTGATTTAAATGATACATGGATTTGCCTAGAAGAGTTTTAAACAATTTTTAGCCTCTAGAAGATGAGAGTATTAGAAGATCATTGGAATTTAATGCAAAGCATGGTGTGGATTAACATCTTTTTGAAATTTGACTTTTCCTCCAATTAAGTATGTACATGTGGGAACTTAAATGCCAACAAAATGTTGAAAAATATTTCCTAGTTAAGTTTTCATATTGTTTAAATTTACACATGCAAAATTTATTGACAGCCACAGGATTGTTTTTTTCATAGTAAAATTTATTGACAGGTTAGAAGGCAAGAAATTAAGCTTTGCCATGAAATTTCAGGGCAGAAATAATCGCTCCCGTTAGTTCCTTTTCTTTTTATTTCCCTCATTAATATTTACAAGCTTAGTAGCCCTTCTCAAGCTAGCCAATTAAGGCAAGCAAGCTTTTAACATGGTTCGGGTGGTTTCGTTCTATCGCTGTTACATTGAGAGTTGAGACCCTTTTTTGGTATAAAGGATGACACCACCCAAATAATTATAGCCGATGAGTGATGACCCTACAGCACAGCACTTTAGGGAGAAGTAGAATCAGAACCAACATGATTCATACTCATAATAATACGAGTACCCTTTTCCCTTCTGGTTCATTATTTCATTTGGCTTTTTCCAAGCCAACCAGCCAGCCTGTAGCTCTGAATGTTCAAATTCAAAATCAAATCCCCTGCTGCGACATGCATGTCATTGCTGTTGCTATTTCAAAGTCTCATTATATTCTCTCTCAAACCATTCCCCTTCTGTCCTTCAGCCTAATAATCATTCACTAAATCACTGCTCTTTTTTTCCCTGTGTCTGATTGGTGAAATAAATTATATGATTCTATTTCTCCCTACGTTCTGTAGGGTCATGAACAGAAAGAAGAAAACAAGGCATATGTATACATTTTTTTTACTGTTGGTTCAAAATAGTTAAATGTAAGTATTATGATTTAATTTTGATATTATATATCGAGAAAGAGTAAGATTCATTTATATCAGTATAAATTTTATATTACTTTTTTATTATTGAATTAAAATTAAATCTATGATTAATTTGAATAAAAATAATAGTTTTAATTTTGACAATTTTGATTCAAGAATCAAAGAGAGAATAAAATTTACATCGGTGAGCAAACAAATTACATAAAGTTTTTTAAAAGTTTGTAAATTTTTTAAAAATAATTTTAATAAAAAATTTAAATCAATAAATTAATAGAATTCAATATAAAGATAAATAAATATATAAAAATTATTATAAATATTTTTATAATTTAAATTTGATCGATATTTATTTATCAATAAAAATTTTATTAATATTTCTACAAAAATATCTATCTAAATTTATTAATTTTTTTAAAATTTACATATTTGATCTATATAACGAAATTTTTTAATATATCAATTTTGATTTTTTTAATTTAATTTTAATTTAATTATTTTTAATAAAATACTTCACAAATTTCATCTAAATCTTTTTCAATTGATAAGTAGATCCCTACTCTGCAAAAAAATTATCTAAGCATATCTTCCCTTTTACAATCAAACATCCTATATCCGTTAGTTTAAAAAAAAAAAAAAATCCTACATCCATACATGTATATATGTTTAAATGACATACAAATACTAATATATACGTTTTCCACTTGAACATTGATGTATGCAAATTTTTATTAAAAAATAAGTTTGCATATTCTCTTTGTATTATTGAAAAAATATGTAATACTATATGCTAAAAAGAATATATACATATATGAAAATAAAGGGTATGGTCAAAAAACATATAGTTGTAATTAAAAAAGCACATTTATCTCCCAGGTGATGCATGTTAGATTCATTATACTATGAAATTATATGACTATGATCATTCTTTGAGTCACAATATAATACTACATATAATTGGGTCAAAAAAAAATTCAGCATATGAAATGGTATGGTCCAATCTTGAAGCCATAGTTTGTTTTTGTTTTTTTTTTTTTAAATGATAGCATAACATAATTAGCACCGGCCATGAAAGACTGAGAAGAGATTGTATAGTTTCCACAATTCACGATTTCCCATGCAAACACAAATAAAAAAAACAGTAATATTATATACATGCAATTGTTTAGATTTGGGTCTTCATTTTTTGAATCATCATTGGGAAATGTGGTCCAAACTCCAAGCTCAAGACAAGAACTTAACCATTTTATAATTGTGCTCACTTTCATTAATTAATTTTCTTTAATGACTATTTGGCTACTATCTATAATTTTGAATGAGAGTAGCGGCCTTTATTGTGTTCATTTCATTTATGTATTAGAGTTGATGCAGTGAGATTAAAAAATATATATAGTGGTCCAAATACAACTAAACTTATCATATCTTAAAAGTGAGTAATTTTATAATATAACCTATGACTTTAAAATATTCAAAATTAATCTACATAGCATCATTCGGATAATTTTTTTTCCCATTTTTTATAAAGAAATCGCAATTTGAGCAGTGATGAATTAAATTTTTTTTTAAAATGTTCTTTTATAATAAATAAAGAATTTAAAATAATATTTTGCTTGTTGAATTCTTATATCTTAAAAAAAAATCATATATGTATCATTATTAATACTATCAAAATATATTTTTTAATATATGTAACTAATAAATCATTCAACAAAAAATAAAAAATTTTGGAGGTGTGCTAGAAAAAATGAGTCTTCAAATTTTTTTATTTTTCAATTTTAAAGGTGTTCATGAACACCTTATTCTATAACTTGCATCCGCCCTTAAACTTAAAGATATGAGAAAAAATTTAAATTTTAGAATTTGAATCTTAGATGTATTAGATATTATTTTTTTTTAAGAATTATGGCGTGAATCAAAATTAAAAAATTTTTATTTTTATGTTAATTAAAATTTTAATTTTATAAAAATATTTTAAATGCTCTTATTAATTAAAAAAATACATCTTTAAAATTAAAAGAAAAACTAAACAAAACCTATATATTCTCTTCCAAAGGCTAATTAATTTATTTATTAAAAAAGAAAGATCATAAAGGGCATAAGTGTAATTTGAAGGAATAAAAAGAAAAGAAGCAGTGCTGAGCGGGTTCGTCGGGAGCAATAATTTGGAAGTAAGGAGTAAAGAAAAATCCAAAAATCCCAATTCACGAGGGGCCCTTCCACTTTTTCTGACATTTTTGCCTATGTTAATTAATTATTTAACTAATTGCTGGTAATTTATTTTATTTGTCTTGCTGCAAATAAATATAACATTATTTTTAAAAATAATTTAAAATTTTGATGTAATTATAGGCAATGTGTGTCAGAGCTGGATTCTTTACTGAACGATAAGACGAAATAGTTTTTTTTTTTTTAAAAGCAAAGAACTTTTCCTTTTAAGATTAAAAAATGATCCTACGTATTTACTAGAATTTGATCCGTATAAAATCTGATATATAGTTTCAAACTTCATTAATTCTTTTCTGCTGTACCCATATTTGTACTTTTAATTTTTGTTTTATACCAAATAGTTCAAAAATACATTTTAAGAAAACAATAGTGTAAATACATACATGTATACTAGTTGTAATTGCATTTTATTTTTTAATTTTAAGAGATTACAATTTAAAACTGAGCAAGGGACCAGACTGTTGTGTGTTGAGGTGACATTAGATATAAAGTAGACTGTTGTGTGTCCATGGCTCCCTTTGTGGTCACCCGAAAAAGAGTTTGGCAAACATAAATGGTAGTATCTTGGTTCCATAAATAATGTTTTAGTTTGATTTTTAATATATTCTTTTTTTATTTTTGATTTGATTTTTAATAACTATATTGCAACTTACAAGTTAAAAGTGTCGTAGACTTCTAGTCCAACTCTGTCCCCCAAGAAAAAAAAAAAAAAACCGATGTGCCCTTCTTTGTTTTCATAAAAAACATTTATTTTTGAAAATTTTAATATTAAATAATTACTTTGAATATTGATTAATTTAAAATTAAATTAAATCAAATTTTATAAGAAAAATAATTTTTTTAAAATCTGTTTTTTAATTTATAAAATTTAAAATCAATTTTTTACTTAAAAAAATTAAACTTCTTATCTCTTAAACTAACAAATGTTAATCATCAAAAACACTTTTCATCGTAGACATGGGCAAATTCATTAAATTTTTGTTATTTTTTGCAATAAATTAAAAATGTAGGAACATTTATACAAGTATATATACTTATTATTTCTTTTACTTTATCGGAAACAAAGATCATGAGAGGGAAGAAAGAAATTTTAAACACTACTAGCAAGGAATCTGAAACAATGGTTGGAAATTCGAAGCTAATTGGCATTCGGCAGTACAATGAAAATAAAAAAGAATCCTGTCTTTCCCGTGACTTTAACCTGCAAAAAAGATAAAAAAATAAATTATCATGGTTTTGCATCATCACAGCTGCATCACTTTAACCCCTCCGTTCTGCCATCCATCGCACTTTTTTGTCTACGTCTTTCTTCTTTCGTTTCCCCAGTTTTTTTGTTTTCATTTCATTTTTGGACCCGTTAGCTGTTACAGTTTCAGTCTTCTTTCGATATTAAAGCCCCACAACTTCCCAGAAACCCCACCCCACACACCAAGACCCAATTTCACTCCCCATTTCTCTCTCTCTCTCTCTCTCTCGCCCTCTGTGTCTGCACAAACTACTGGCCTGCGAGTTGTAGACCTGTAGTCTGGACTCAAAAGTCTTCCTCTTCATTACTAGTTAGTGTACTAATCAGTTTTGCCAGCCAATTTTAGGTAAGTGAAGTGATAGAAAAATGCCTAGTTTTTCGAGGCAGCTAAGTGGAAAAGAAGGTTGGAAATCCACGTAATGGAGATGGGGAGGGAACAACAAGTATAACAACGTTTGTGGGAATAGCTCTAGTGGGTTTGAGACAAGCTTAACTCAAATGGAAGGTCTTAAAATGTATGGCAATGGGGTTGACAATGGCTTGGTATTAAGGAAGAGAGTGATGGTTGTAGTGGACCAAAGCTCACATTCTAAGCATGCAATGATGTGGGCACTCACTCATGTAGCTAACAAGGGTGATTTGCTTACTTTACTTCATGTTGTTTCTCCAAGCCAGAAGACTTCTGACTCTTCTTCTTGTTCTCCTTACCTTGCTAACTCCCTTGGATCACTTTGCAAGGCTTGTAGACCTGAGGTAATACAGACAACTCTAAATTTGTTGTTATTTGTGTTTGTCCAGTTTCTCTCTTCTGGAAAAGACATGCTAAAATTTGTAATTTTTGTGTTTTTTGATGGATGAGTCCAATACGTTAGGAGTTAAAACAGTTAAGAGTAGGAGAAAAAAGTAACCTCGTCTTTGTGTTTGATAGATCCTACTTGATATGATCTTCCTTTTTCCCTTTCAGTACCTTTTCGGTGAGAGGCAATTTTCAAGTTATTCTTTGGTCTTTACTATTTTTTCTTTTTCTTTTAACAATTTCTCTGTTTCTTCCCTTGTTTTGGTTCATCTCTTATTTCTATTCTTTACAGGGAAGTAAGCTTTTTTCTACTCCAGTTTTGCCTTCCCTCTTTCTTTGCAGAACCCACAGCAGAAAAGTTTTTAGTTTTTTCCTTGGGTTGTGTGAGAGATGCCATTGCCATTTGCCATAGATCATGTTCTTTCATCTAGTCTTTGATCTTTGCTGGTTTTTACTTGCTTTTCATGGGGACCAATATTCAGGTAGAAGTGGAAGCACTGGCTATCCAAGGGCCCAAGCTGGCGACAGTGATGAGCCAAGTGAAGAAGCTAGCGGTTTCAGTGTTGGTACTGGGTCAGAAAAGGCCCTCTCCATTCTTAAACTGGTGGGTCCTTACCCGTTTCCAAGTACAGATTTTCCATGATTCATTCAGATCTTCATCTCACCCTATTCTGATCTTTCTAACCATTTGATCGTTGCTGGGTCTGCAGCCTGAGCGGGAACAGCAGCGCTGAGAACTTTGTTGAGCAATGCATCAATAATGCAGATTGCTTAACCATAGGGGTCAGGAAGCAGAGCAAAGGGGTCGGTGGCTACCTTGTCAGCACCAGATGGCAAAAGAACTTCTGGCTCTTGGCTTAGTTCTAGTTAATTTTTAACTAAATAACATACATGATTCCGAGTTAGACATCCATCCGTGATATATGCAGACATAAATCACTGTAATAATCTTAGCTTCTGATCTAGTATTTACTTGATGTATAATTTTATTACTAACTATAAACTTATAAGAATTCAAATTTTAGAATATGTAATTTATTATTATTATTTTCAAGTTATGGCTTTTTCTATTTTTAAGTTACCATCTTGCGTTCTTTATCTTCAAATTACAATCTATTAGTAAAAAATTTTAAAGCAGGGGTGATCTTTTAGCCAGGGCACCTGATTTGAAATTCAAGATTATACTTCAAACGGCGAAATAAATATACCAGTTTTTGCGGTTGTGGCTAGTCTTGGGAGGAAGATACAGGTCAAAAATAGAAAATTTCCATTGGTTTCATGTATTCCGCTATTTGGGACGCTCATAAATAAAGATATACGTAAGAAACTTGATAATTTTCTGTTTCTGAAAGACGAGAAAATATGTTAAAATTTTCCAACTAAATGAGTAATCTAATGTAAATCCGCCCAAGGTCATCGAGCATCCTGTCCAAACTATGCCATTTTTTCTTTTTTTGTGTCGTACCTCTCCAAAAAGCCAAGAACCCCATAAACAACAAACTCAATTAGACCTTATCATCTAACTTATCATTATTTACAAGGGGAAGTAGTTCCATCCTGTTCCTAGGCGTCCGGGGTGTTCGAGGGGTTCCAGGAGGCTGTTGGGAAAGCATGTGTCGTACATACCCATAAAATGTACATCCCACAAGGGTAATACCACAGCCAACAGCATTTAGACCCGAAATCGGGTTTCGGAATATCAGCCATGAAATCAACACAGCAACTGCTACCTGTAAAAGAAAGCAAAAACATAAGAATAATGAATACTGTAATCAAAATCAAGAAATTTTTGAAGAGTTTATGCGGTGGAAGTCTGCAACTATATACTACAAAATTTCCAAGAGGTTTGCAGAGATGGAAAAATACTTGCAACATTCAGATGATGAATTTTGCAAGTTCGTTATAGGACAAATAGACTCTAAATAATCATATCTAGGGTAAATTAGAAAACTTAAGCCCTAGCACACCACAATTAATGACAGCAATAATGATAGTAATGAATAGTATAACCGAGTCAGAACACGTTATCTATCCATTTTTTCTATACAAAACTCACCTTAAGGTTCCCAGCAACATTAAATGTGACAGCAGTAGTCGAGTGAATCACGTAAAAAATGGAGAAGTTAAGACAGAAAGCCAGCACTCCTGAGCTGAAAATAATGATGAGAGCTGCCCAAGGAGAGGGGTGGGTGTGAAGCCAATGTATAACCCCATTACCTTCAAGTAATAGTGCTGGTACTCCCAGGATCATGGTTGCAGAAGGTGCCATGTAGTAGACAGTATTTATGCTATAAAAGTACGCACCAAAAAATAAAGTGGAACAAGATCAGAAAACTTGTGAATTAATGCGTTGGATAAAAAACTGCACAAATATAGAACCTAGCAGCACATCATAATTCTTAAAGATACAAATGAATTAAAAAAAAAAAAAAAAAAAAACAAAGACTTTGCTCATTTAGTATCAGTTACTCAAGAAAAAAGAATAAGCAAACTAAAGGTCTCTACGTATTATTGAAATCACATATACTACATCGGCTAGGAATGCGATGAACTCTTAGAGGCAATAATCAAAGCCACCAAGGAAAAAAAACAACATATTCATTCTCAGCTTTTATTCTCAGAAAGGAAGGAAGCTCTTGTATCTCATGTTGAAACTTGGCTCTGTTTAATAACTAGAACTAGTCTGTGATGAAGAATGTCTACATAATTACATAATTTTAAGTTGCTGGGAATTGCATGTTCAATACTTGGATTAAATAGCAGTTTGCGAAGTTTTACTAGAGACTTATAAAGTAGTGGCAATAAATCAAGTATTACATGCAATCTAGCGAGACAGAGGATTGTGTCAATAAGAAGTCTGCCAGTCAAAAGAAAACTTCCCCAAAATGTAAAAGTCCAGGCCATTGGAGGATGTGATCACCAAGGCAATGCCAGGTATTCTATTTGCTTGCCAAACAGTACAACTAAATGAGAAAATAGGCATGTGAAAGGCCAACTGACAATTATAGTAAAATTATGTGCTGGCTGCAGAAATTGACACATTACACTCAGTTAAATGCAGAACTAACTAAATTTTGCGTTCAATTTCAAGATTTTCTATGTCTGTCATAAACTAATTTACACATTAAACATGTGCTTAGCTTCAACCGAGTTGTCTTATGTTTTAACCTTTACTAAAATATCAAAGATGGCCAAAAGGACATAAAACAATCACAAGAAAACATCACTACCTGTCAAATTTGTATCCATGCAGCAGAGATTCTGCAAGGATAGTCTTTGTAGAAGTAGCTAAACATCCAAATAAGGCAGCAGAAAACCCTAACATATTAAAACTAAGTTCTGTAATAGATGTGAGCAGAATTCCTCCAACAATAGGAATCAATGAGGCCCAAATTCGCCAGTCAAAGTACTTTCTCCAAACTAGCCACTGCAAAACAACTGTCAGAATGTATAGAGATCAGATGTGATGATGATACAAAGTCATGAGTTTAATCAAGATAATGCGCACAAAAATGATGATTAGGCTTGTAATTTCTAAATCCCACCTGTAGTTGCAGGAGTGAATGACTTAATAGTCTGCATAAAAGAAACTGGGATGTAGCGTAAGCTAACATTTCCCAACACTATGTTGATACAGAACACAAAAGACATGGGAAATATCCTTTTCCAGCGGTCTTCAGGATCAACCACTATTAGAGGTTTAAGCTTTAGCACTTTGATTACCAGATATGCTCCAATTGATGAGCATATAAAGTGAATGCATGATACTGAGAGGGGAAATTTGAAATCCAATTTCTGAAAAAAAAAAGAAAAAATAAAAACAGTGTCATATACTCAGACCTTTGACTGTAAGTGTCAAAATCAACCGATTCCAATCTAAGATACCAATATCCCAATCTAACAATTGTTTGATCACTGAATGTTATACTTTGTTATGTCCCCTAGAGAAAGAAGAATGAAAAATATAGAAAGAAAACATTTAGAGAGAAATAAATTCATATCAGGCTGTTCATTGGACTGAAGAGAAACCAAAGGATTAGGCTCCCAGCTATGCCCATATTAAGTTACAAAAATATTCCGGTAGTTAGCATCAATCAGGATAGAAGCAGAGTTAGAAGTATTTTTACGCATCTGAAATTTTAGAGACATAAGTGAATCATTTGGAATGAATTGAAAGAGCAGCACAAAATCATTAGCATATTTCCCAAGATTGCATTAAACCATTCAAAATTTTAGCTAATTCTTTAAGCAGGAAAATTTACTTGTCAAGCCACAAATTGAAGGTTCACGTTTAATCCCACCACATGCAAGACAGCCATCACTACCGTTCCCCCTCCAACATGGTCCACGTAAACAAAATGAACGTTATAATACCAATATATGAGGAATCATATATTTATATTCCTCGATCTGTTACTTATGTACCTAGACAAAACTGAAAACTGCAGACACTCTCCTCTAAAACGAAACTGACAGCCTGGCCATGACTCCAATTCTTCTAGGATGAGTAATTTAAGTCCATAATCAGGCTGTTAGTCTAGATTACAAAACAAAATTAAATAATAAAAAATATAAAGACGACAAGAACCTAGATTGTTGATATTATATAATTGACCAGCTAAATTGTACCAGTTGGCAGCCTCTTTAAATTTAGAACTTTCATATAATATGTATTGTTTAGTAAATTATTGAGTTAAAAATAGCCAACACAAGAACTCAAATTTTTAATTTAAAAAAAAAAATCTAAAAACAGAAAATTTTAGTCTTGCAAGCATTACCATGAATCAATCAACAACTCCAGCAAAATTTTAACTGATACTGAATCTAAGCAGAAAACAGAAGGCATCAAAATAAAAGCTTATAACACAACAAACAGAATTCTATACTAATCAAATAACTAGATCCAAATAAAAGAAAATTAAGTTAAACCCGAGTGCCAACATTAGAAACAAACCTGAAAGATCCATTTGTTAATGATAATCACGGTAACATTAAAACCCCACCACTGGAGAATTGCAAGAAGAGATCTGAAAACACCCCACTGCCACAATTTCCCCTCCTCCATTTCTCTCCCCCACCCCCTCTCTCTATCAACAAAACCCCACAATTCCCCCAAAACCCAGATCACCAAAAACCAATAAAACCAAACGAAAAAAAATGACAACAAAAACAAAAGCCACCTCAAATTTTCGTTTTTGGAGTATTGAAGAGGTAGCTAAGTTATATAAATAGAGAGAAAGAGAATTAAAATTTAAAAAGAGTAACCTAAAGAAAATGTGAGGGAGGGCGTAACGGTGGAGGCAGACCTTCCATATGATTTTCTCTCTTTCTCTCTCTAATATGAAGGGGGTTGAATTTTAAGTGTCTCTTAAATTTTGTCATAGAATTATGTTTTTTTATGTAAAATATATTATTGGTCAGTCAATTATAAAATATTATTAGTAATTTTTTAATTTTATTAAAATTCAAATAAATATTATTTTAATTCATTATTAGTTTTTGATAATATGCCGACGTAATAATATTACATCAATTGTTAAGTCTTACATCAATATAATAGTAATAATTTTCCCTTTGCATTTGCAGTGGGGTCCCCCTCATTAGAAAGTTCCTAGGAAATAGGGTGATCAGAGCCATTCAATGAATATACTTTCTTTCAATTTTTGACGTTGACTATAATTTTTTACCATCGGATTTTGTCTAATTATAGAACTGGTTTCACTTTGGAGAAACCTCATATGAGAAACCAAACCAGTTTTTTTTTTTTTTGGGTTCTAGTTTAAGGAGTTCGTAATAAAGTTGGAGATAATTGCGGGAGGAATAATAATAGTCGTAATAAGTAAAGTTTTTTTTTTTTCCTTCTTTAATGTGCTTTGAAAATTCTTGATATAACTGTCCTGTCTTTATGAAAAAAAGTCACGGCTGATTGTTAGCATCTAACGTAGGTTTTTATTTCCTGCTTTATTCTCTTTGTTATTTGTTTCTTTTTCCTTTTAAATTACTAGCCATTTTTCTTTTCATTTAATGGACTGAAAAGGAGTCGGATCTCAATGAACAAAGCCATTAGAGAAATTTCCATTAAGAAATTGACAAAAAATAATTGAAAATTACATTGTTCATTTCTGCCATGATTAGTGCAACAAGAATTGAATTATTATCTTATACAAAGATGATGGAGTTTGTAAACTTTAAAATTTGTATTAAAATATTATAGTAACGTGTTATTTATTTATTATATTAATTTATTAATTTTAAATATATTGTAATGAATACGTGATAATATTATTCTAATATTGTTGTTGGAATTTAAAAATTTTAATGTACTAAATAACTTTCCTTGACAATTATTCTTATTTTAAAATATTTATTGAATCAGAATTTATCAATTATTGTAATATTTTTATAAAATTGATGGAATTTGTAATTTGATCCAATTTAATATTGGAAGTACTTGATGATAAATAAGTCCTTTATTTTTTTTTATGATAATGAAGTTAGTTAGCTGAAATTTAATGGACACAAAATGTGGTTCCATAAAACCATAAGAAAGTAAGCTTTTGGCATTTAATATCAACTTTGGGTGTTGAAATAACACTATTGCTTTTGTATTAATTCATGATGACAAAAGGATGCCGTGTGTTCTTATAACTTTGAGCCTTGGTCTAAACGTGTACATGGTTTTATGGTGGTTTTGATGGTGATGATATGAAGTTATTGGACAAGTCCATTGTCCAAAATTAACCAAATAAATGAAACTAAAAGTAACTTTTATTAATTGGCCATGTTTAACAAATTTCAAACAAAATGGTTTTTCTATTAATGTACCAACAAGCAAAAAGCATATGGATTTGTAGGATTGCCACCTAATATGGTTTCAATGAAGAAGTGGAGACATGACACTGATTAAAAGTCGTGCATTGAGCAGACCGACCACCAACGTTTTGTTTTGGCTTCCTTTATCTGCCCAATAAGATAGGCTTACAAAACGTTTGATCAAGGCAACTATAAATGCAAAATGTGAGTGAGTGGTGGAGAAGTTACTCAATCTTTGCCTTTCTTGGGGCCAATTGGAGCACATGCATCAATTGACAAAGTGAATTATATATTATTGTAGCTGAAGGGTTTCTTAAACATTGTCTCAAAACAAATTTAAAGTTTTTTTTTTTTTATCTTTTAAATTATGCATAAAAATAAATAAGTTATAATGCCTCAAATATAAAAGTAAATGTTAAATTTTAAAATAAACTATCGATAGGATTCAAATCTAATGTTGTTTAAGTTGAGATAGATGATTTTATTAATTAAATTAATGCTTACAAGTGGATAAAATTAAAAAAAAAAAAATCTTATGAGAGTATTAACCATTTGAAAGTATAAGTTTAGATATGTAAATTTGATTTAGTAAGTAAGAAATGTAAAGAAAATTAAGGATGTTAGGCCACCTGCATTTCAAATTTCTGCAGTGCTGCCACATCTAACAAATCTGCAAATTGTGGCAAAAAGTATTTTACAAGAAGGGAAGCATTAATAATCCCTATGCCTAGTTTTGCAGGCTGATTATAGCTTATTAAAAACTTGCCCACTTTTCCGTATATCGTTGAATTAAGCTGCATATTTCTCCTATAAGTCTTGAAGTTGAAAATGGGGTTCCTAGTTATTATTGGTCAAGACTCCAAAAATTCAAAGAACTTTGGCACTCCGTCCTGTCAATGATGAAATCCTTTCGTTCCTCCGTTAATTTACAGCTTACTCAACACTGTGAGCAGCAAATTAAACAATTTTTTATAAAAAAAAAATTACAGTTAAAAAATTAAAAATAAAAAAAAATCGCAAGTGTTGAATTTTCATTTTTATTGAAATTCACTTTTTAAGGTAAGCAAATGAATTATTTAAATTAAGCCTTCAACTCAAATAAACGTGTATTTTCACTTTAATAAAAAAATAAATAATAAAATTTAAAATTTAATTCAATTAATTTATATAATTATATTTTAAAAATATCATTCAAAAAATTTAAATTCAAATTTTAATATCTATAATTCTTCTCTTTACTTTATAAAATTAGTCATCAAATGATTATTTATTTAATAATGAATATATGAGTTTGATTTCAAATTTTAAGAACATCTTGAAGCAGTAAATGAAATTCACTAATGCAAATTTGAGGCTTTGTTATTTGGGTTGCTAACTTATTTTTCAAAAAAATAGAAATTTGGTCGGCTGGAACCGAAAAAGCTAGTCAAAGGGGAAAGAATGAAGAGAAAATTGACTGCACCGGAAAAGTTGACGATTACCAAACATTCAACCACCATTTAGATTGACCCACTCCCCCCCCCAAAAAAAAAAAAAAAAAAAACTGATTTAAAAAGTAACGAAAGCCGCCGCGTGGCTTATTACATATTTGCTGCGTCACAAATTGTTCGAATTTTTATGACCAATTCAGCATTTTGATTACTAAACAACCAAACCACCCGGTTGAGACTTGAGAGAGATACTTTTATGGTTTATCCTATAATAATGGATTTTATTCTGAATTAATATCAAAGTCCCACACCTCTCTTTATTATATATATATATATATTTATATTCTAGATAATGTATAAAAAAGGAGTTGCTTGGAGCCCTCAAGTTAGTAAAGTTGACGAGAAAATAAATGTATGGATAAGAAATTTATTATTTTAAGTTGTTGAATGTTTGTTTAAGAAGGAAAAAATGTTAAATATTATTTGAATTATTCTCGAAATAAAACAAAGGAATTATACTAATCCAATGTGAATGTCAATGTAAGGACATGAGATCCACATAACAAGTTCATTGATAAAATCAAATGTAAAAATATCCATCATAGCAATACGAAAATTTTCATTATATTAATATAAATTTTTTATTATATAGAGAATGTCGTAGTTTGAGAATAAAAAAAATTATAAATATTAAAATTAAAATTATATATTATATTAAATATCATTTTTTAAGAATAATTTATATTAATAATAATGATAACTATAACTTCATTATATAGCAAGTGCTATATGCTTTTGATTAGCAGAACATAACATCATATATAGTTTATCCACTAATAAACTTGAATGGAAAATTTCCTCTGAACTATAAGGATGAGGTTGATCTATGAAAGGAAATCACCAAATATATATCAAAGTCTGGCGGATTGAAGTCTTGAATTCTATTCTCTAAAATAAAAAATGAAAACAACTTATTCATCTGCACCAACAACATTGTATGATTCCTTCAATGACTAGTTGTTAGTATTTATGGAGATTGCAACTACCATTTTTTTTTTTTAATTGCAAGGTAAGATATCAAAATCGTAGGCCATTACTCGATCTTTTCTTTCCAGCTTGAATTTCAAGGTTAGTAGGGGTGAGCAAAAGTCGGTTTAAATCGATTAGATTGATCGAAACCGAGTGAATTCGGTTGAATCGATTCAATTTATTCGATTTTAATTATAATCGATTTTTTAAATCAATTAAATTAATTAATTCGATCGATTTTTGATTTTTAAAATTGATAATCGCACTGACTGAATTAATAAACTTTCTAATAATTAAAAATAAAAAAATTGAGATAATTATTTTTAATTTTTTTATAAATTATTATTGAAATTATTAAATTCTTTAGTAATTTAATTTGAATGATACTAAAATTTGAATTTTATTGAATTGAATTTGTGGTTAAATAATTATTCATTTTGTGGGGGATTTATTACATTTATTAACATTATGTTTGGTTTAAGGGGAGCAGAACGAAAGGAAAATAAAGGAAAGTTATAGAAATAGAAAAAATTTTCATTTGTTTGAATTAATTTTTAATTTAAAGAAAAGAAAAAGGTAGAAATTTAATATTTTTTATTTTTTATTGTAATTTTCACTTTTTAAATATCCCAATTAAGGAGAAAAGCTAAGGAAAGAAAAGTTGAAAAAAAATTTATTTTTATAAAAAGATTATTATATTCATATTTTTATTATAACATTAGATTTAATTATATAACTAACACTTTTTACAAAAATAATTATTTATATGAGTATTTTATATAACATTTCAATTTATAAATATTTTATAAATTTTCAAATCTTAACAATAAAACAAACCAAATTATTGTCAAAATAGATTAAAAGACTAAATTAAACATAAAATTAAGAGTAAATCAATAATTAACTAATGCATTTTACCGCATCAATCATGTTTAATTTTATTAAAAAAAATTTGTTTATACAAATAATATAAAGATATATTTGTATATTGTATGTTACTTTATAAAAAAAAAATTATAATTGAAAAAATATAATAAATTATTTTCTTTCATTTTTATTATTTATTCAAATAATGATTGTTAGAATTTGTTTTGTTTTTTTTATTAATTTTAATTATCCAAACAATGTAGTATCATTTTCTTTTCTTTCCTTTCTTTTATTTATATGTATCCAAATATAGCGTAATAGACAGCCCAGAATCAAGATGTTTATGGGGACGGTGGCTACATGGCGCGCACTTTGATCACTTTTGCCCTTTGTCTATGGTTTGAATTTGTCCAGGAAGAATGCTTTTGTTGAATGGGCTTTCAGTGGCCTCTAGCAATCTCATTGTCAACAGTTTGTGTAACTATATGAAACACAAAGCTGTTGCACCTGAGAGACATGTAAGACAACAGAGATTGATATAGACAAGAGTCCGTCTTAAGTACCAGGAAAATATTTTGCGCCTGTTTCAAATGGAATGTGGATCAACAGAATGAAAATTTTAGTTGGACTGAAAATGATCCTTCCAGAATTTCTTACTCTTTTAAACAAAGCTTGACAGGTAAGACATAGATGGTGGCTGAGGCCTCAAAATGGCTGAGTTGAACAACCATCATCAACCAAAAATTCAGAATTGGCTTAAACACCTCCCACTTTATTCCTAATGCACTTCAATTCGACAAGCCAAGAAACAACATAGCTGCAAATGCAGCTGCATATATTGCATTCTTGTGCTATAATCAAAACATTACCTCTGTGAATCTTACACCAGACATGTTTAGGATATTCTCTGAGTCTCTGTCCAATAAATTTGATGAGTGGTTCTACAAAATTACTCTAGCGGATTACAGAATTATGATTTGTCTAATAAGCAACTTTGATGACCAAAAATTACTGCTTCCTCAAAAGTTAGCTAATCCAATTCAGAGTTTAGACTACGAATTTGGCTGCAGGAGATTTTGCACCTTCTTTTGCAGTATCTCCTGACATAACTACAAAGCAACACCAATTAGATATGAAATGGGGTTTAAAATAAAAAAAAAGAGTTCCACATTCATGCAACAGGCTATTTTTGTATCATGGTAGAAAGATTTTCAATTGAAACATGTCTCAAATAAGAAGTCCACACATTTATGAAAGAATATAGGAAAACAAAATAAAACCCATATTTTCATCTTTAAGAAAAAGGAAAGAAAGTTACCGATTGGAGGAGATGGGGATTCGCCATAGATGATTTTGAGGTTAGCCAGAGGAACAAGAGGGGTGTTAGAGGTTGCTTCAGCAAAGAGCTGTTGCTTCCAATCCCACATAGTATTTTTCATAGCCTTGTTGGTTTTGGTCAAGGATTCCTTCTCGGCTTCCAAAGCTTCTATAACCTTTTGCTGGTTCAGAGATCGAATGCCTAACACTGCGAATGATGTGACCAAGCACACGTTGATCACCACGTTATTGTTGGCCGCTCTGGTTGCTAGCGCCACCAGCTTGTTAGCGAACTCCATTTCTCTTTGGTTGGTCGAGATCTTGGGATTTCAGGGTTTCTATGAAAAATTACCAAGGGCAAATTTCGAAAACGGGCCTGGGCCTGGGTTAACACCAGCATCGTAATTTAACGGTAAGTCGATCATTCATTCTAACGGCTGAAAAAATAAAAAGGATTAAATACATATTTTGACTTAGAATTTTAAAATTTTTGTCATATTAATATTTAAAATTTTTTTATCACATTATTATATAAATTTTCAAATCGTTTTCACGTTAATAACTTAGATTAATGTCATGTTTCAATTTTATTAATGTGATATTAGCATCCAATAAAATATTAATATATATTAAAAAATATAGATAACGATGCATTATTATTACCATATTAGCATAAAAAAATTAAAAAAAATCATAAAAATTAAAATAAAATTCTTAAAAAATATTAAAAATTTTAATTTTTTTTTTAAATTCTAAAAATTTTAAAATTTTCTAAAAATTTTAAAAACTTCAAAAAAATTGTAAACACTTAAAAAAATCCTAAAATTTTTAAAAATTCTAGAAAAAATTCAAAACATTCCAAAAATTCTAAAAATTTTTGAAAAATTATAAATTTTTTTAAAATCAATAAAAAATTAGAAACATGAAATATTTTTATAAAATTTAAAAATTATCATAATTTAAAAAGTTTTAAAAATTCTAAAAAAATAAAAACTTTTTAAAGTTTCTCAAAAAATTTAAAATTAAAATTCTAAAACATTCTAAAAAATTCTAAAATTTTTGAAAAATTATAATTTTTTTTAAATTTTAAAAAATTAAAAGATGAAATATTTTTGTATATTATAAAAAATATCATAATTTAAAATTTTTTAAAAATGCCACAAAAAATTAAAACTTTTTAAAAATATTCTAAAATTTTAATTTTTTTAAATATTCAAATTTTTTTTTAAAATTAATCAAAATATTTAAAAAATTCTAAAAAATTAAAACCTTCTAAAAAGTTCTAAAAATTTTTAAAAAATTAGAAAAATAATAAAATTTTTTAAATTTATAAAAAATGAAAAATATGAAATACTTTTATAAATTATAAAAAAAATCATAATTTGAAAATTTTTTTAAAATTAAAAAAATAAAAAGTTTATAAAAATTAATTTTATAAAAAATTATAAAAATTTGTTGAAAATTTTCAAGTTTCCTTAATTATTTTTTAATTTTTTAGAAATTTTAAAATTTTTAAAAAGTTTTTAGAATTTTTAAAATTTTTTGGATTTTACAAAAAAATTTAAAATTCTTTTAAAATTTTTTGAATGTTTGAAAAATTTTTTGGAAATTTTTTAGAATTTTAGAATTGTTTATAATTTAAAATTTTTTTTTGGCTTTGTTAAAAAATTTTTAGATTTTTTATTTGAATTTTTTAAAATTTTTTATTAACTTTTTAGATTTTTAATATTTTTGAACGGTTTTTAAAGATTTTTCTACGTGACAATGATATTGTGTCATTGTTTAAATTTTTTGATATGAATTAATATCTTATTAAATATTTATATTCAATAAAATTAACTAATGATATTAATATAAGATATCAATATAATAAAAATTTTAAAATTCACGAGTCAAATATATATTTAATCCAAAATAAAACCATTCGCACCGTCGGATCTTATAGAGCATGATTGTCACGCGATTCTCCTCTCTTAAACTGGGCCGTACCCTTCTCCTTTCTTCAATTCTCCCACCCTCCAAAGTATATGTTTTTTTAAAAAATCAAAACCCTCACTCCTCAATGGCAGTACTAGCCTTTTTCTTTATTTATTTCTAATCAAACCTCTCTCATTAGATCCATCGATCAATGGACGAGCCCACATTGCAACTCATCTCTGGAATCGGCACCAAACTCGGCCAACTCGCTCGCCCTAACAAGGATGTCCTCGTCAAATCTCTTCGTGTAAGCAAAAATTTCAACTTCTTCTCTTCTCTCTTCTTTCTTTTTTTTTGGAAAAAGAAAAGTAAATTTTCTCAAACAAATCGCTAGGACTGTCGAATGCCACTGATTATGGAATGTTCCACCTCGAATAATTTGATACTAATATTCTCATAAAATCATGTTTATCAATTTATGCAGTTGATTAAGTTGTTACTTGCTTATGAACATGGATTCGAAATTTGAATTTGAGTCAAATGTCAACTTACTGAAAAAAATCGAATAATTAGTGTATATTATGCAAATATTGAAATGTGTTTTGACATTCTATCGAATATATTTTGTGTGTTTGGCGGTACAGGTACAACGTCTTAGATTTTGCTCTATTAGGTTAAATTTAACAAAAATTATGTTTTTTTTTTTTTTAATTTCGTAATTAAATAGTTTTCTGAGAGCTTCTCTGATAGAATTTGATTTTGGAGGAAAAAACTTATGTTGTGATCCTCCATGTGGTTGTAATTCTCTTTGCAGCAAGTTGTGAGTGCCTTGTCACAAATAGAACAGCCTTTGGTTGTTGAAGTTGCCACAAAGGCGCAAGTGTTGGGAAAAATAGAAACAGCCACGAAGTCATTGAGGAAATCTATTGTTAAGCACGGTCTATCTAACCACACTGATAAAGATGTTAGACTTTTGGTGGCCATTTGTGTCAGTGAATTTTTTCGGATCCTGGCGCCTCAACCACCTTTTGCAGATAAATATCTTAGGGTAACTTTTTTTTTGGGTCTGAAGTTACATGGTTACTGTTGTACATCATTGTTGTTTCGCTCCATCTATCATCAAGTTTATGAACTCTTTCATTTCAGGACCTTTTTAAACTCATTCTCAGTATGTTCATGGAGCTTGCTGATACTACAAGTGCATTATTCTCAAGAAGGGTTAAAATATTGGAGACTGTTGCTCGATGTAAATGTTGTGTGATAATGCTCGATATTGACTGCAATGATTTGATTCTTGAAATGTTTAATATTTTTTTCTCAGTTGTGAGGTCAGGTTCCTTTCCCTCTTTATTTCTTGTATATATATATATATATATATATATATATACTTATTTGGTAGTTTTATATTATTTTCTTTTTAATCAACAAATTGTTATGATGTTGTGCCTTAAAATAACTTAATCCTTCTTTCTGTAGGATCTTTTTCATGTATCAGGTTGTATGTGTCTCTGAATTGAAACTTACTTTAACTGAAGTAAACTGTTAACTTTTTCCTGTAATACTCACTACTCAGATTTTAGTAACTTATTCTGAACTGAGAACCTCCATTAAATTTATTATAGATTTGAATTTTGAGTCTTTATCTTCTCCTTGTTGAATGGCAGTGAAATGTTTTATCTGTGAACTTCTATTACTTTTAATGCAATCATTGTGTTTTGTGGAGCCTTTATTGCCTCAACAGTATGTTTGGCTTTTCATTCAATGATCACTATACATATTTGTCATAATTTTCTTCCAACCCCTTTTGTTTATTGCTTCATTACTCATTGTTTTCATTTTCCATTTTGTATATGCTGTGATAGTAAAACGTTATTTTTCTTTCTTCCCAGAGATCATCATCAACAGAGTTTAATCAATGATATTTTGTCTATAATGACTCATATTCTAAATGAGGAAGTGTCTCATGAGCTTATGGATTTAATTTTGCGAAATCTTATACAGGAGAGTAAGGTGAGTGTTGGCAGAAATTTTTTTCTTTTGTTCAAGTGAGACTGTTTTTAACTTGTGTTTTCCAGAATTTTTAGCCAAAAAGGGGTTTGTGCATTGTTGGAGGAGACAAAATGAGCTAATGTTGATTTAATTTGTCAATATATATGATTCATGCATTTGATGTGTTCTGGAAGCCTTCTCATTTTAGTAGGAGTTATGTCATCTGTTGGCCAGGGAATGTGTGAAAATATTGTTGAACGTAGGATTTCTGGGTGGCAGATGCCTTTTATGTACTTTTTAGGTCAGACTCTTATCTCTCACCAGATATCACGAAATTTGGCTGTTGCTTATGTTTGCCGTCTCTTCCTGCATCTCCTTCCAAATTGGGATTTTAATTTCATTTAAGATTTTGATGATTCAAGGTATCCCTACTATTGAGTTATTGTTTGTAAGATGAAATTACTTTCTCTTTGTGTCCTGCAGTGCTACATAGGATTTATTGGTAATAGCTGGTGCATTCTGATACTGATCTTTCTTATTCAGAATGTGGTGCCTTTTCAAGTTTAAAGTATTACTTATACAGTTACTTAAGAAGAGTACCACAATTATTTGCTTCATAATTCAAATAGAGCACTGAAACTTTTTGTTTAACAGTGCTTACTTGATTAGCAAGATTATGGACCGTCTTTCATTATATTGTACTAGTACCATATTGTAGATTTTCAGCATCTCATAGTAGATCAATTCCTTTCATTGTTATATATATATGCATATATGTAAAATAGGAAAATTTTGAATATTTATTTACATTAATGTATGTTGTACAGGATGCAAATTCTGCGGCTTCTCAGCTTGCTGCCTCTGTTATCCAAAGTTGTGCAGAAAAGCTTCAGCCCTTTGTTTGTGGATTTTTAACATCTTGCTCCTTGGATAGAGATTCTGTAGGGAGTGAGCTCAAAGAATTCTATCATGAAATTGTGTTAAAAATCTTTCAGTGTGCTCCTGAGATGCTTAATGCTATCATCCCTAATTTGACCCAAGAATTAATGGTACAGCATCCTTATTATGTTCTTGCTCTAATTATTATTCATATAGCTTAAATAGTTTGGATTTAGTATTATGGATCTCTTGTTTCTTGTTTCCCTAGAAAGTGTCTCTTATGCTCTAATTTATTTAACTTTGAATTTGTTCTTAATTGTTGTTGAAGTAACTTTGTGTGTTTATCTACAGACTGATCAGGTTGATGTGCGAATAAAAGCTGTTAATTTAATTGGAAAACTTCTTTTACTACCTGAATACCGTGTTGCACAAAGATATCGTACTCTTTTTGTAGAGTTTTTGAAAAGATTTTCTGATAAATCTTCAGAAGTTAGAGTTACTTCTCTACAATGTGCTAAAGCTTGTTGCTTGGCCAATCCATCGGGGATAGAATCCCTTGAACTTCTCAGTAAGCCATTCCATAATAAAGTTCTTTTGTTATTGTGCATGTATCTTTGTGCTGTCTTCAAAATCTAAAATGTGTTTTCTATCGTTGACTCGTAAACTCAACAGCTGCCATTAAAGATAGACTGCTGGACTTCGATGATAAAGTGAGAATGCAGGCAGTGGTTGTTGCCTGTGATATTTCTAGGTCTAACCTTAAATATACTTCACCTGAACTCATATCTGAGGTTTTAGAGAGACTTAGGGATAAGAAGGTAATCTTGCTTTAGGATATTTGTGCGATTAGTATGTGTTTAAAGTTGTTTACCACTCAATTTTTTATTCTTCTTATGCAGATTTCTGTTAGAAAGAAAGCCTTGCAGAAAGTGATGGAAGTATATCGAGATTATTGTAAAAAGTGTGCTGAAGGGCATATCACAATATGTGATCACTTTGAGCAGATTCCATGCAAACTCTTGATGCTTTGCTATGATAAAGATTGCAAAGAATTTAGGTATGTATATTTGCACTTTATTGGGGCTAAGAAAATCAAAACAGGTCTCTTATAATGTCAAATTTGATGTTCAGGTCCCAAAACATAGAACTTGTTATTGCGGAGGATTTATTTCCGGTTTTTCTTCCAGTTGAAGAGAGGACAAGACACTGGATCCGTTTGTTTTCTCTTTTCAGCCCTTTGCATGTGAAGGCTCTCAATGCTATTTTATCTCAGAAACGAAGGTATTTATATTAAATTACTGCTTGAATGAGGGTGGTATATCTGTTATTACCATCTCTTTATGTTTTCAGGTTGCAAACTGAAATGCGGAATTATTTTGCCTTACGAAGGAAAGAGAAGGTAGACTGCTTGTACTGCTTTCTGGAAAGTCATATAATGTTTATTTGAGGACCTAATGGATCAGCTCTCTTACTACTCTTGCATGCTAATTGACAAAGTCCTACATATTACTTGATGTTTGCATTTATAATGCATCCATTACCTATTCAAATATTTACTATGGTGTGCATTGTTCTTGGTATGATTAATGTTGCATCAAGCATGGTTAGGCTTTCTTTCCTTGAAATTTGTGCACACCATTCCACGGTCAAAACATATGCATGCACACTTACAGAATATTTTCTTATGGGTGAGGTGATTTTGTTTTTAAGTTTCCCTGTACATAACATCACTACAATTGGTATATATTATGAAAACTTGTGGTTTTTGGTGTGTGGTGTGTGTGTCAAATCTTTGTTCCTTTAAGTGTCCTATTTGCTGGGTTTGATTAATCTGGACTGATCAATGTTTATTGCAGGAGAATAGTTCAGAGGATGTGCAGAAGAGATTGAAGAGTTCTTTTGTGAAAATGTCAGCTTCATTCCCAGATCCATCCAAAGCTGAAGAGTGCTTTGATAAGTTGAGTCAAATCAAGGACAACAAAATTTTCGCTTCACTGGGTCTGTTGCTGGATGAAGTGACACTTAAAAATGCCCTGGCCATAAGAGTGCGTTGTTTACTTGTTCTTTTTGGTTTAATTTGATTGCAAGATACCACGTACTACCACATGTTTTCTTTAAGTACGTTTGCAGTTTTTGCATGGTGCACTAAGGTTTTCTGGTTCAGTATCCATATCCTTAAATGTTTCTATAATATTTCCTACTTAACCTTATGCTTTATAAGAAAAAAAAGTCATAATTTTCTGGTAAAATTTGTTTTGCTTCTATGATTGCATTTCTCATTAGCATAGGCCATGTAATGTATTAAGTACGACTTCTCACGTACAATGACAAACACAGCTTTTCAAGTTTAACCAAAAGGCAGTATTTGTTTTAGAAAGGTTATAAAACAAAGTAATTGACTGCTGCTTTGACTTTAACAGATTGCCTATGCAGTTTGAGTCAAAGAAGATTCCAAATTCATAATAGGAAACCTTGTTTTGAGAATTTGACTGGATGTGTTGGTAATATCTGCTAACCATTCTGGGATTTGTTGTTGATAAGTGATTCATTTGTCATTTATAATGGAGAAAGCTTCTAAAACTTTCCTATTTTATGTACAAAGTCTAATTGACCTGATACCTATTGAATCTCTGATCTGAATGGCAATGTTCTGATGTTGTGTCTCATTGATGAATGATTCTGCAATCACTGCCTACCCTTTATGTGACAAAATTTATGTTTATGCTTTTAGTAGCATGGGAACTGTTTTATTTTCTGCCTGCTGTGCGGTTGGATAAGACAAGTAATGGTTCTCTACTGGGATGGGAACTTTTAGGAATTTCAGTATCCCACTTTCTATGGGCCAATTGTGCTAGTGGAGATGATGCTAGTGGAGATGATCTGTCTTTTTAGTGAGTATTGTTTACTGTGTTGCCAATCCTTACAGCTGGGAAAGGTCCTTTTTTCCTTAGGTTGAACTGCAAAAGTGCTTGTGATAGTAAAAAAGTACCTGATTAAATATAGAAAACTCAACATCCAAAGATATGAAAATTTTGAAGCTTTGTGTTTCTTCACCTAATTTTCTGATCGGGATAGAGCTGAGTTGGATTCTGTTTGGTATCTTCCTTTGTGTGTCGAGGTCTATTCTCTGCAGTTGAAGAAACCCACGTTGATGGTTTGTATAAAATACTTAAAACAGAAATTGGCACTTGTTTTTACTCACTATTTAGTCATAATTTCATTTGCAGTGCTAGAATTTGAATAAAAGATACTATCAGGGTAGAAGCCTGTGATTTAAATACTATTTTGAGTCATATGCTGTTCGGTGCCTCATCTATTTGATTACTTATGTTGTGGTTAATAGGAAGGATTGACTTTTCTTTGTTGATGAACATATTGTCAAACTTGCTTAAACTTTTAACAGGAGGTATAACATGTCATTCCCTTGTTTTCCCTTTTTGTATTTCTGATTTTTAAAAATTTTTCTGTATAAGTTACCAAAAGTAAACAACTTTTCCTTTTCAGGATAAATTCCTTAAAGTGATAGGGAATAAGCATCCACACTTTGAGTTTTTGCGGTTGCTCTGCTCGAAATTCTTGTTTAATATATTTGACTCTGAGCACGTCTGTTGCATTCTCAATCTTATTTCCAGTGGTGGGTTGGAAAGCAATCATTTAGAAGCTTTTTCTGTTGAACTACTTCTGGTAAGAACAATTGTTTCTCATTGAATCTCAATGGTGCTCTTTTTTCCCTTTAAAAATGAGATCTGCACTCAGAAGATTTGCAGGCATCATCATGTTCGTGCAGAACTTTATTATTTAATTGGAATATGTGATGCACCTAATGGTTAATTGTAATTTTATTTTGTGTAAAGAAAAGCTTTATTTGCAAAAAATAGTTCATTTGTTGCACAGAAATGCCCAAATGGTTTCAGGAGCCTCTTTATTTGTTGTAAATCTTCAATAGACACTGACTAGCTGCATAAAAATAAAAATTGCTTTGATTTATTGGTATGTATAAAAAGGCAAGTATCTTGGGAAAAAGATGATCCTCAAGGTGTAAAGGGTATACTTTATGAGTGCTTCACACCATCTGTTTATAGAGATCGAAATGAGTCAAGCTGCATGTATGTGATCTCATGCTCAGCTGCTTAAGAATATCGGCTCTGCTTGCTTGGTTAAGAAATGAACTGAGCTTGAGCTTGATGGCCAGCTCATTTAGTTAAATGGCCTGGCTGGTTACAACAAATGTTCTTGCTTAATTATATCATATCTCAAAATTTGAGCTTGAGCTTGAGTTGACTTTTATTATACAATAATAATTGAAGTGAGTTTTTGGGAACTCTTTTTGAATCAAGCTGGAGTTTAGCACTTGAGCTTGAGTTTCAAACACTTAAATTGAGTCAAGTACGAGCTTTTTACTATTTGGCTTTCTTGGCTCTGCTGTACATGTACATTTACAGGAGATATGAGCCTTTTGGTAATTGCAGGACTGCTACTTTGAACATAAACATGACAATTGCCTTGTAATGCTATTGTTATAAAATTTTCTGATGTGTCCTGTTTTGACTCTACCACTCCACTTTCATTCCTGTACATTTGATGCTCATAATCAAAGATTTTGTATCCAACAAGAGCATGAGCTATATCAGTCAGAAAAACACCTAGACTTTTTCCTAAACTTAATCTTTAAAGTGCATCTTAAGTAGAAATGTAGAAGAGAGACAGTGAAATTTGGACAGAGAAGCAGTGTCATGACAGAAAGTTAACTTTTGAATTGCCTTTTATTGTAGTGGTATTTGATAATTAAAAAACTACGTCCTACAGGAAAATAAATTTGATTCATCTTTTAGAGAGACTTCAATTTTACTTTAGCCACATTTAAAATGATACAGGTTATCATCAGCAATTTCCCATCACTAATGAGGGGTACAGAACTTCAGTTTTGCCTGCTGTTTGAAGAGAAGTATCTGATTCACGATAAGATCATTCAAGTTTTAGCAAAAGCAGGACCCCATATCTCTGTCAAATTCAGGTATTTTTTTCATTCTTTTTCGGCATTTAGCACTTGATATTTGAGCAACAACTGCTAGAAAGATGTGTTTTGAACCTCACACTCTTAAAACTTAAGCATTTTTGAGTCTTAGACAATATTAAATACAATGTCAGTAATCTGAAATAGGAATTTAGCATATATAAAATATTTGTTGTCTGTTAAATGTTCAAAACAGTGAGGTTGATGTCAAACTAGTTTGGGAGGTCACAAGTTTCTTGAGTTATTGTTGTGCCGGCACGCTAATCACCCTTAAAATTTTTTTTTTAGGTTCTATGTAACCTTTGTTTTAATTATTATCAATGTCCTTCACATGCAGTGAACTTTGCCCTATTTTGAAGAAGATCTGTCTTGAGGGGACTCGCACTCAGTCGAAATATGCTGTTTCTGCAATTGCTTCATTAGTAGATGTATCTAAGCCATGTGTTTTCTCAGAATTATGTGAGGTGTGCTTATCTCAATTTTTCTTTGCTTACTGTGTCTTGATAAATGGACAAAACCTAAAAGTTGTGAAAGAGGATGTATGCTTTGCACAGCAGGTGAGCAAGATGTTGCAAAAAAGGAGAACAAGAAATAGACACAACATCTTGATTTTAAATTAAGGAATCTTGATAAACTCCCAGCAATAACCTGAAGGATTAGGCTTTAAACCGTTTCTGTTAATTGCTAGTTTAATAAATCGTATTAGTAAACTTCACTGAATTTGAAGTTACATGCTATTGTCTTTCAATGCTCTAAAAGATGAAGGGGAAGGTGAACTTTTAAATTTTAAATGCACAAAAAGTCAAAAGGGAAGGTGAAATTTTATTTCAAATTTACATTTGATTATTGGCCACTGTCCCTTGTTTACTTCAATTTTCAATGTCATGTACGACCTTTTTAATTAATTCACATGGTCATTTTAGTCAAATTAGCAATATACCTTAAGATGTGGTCTTCAATTGGGCTGGTATCCGTCCTTAACTAAAGCATTCAACAGTGGTGCCAACTTAGAATTGAAGCCTGATTGTAAATTTGGTCTGAAGCAGTTATGTAATTTGTATGTTTTTCAAGGCTCAAGAGAATTGCCTGTGGTGATAATTGAAAAAAAGAAATGCAAACTGTGTTTTCCAAATTTAAAAATGGAAGGGAAAAATGTTACATTTTTAAGGCATTGATTGATGCTAGCTTGAGAACCCTTTAGATGACCATGCCAATGTTTTTATCTTTTCATCTTCAGGAACTTGTGGATTCGCTACATAGTGGGCGGAATATTGCAACTGTTCTGCAGTCTTTGGGCTGTATTGCCCAATATTCTGTTTCAACTTTTGAAAATCATGATAGAGAAATCACACAACATGTTTATAAAAAGATTTTTCAGGTAATTGATTTCTGCTTGTCTAGTGTCTTCCTAGAATGTAGTGGCTGGAGGATCTGATCTGCTTTTGGTAATTGTTATGTAATGACTAATTTGAATTTAATCTCTGAGGCGAAGCCATTGGATAATCTTTCTGTCATTGAGGATACCTCTGGGTGTACTACTTGCAAATTAAAGGTTAGTGTCGGAAGAGGGAACTTTCCTATGCATGTCTTAATTAATGATATTTATGTTGATTTCCTTTACAGTGGAGTTTGATGTTTTAATAATTAAGACCAGGATTTTATCTTTCCAGCGCAGCATTGGTTAAACTGATTAAAAATGCAAAATTGAAGGAAAATTCAGTTAAATGATGATCAAGTAACTGAGAACAAGTTAAATTCAGCTTGGGAACCAAACAATTTATTCTTATTATATTTCGTCATGAAACAAGAAAATTATTACTGGGAAGAATTCTTAGTGAGTTTTGTTAAGGCAAGAATGGATAGCAGTGGTTGCTTTCGTCAGTCTAATGTTTGTATTCAAGGGATTTTGCTCAATTTATAAACTATTAGCAAGCTGAGATCCTTAAAGAATCTATTCAGTTTTCTTTTATTCGTCATCATTTTTCTGAAACAGCAATGATGGATTCCTGAACCTATATTAATCATACTTCTAATATTGCAAAGCTGGAAAAGAAAAAAATTTCCTGCGTGCTAATGGATATTGTGTCATGCTAGTACTTTTCTTGAAATGGTTAATTAACTTTTTAAGGATAGTCGTTTTGAGTCCTGGCTCTATTTCATGTGGTTGGAATTGATGCTAGTGCCATGTTGAGGCATGTATAGAGTTGCATAGAGCATAACAAGATCCCGTTTGATCTTCAAATTGGACTTGAATTGGTCAATGGACTAGATTTGAATTGATGCTGATTTTAGATGCAAGATGATTTTATTCTTAAGAAATCTCTAGAATAAAACTATTTTATTCTTCTATATTTTTTCTTATTACAATGCTAGAATTGCATGAAAATATATAGGCTAAAGACTGAATATTCTCAGTCTTAAAACCCAAGATTTTCATGCATTAAAAGCAGCTAATCAAAAGAGTAATTTACTCTCTACATATAATGGGAAAATATCTAACGGATTTGGTGTAATTACCCAAATCACTCCTTATTCTAAAATTAAGAGACTTAACTAAAATAGACAAAGTCAATTAATCAAGTAATAATGGAGATTAGATTTTCACATATTCTCACTAAAACTCTTCTGGATTTATGATGAGTGAAAGTCTGGCATGCTAACTTTAACTTTTAACTAGCAGCAGATTCGTTGATATGCCATTATGTATCTTGGTCAGTGGTTGCTTTAAGTAAATTGCTACTCGTGCTTAGCTGCTTAAACCTTTAAATTGTTAATCACTGTGATTTTGAGATGTGATGGCCTTGTCAATAACTTTTCTAAGCCCATCCTACCCAGTTTGTTTCTAGAGAAAGCTGACATTTAGATTGCTTTTATTGGGAAATAACCAACAAACTGAAGAAATAAACAATTTCTGATTCAATGGTTTATATTTTAAGCTTTAGGTGCTCTGATCGAATTTATTAGATTTTGAGAAGAAAGCTAATTTGTATTACCTACCCTCAATCTAAATATAAACAATTGTATTACCTATCCTCAACCTGAATTCAACCTAATGACAAGAAAATATAGGGTTTTCATTCTATGGACAGAGTCCTAAAATGTGCAGTACCACAATTTTTATGATAAAAAGAGATAACCTTCTTATGTGGCGTCTACATTTTGCATGATAGGAGGAGATGACATTTTTGTTATTCTTTATGTTGTGTGGACTGGAGTGGAGTTTTGACCTGGATGTTTGGTCTACAGTTGAAGCTCTTGCAAATAATAATTCTTATATTAAGGAATGATAAGCTATTGCTAACGAGTATTACTAATTCAACACCATACTGGAAGAACATGAAATCATAAATTGTTGGGTTCAAGAAGCATGATATAATCCAACAATGATATGATGAACTTAGGATACTGCATTAATTGTTAGAAACTCTCTTTTCACTGGCTGGTAGGTTTCTTTATGTCTAATTTAGTTAAATGACTATCCTTTGCAGATTTATGGGCTTAAGATGCTTGTCAAGAGTTTTTTGCCCCATCGAGGATATCAGGTCAATAGGCAAATTAATTCATTGTTGGGCATTTTGTTGAAGATGCTCCAGAAGGGGAACGTGTTTGATGATATAATTTCATGGTATGCTTCCCAAAAGATGTAGATTTTCTATTTCCTTACCTCCATCTTGAATATACTTTACTTCACCGCTTCATACTTCTTGAGCCAAGATATTGGTAAAAGATTGGAATTCTTGTGATTAGAAAGTCTTTAGATGTGATTTTTTGTCACTGTAAGTGATTTTCCATCGTTATCAATAATAGATTGGAAAAAGAAAATGAGAAGAAGCAGATCTACAATGAGTAGTTTGATTATTCTACCCTGATAGAAAGAAGACTACTGCCCTCATGGAATACCAAATACGGACTTAGTGGAGAGATAGAAAATGTGTGTATGCTGTAAGATGGAGTTAGATCCTGTCAATTATGTGGTAGAGATAAGAGTTTTTTTTCGGGTCTTTAATGTTTGCTGGAGAATAAGGATGAATATCATTTGAGTTAGATCCCATCTGAATACATGCATGTAAAGCCAAGTAGCATAGCGTTAAAAAGTGTTTGTTCTATTAGAGTTTGACTTAGTCAATGAGCTTTAAATGGGATTTTCACATGGGGTGTATAAATGAATATAAAATAACCTATACATGATTTATAAAGCTAGCCTGTTCACAAACCTAAATGTGCCAGAGCTCACCTATGTTCAATCTTGGCTTTTTTATTAAAAAACCTTGAAATACTGTTCTAATTTGTTCATTTATCTCAATAAACAAACATAAAGTAGCCTAAACCAAGGTCGCTGACTAGCTATTGAGTAAATGCATTAATTTACTTGCACCTCTTCTTGGCTTTTTGAATTTGAAGGCGGGGGGATGCATTTTTGGTATGTTTCGGCAATGAAGAAGCTAATTGCATTTATCTACTGCTTCTAAAAAAAGGAGGTTTTTGTATTTATAACTTCTTTCTTTCATGATAGTATATGTACAGATCCATTGGGCCTAAGGCTATGCAAAAGGAGGTAACCTTCTTCCATTCCATAAGCCCACACCTTTTCCCCAGATTAGAACTTGATACCTCCAAGATGGAGTCTTTAAGTTCTAAACACTGGGATGTTTGCTTTGGGACATCTTCTAAGATGTTTGTTTCTCTTTTCTTTTCAAAAAGTTTAGACATATTAGTTTTGATTTTGTAAACGAATGTTTCTGACATGTTTCAACATTCTATATTAAAGCAAATATTTGACAAAGGTTATTTGGAGTACTAATATTTGACCTAGATTCAGAAGATGCTGCAATGACCACTGTCAATGTAAGCATGTTTTCTTTTGAAATTGGTCTTACTGCTCGATCACTATGCATAAGATACCTTTTCTTTTGAAAGAATAACATAATTTTGTAGAAGCTAAGATAGACCAGCTATCTATACTGAATAAAGCAAGGTAAAAATTCAGAGTAGGAAACTGTTACTGCAGATCTAGATTTTATGTGGCTCTTAGTTTTTAGAGAATGTTGGCAACCTTTCCTCTTTGCTCATGCATTGACTTTATGTTCTAATGCAGTGCAAGTGACAAGGATTATATAAGATTGGCAGCTGCAAAATCTGTTCTCCAGCTTTCTAGAAGATGGGACCTACATATTTCTCCTGATATTTTTCGCTTCACGATTTTGATGGCTAAGGTAAGTAGGTTTGATCTAGCATTAGGTGGAGTAGTAGTAATTATGTTAACAGATTCACCAAAAGCCAAAATTTGAACTTGTTGATATTGATTTGTAACGAAGCAATTTGAATTGTAAGCACTTCTCACAAATGCCTGTACCCAACCAAATAAAATGTGCCTCTTGCTTTAAAATTTTCTAAATAATGCTAAAAGATAAGAATGTACTTTGCAATTTTTCCATATTTGTAGTACATATTCCCACAGCTTACATATTTTATTATTTTGCCATTTTGTTATCGTACTAAATTTGATGGTTACACAAATCTTTGATACATAAGCTTTGGGAAGATTTTCAACGGACAATTTGTTTCTTTTGATGGCAATGAAGAAAGTATCAAGCTTTAATTTTTTTATTTAACATTTTAATTGTAAGATAAAGGTTATGGTGCACTTGAATGTTTGGAGGTGATTGTCTTGCTGCTAAAGGTATTAAACCTGCAGCATTTCTCCTGACCAGGTCATTTGCCGATGTTACTTAAATCCATAGATGAAAAATCATTGTAGATTATGCCCTCTGCTTGTAGAGGTTGCATCCACACTACTGTATTTCATTTCCTGGAAAGTTTGTGTCCTTCACTTTCATATTTCTTCCTTCATGGCTCAGCTTTCAAGTTTTTGAAATTGTTAATAATTGTTGCTCTTCAGTTATATCTTTGTATTTCTAGTAAATTAGGTTTATTCCTTTCATTTTCCAGGATTCTTCTTCCTCAGTCCGGAGATCATTTCTTGATAAAACGCACAAGCTGTTGAAGGAACGTGTTATACCTATAAGATATGCTTGTGCTTTTACTCTGGCCACTTCTGATTGCCCTGAGGATCTACAGCATGTATGCTTTTCTTTTTCCTGATATATCTTGTAAATATAATCTATATTCTTTGCTTTTCACTAATTCATTCCAGCTGATTTGCCCTTCTAGTCATTCAAATATATGGTGGAGTTTATCAAGGAATACAGTAGAGAAGCTCGAATACGCCAAACATCCATGGTGCAGAGAGGGTCAATTGTGGATTACCCAGCATACTTAGTGGTATTCTTGATCCATCTTCTTGTGCATGATGAAGGCTTCCCACCTGAAGGTTGTCAGGATGAAGCAATATATGCTCAATTTTGCAGGTAAATGCGATTCAGAAGTTAACCTTTTGAATTTCAGTTTACCACGAACTTAACATGGATGTATCCGTCAATTTTGGTTATGTTTGTTTTTTTCCTTTTTGCAGTCCACTTCTTTTGTTCTTACATGCATCAATCAACCCTAATCTCGTTGATGGTGATATGGATCTTGTTAATGATGCTACTTTCTATTTGAATTATATATTTCGTGCTATTAAAAGAGCTAAGGATGCTGTTGATGCTCAGAGAACTCCTGTGAGTTTTTTTAAATCTTTTAGAGATCTTTGTTGGGTTAATAATGCATTTCATGTCGACACAAGTAGAGGCTTTGTGAATAAGGCGATTTCTTACAATGCAGAGGCTGCACTTTCTAGCAGATGTTGGAGTTTCTGGTGTAAATTCATTACACCAGAAAGGCATCTCCTCTTTACGCAGACCAGGAACGATTTTGCTTCCATCATCATTATATAAAATAACTCCTATGGAAAATGAAGAGGCAAGTTCCCAATGACATGTTTTCTTGTCTGCATGTAAAATATTTTACCAAAATTCTAATTTAGTTGTTGTTTGCAGGCTAATTTGAAATTTCTTACTCAAAGTTTTGTTGAGAGGGTTGTTCACATTTTCAAGTCTCAAGTCTCTCTGGTGTGTATGAAGTTGTTGAACATATGATTTGCATGATTAATATATTGATGAATTTTATATTCGAATGTCATCCATGTGCCTATGTGTACACACACACACACACAAAACACATGCACACAATTCAATTGGAGATTGTTAATGGCATCTATGTTTCAGTCAGTTGGCTCTTTTCATAAACGAGGTCGAAAGTGTCATGAGGATGATACTTTTAACATGGAATCGCCTAAGCAAGAAGATTTCTCAACTTGTGGGGCCCTTGAAATGCGTAAGAAATCTACAAGGCAAGACATCAGTATGGGAAATAAGCGAAGACGTGCTGTTTCTCCAAATGCATCGGGATCTGTTGGATCACACAATACGGTTTTTAATGAGGAGCAGGAATATGGTGCAACTACCAGTTCTGAAGCAGCTTTAGGAAAAGGGCAACCCTTTTCTTCTTTCGGTTCTGTCACTCAGAAACCTTCTCAGATGGAATCACAAGTTTCAACTCAGAAAGTTGAAAGAAGTAATGTATTGGATGGAAATATCGGGGCAGGTAAAAGCCATCCTGCTGAAGCTTCCAATTGTTGCAAAGTGAAGTTCAATATTCCTTTTAGTTCAAAAGTGAGAATTTTCTCTTAGACCAATTGTAACTTTAGCTTTTCTGCCTTTTGCTATTCTACCTAAACTAACAATATTTTTGGATTAAGCAGGAATTGGCTAATGCAAATGAGGTATTAATTGGACAACGAATCAAAGTATGGTCTACCTCTGATAGCTGGTAAGGATATTTTGTTCAAAGGAGATTCATACTTCTGCAAATTTTGAAGTATGTGCAGATTTTAATTGTTTTTTTTTATTGTTCAGTTTCTATTCAGGCATCGTGGATGATTTTAACCCTGAAAACAATACTCACAAGGTAAATGTTTGCAATTATTGTTACTGGGTGCCGTATTTATACTCTAATAGAAATTTCAGGTACAGTTTTACAACTATGTGAGACATTTAACTCGATCTGTTGTTTTTATTTATTTGGTTGTCTTTAATGTCTCAAAGAAATGAGAGATTTCTATGATTTATAATTCAAATGTTCATACTCATCATTTTCTTCTTCAGTTTAAGTTATACACTTTAAGACAGGACAAATTTATAAGCATATATTTTCTCTCTTGAAGAACTTGTTTGATCTTGTTGGCTTTCTTAATTAGCTATATAATGTGATATACTTGCATTAGCAAACTTCCTGCCACCCTCCACACACACCAAAAAAAAAAAAGAAAAACAAAGGAAAAAAGGAAAAGAAAAAGGAAAGAAACTCAAAAGAACAAAAGAAAAGATTTGCTGGGCCAACGGTAACTTAACCCAATTGTTTGTATTGCATTTGTGTTTTCTTGCAATTGACAGATCACATGTGATAGTGGGGATGTCAAAATATTATGCTTGGAAAACGAGAGCTGGGAGACAGTAAGTGAACGTTCCTTGATGGAGAGGGTAAGTAAGTGAAAGATAGTCTTTCTTTTCAGCTTTGAACTGTTGACTCAAGCATATGTTTGTGTTTGAAAGCTGTAGAGGAATTGGATTCTGTGTCCAGTTCCATAAAAATTCAGTTTAGTTAGATTAGATGTGCTCTGGCCTTGGAGTAGAGAAGTGAAAATAATCTTATTCTTCTGTTTTAATTATTGTTATTTTGACGGAGAATTAGCTAATTAGGAAGGAGGGCAGGGGGTTTTTGCTTTAGAACCATGATATGGTGCCATGCCTTAAATGGCTGATTACCATCAAACTGAGAGATTATTGACAAAATAATCCTGCAACATCAAAAATTAGAAATAGCAACAAAAATAAAGAATGTTCATAAAATTCAATGACTTTATTGTTGTTAAATCCTGCATTGTTTTCCATCTATTAAAGCATATGAGTTCTGCAGCATCACTTTGTGATCCTTCATTGTTGATCTCTCTTGTGATTGGATCCTATTAATCTTATTCTGTCCATTTTTTTGCATGCAAGAAGGTTGTACTGTCTGATAAGTCGAACACCTTGCATTTGCGGCAATGGTGAGTTATCTCTTAACACTTTGGCTACAATGATCTGCATCCTGCTTTTCCCTCCAGCTGCTTAATTGCTTCTCCCTGAAATCAGTATTGGACATTTTTGCTCATATAATTTTTTTTTGTTAAGTTCATATTTTTCATCATGCAAATTAACCAAGTGATGGTTGTATGATTTTTTCTCCCTCATCTCTTGTTAGGGCTATTTGGGACTCAGGTTGTGAACTTTGCAGTTGTTTAGCAATGTCTAAACTTTGTTACTTTTCTCCTTTCCTTATATTTTGTTTCTGATTTGCCAGAGGCAAACCAGATAAATTAGCACTTTTCTTCTGTGTATTCTTTGTCGGTAATCTTGTTTCCATTTTAAACAATTCACAATTACCATATTTTATGCAAAAGTTTGACATGGTGCCTGCATCTGTTTTGATATTCTTCTAGTCGTGAAGGAATTTGTCCACTTTGACCATGCTAATAGTTTTTTTTTTTTTTCCTGAATATATGATGAATGGCTATTAAAGACGGAGGATATACAAATCAAGACATGCTTTCAGTATATCCTTTCTTTTGATCTGCTTTATGTAACTTATTGCTGCTTAATGCTATCCTTTTGTGCATTCTGCTCTCAATAGTGTTAAAGACACACTTGATAAGTTCAAAGATGATGGCAGTCAGCAGTCCAAGACAAAATTAAAAATGGTTCCTAGCAGAGGTAATTTATCTTTGCATTTATTATCTATTTTAATATATATATTTTTCTTTTGTAACTCTTGCATGTTTTTTATATATACGGCAACTAAAGGCTTTTGTCATTTGAATTTATGGAAATTCCATTAATTTCTGGTTCAGAAAAGAAAAAGAAGGAAGAGAGGTTATCCAGAAATTTGTCATCAGTATCAGAAATGATCAATATGGATGAAGATGATGCTGTAAGCACCATTTATGCATTTCTTCTTTTCACTTGTATATCTCCTTCTTGCTTAGGAAAATCCTCAAAGACCATTTATTTTCATTTTATATTGTTTTATGAGACATAAATTGAAAGTAAATATCAAGAATGAAAGTTTTACAATTGCAAATGAATCCCAAAATATTGCCTGCACAGACTAGTTATTTTCAAATATTGGTCAAATTTTGCAAGAATCTTCAAAGGGGAAACAACAATTGGCCCAGAGATCAGGGAATGTTTGTGTTTTCTGATATATTTTCTTTGGGATTGTTTCAGATAGCAAGAAGAACTCGGAGAAGGAAAGTATAAGTCGCAGCTGTAGTTAATTGAGAAAGAGCAAATGCACCGGCCTGGCTGCTGTCAGATTTTCTTTATCATGCAAACTGAATCTTAATTTGCATAATCTTAATACTCAAGGTCTTAGAACAAAATTGTTTTCATAATTTTTTAATTAAAGAGAAATCATATCTTGATCCATTATAACTTCCTTTAATTAAATGTTTTATAATTTATTTTTTTGTTTCTCCCTTGATCTTTTAATCTTATTTTCTTGATAGACAGAAAGTATTATTTTAAAAACAGAGAAATGAGCGCTGCTTTAATTTTTAATTATTTTTATTTATAAGTTTCATCCATGTATGCATTTACAACGAAGGAATTTTTTTATTTGTTTTGATTAAAAAGGGCATTAATATGAAGCCATAATTACTTAACTTGTTAACTTAAGTTATTAAATCATAAATAAAAAGTTAATTTACTTAAGTTAGATAGGAACATATAAGTCATAATATCTAACACTTTTTCACTTAATTTAGGTGATATTATTAAACTTTATGGTTTAAGGATAAATATAATGTGCAGAATATAAGTTAAATTATTTTTTAAATTGATCAAATCATAAATTATCATTAGCAAAAATTAATAAGAACCATAACGGTTGTATGTAATTAATTCAACATAATTCTTTCTTTCTATGTAAAACATTTGTACTCTATATGATCTTTAGGAGAGATCATAATGTTTTAGTAATAATTTCTTCGTTAGAAATAAATTCTGTTTGTATTTCATAATTTAATCATATATATATATATATATATATACACACTAATATAATGAAAAAAGATGTATTAATATATTAGAAACAATACTTAAAAAAGCTTAGAGTGTCAAATTCATAAAAAACATAAAACTTTACTATAATATCAATAAAGGTTTTCAATAATGCTCATTCTTTCTACATGTTCATTAAATGTCTTTAGTGACAAATGTTTTGTTAATGGATTCGGAACTATAAGATTGGTGCTAATGTGTTCAATTGGCATTTTTTTGTTTTTAGACTTCTTTTTTAAGGACAAAGTATTTTAATTTCACGCGTTTAGTACCTTTTAAATATTTGTCGTTTTTAGAAAATAAGACTGTTGCGATATTATCACAATAAATTTTTAACAGTTTGGCAATATTGTTGATAATTTCAAGTTTTGAAATAATGTTTCGTAACCATAAATCATGAACAGTAGCTTCAAAGCATGCCACAAACTTAGCTTTCATAGTGGATGCAGCAATGATAGATTGTTTCACATTTTTTCATGAGATCGCTCTATCAGCTTAAAGAAACAACTAGCCAAATGTGGATTTTTTGGTATCCACACACATGGCAAAATTTGAATTTGAATATCCTATTATTTTAAGATGATCGAACTTCTTGTAAGTAAGCATGTGATATTTTGTTCCTCGCAAGTATCTTAATACTTTTTTTATAGCCCTCTAATGATATGAATCCTGGATTACTTTGATACCTGCCTAGCATTTCGATACTAAAATTAATATTTGGTTTTGTACAAATTTGGGCATACATCGTGCTTCCAAAAATAGATGCATAAGGAATTTATTCAAATTGTTTGCATTCTAATTCATTCTTTGGGTATTACATAAGGCTTAATTTATCTTCTTTTTGAATTGAAACAATACTTGCAAAACATTTTTTCATTTTAAATCTTTTTAGAATTTTATTAATATATTTTTTTTGAGACAATCCTAACAATCTTTTTATCTATTAAGGAATATTTTAATTCCAATTACATAAGATGCCTTACCTATATTTTTAATTTCAAAATTCTTAGAGAGAAATTTTTTTGTCTTATATAATAAACCAAGATCATTAGTAGCAAGTAAAATATTATCAACATACAGAATAAGAAATATAAACTTACTCCCACTAACTTTCAAATATATACATCATTTAATAGTGTTTTTCTTAAATCCAAAGGAAGTAATAGTATCATTGAACTTAGGATACCATTATTGAAAAGCATGTTTAAGTCTATATATTGATTTTTTAAGTTCACACACGATGTGTTCCTTTTCTTTAATTGAAAAACCCTCATGTTGGTCTATGTAAACTTCTTCCTCTAAATTCCTCTTAAAACAAAGACTATTTTCACATCTATTTGATGTAGCTCTAAGTCATTATGTGCGACTATTGCCATAATAATTCTAATGAATCCATTTTAAAAACTAGAGAAAAGGTCTTTTTATAGTCAATACCATCTTTTTGAGTAAAACATTTGGCAACAAGTCTAGCTTTGTATCATTCAATATTGCCATTTGATTCACGTTTGGTCTTAAAGATGCATTTACACCAAACTCTTTTATAACCTTCAGGTAGTTCAATAAAAATCCCATACATTATTATGATATATCGATTTAAACTATTCTTTCATGGCATCTAACCATTTGCTAAAATTAATAGTTTCTATGACTTGTGAAAATGAAACCAGATCTTCATCAATTCCTAAATCAAATTGACTTTTGTAGATAAATCATATATTCATAAAAAATAATAGATCTCTTTTGTCTTTGAGACTTTCTTTCATTGAAAATAATTTCATTATGGAGTGCTTGATAATTTATTTGTTGTTCTTATAAATTGTTAAACTGTAAGAACAACAATTTGAGAAAAAGTTATAGATAAAAGGATTTATATCCTAACTTCTTGAAGTTTTACTTTGTGTGGTTCTACACTCCCACTCGTTTCACCATTTTCAATGAACCTAGCATTTTTAGTTTCAAGAATTCTTATACTATAATTAGGATAATAAAATCTATACCCTTTGGATTTTTTTGGATAATCAATGAAAAAACTATTAATTGTTCTTAAATCCAGTTTCTTTTCTTGAGGATAATAAATTCTTACTTTTGTCGGGTAATCTTAAAATGCAAATACCTTAAATTGAGTTTTATTCTTGTCCATAGTTCAAAAGAAGTCTTTGGAATTGTTTTACTAGGAACCCTATTTAATAAATATATGACAATTTTTAAATCATACATCCACAATAAAGATAAAGACGAATTACTTAACATATTCCTAACCATGTCCATTAAAGTACGATTATGTCTTTCTGCAACACCATTTTGTTGCGATATACCTGGCATTTTGTATTGAACACATATGCCATACTTTTTAAGGAATTTAGCAAATGGACCAAGATATTATCCATTTTCATCATACCTTCCATAAAATTCAGCACTTTTGTCATATTTGATAATTTTTATTTTATTATCTAATTGTTTTTTAACCTTATTAATAAATACCTCTAAGATATTTACTAACAGAGATATTTCATGCAATAAATAGACATAACCATAATGTGAAAAATTGTCAATAAAGGTGATAAAATACTTTTTTTCATCAAAAGATAGAACATTAAAAGGTTCAAAAATATCAGTGTATATAATCTCAAGGAACTATGTGCTTCTTGTAGTTACTTTCTTTATTGTGTGTTTTATGTGTTTCCCCTTAATACAATCCATACAAATATCAAGATCAATAAAATCCAAATTAGAAAAGATTTCATTATTTACCAATCTTTGTATTCTTTCTTTGGATATATGACCCAAATATTTATGTCACAAGTAAGCTGAATTTTCATTCATTTAACCATGTTTAGTACTAACATTATGATACAAGGTGAACAAGGTCTCAACAAAAAAGTTATCAAGATTTAATTTATATAAACCATCACATAGAATAACGAAGCCAATAAAATGATTATGTTTAAATAAACTAAAATATCCATTTTCAAACTTAAAGGAATATCTAAATGTATCAAGTTAGATAAAGAAACCAGATTTCGAGAAACAGAAAGAACATAAAAAGCTTGAAAAATATCTAAATGGTGTCTAATGTTTAAAATTAAATGGTAAGTTCTAATGGTTTCAACTGGAGTTTTGACTCAGTTTCCTATAAAAATAAAAAATTTTAATTTAGATTTATGGTTTAGGTTATAAAGAATCCCTGCATCATATTGGAAGTATGAGTGGTGCAACCAGAATCAATGCACCAAGTATTATAAAGAACTTTTGTCAAATTTGATTCAAAACATACAAAAACACTAGGCTTACCTTTCTTTTCGAACCATACCTTACTTTTTAAGTAATCTTTCTGATAGTGTTTGGACTTTTCACAAAAATGACACTTATCTTTTTTTTGTTCCTTCTTGTGGATTTGGGCAGATGACACATTAATCTTTAATAGTTTTTATTGCCCTTTTCATTTTTTTTACTGGTTTCCTTTTAGCTCTTGACAGGTCTATGTGATTAATTGAGTGAATTCCTTACTTCTTAAGCCTTGTTTCCTCTTGAATAAATATACTTTGTAGTTCAGTCACATTCTATTTATCCTTTATAGTGTTGTAATTTATTTGGAATGGACCATATTCATGAAGCAATGAATTTATAATAAATTGTACAAGAAAACTTTCACTCACTTCCATTCCCATGAATCTTAATCTTGTTGCTATATTTGACATTTCAGTGACATGCTCATGCATGGTATGAGAATCATCAAATTTCGTGATAGTTAACATGTCTATTAATGTTTCAACAAGTAACTTATTAGTAGAGTCAGATTGAAACATACCTTTCACAAACTTTAGAAATTCCTTAGTATTATCAATTTTAGAAATCATTGACTTAATGTTATTTACTATTGTCATTCGCATGAACATTAAACTTAGTCTACTTGATCTTTCCTAAGCATTATGAAAAGACTTTTGTTAAGTACTATTACAATTAATAATAGCAGTAGACCTATCAATTAGGAGTGCCAAATTAAGATCCAAAATACCTAGATGATACTAGACTTGTTCACACCATTAAGAAAAATTAAGTCCATTAAACTTTATAATAAACAAAGTTTGCGAATAAAGAGAAATAAGAATGGATGCTTCAAACTAGATAGAATGCTCATATGTTAATGCTTTAAGTTGTAACTTAAATACATGATATAGATTTAAATAACATTCATATAAATATTAAATATACATTGAAGTTCTCTTTGGATGATCCAATAATGTACAACAATAAACATAATTGATGCTTAATTTTCATTTCACGTTATTGGCAATTATATATACTCTATTAGACATATGTATTATCTTTGGATATGCAAAAATATTTAATGAATTATATTAATTAATCATGATTATGTTCTTAATTATAAAATTAACCAATCTACCTTTAGGCAATCCTTAAATATTTTATAATAATTGAACTTCAATTTACTTAATAAATATATGTTGTCATGTCATCTTATATATAACATCACATAACTAAGAGTAGTTGAATTTTATTTAATTTGATATCTATAAAAAAATATTTCAATTTGGCCACTTTGGTGACTAACAAGTTATTCATACTGTAGATATCAAAATAAATAACCTTAACAATTATTTTGATAATAATAGAGATAATAATTATCCAAACATAATATGAGGAAGGTATTATTGTTGCTAGTAAACAAAATATTTAGAAACTACCATATATAAATTTTACATAATTGTTATATCTCATATATATATAGTAAAATGCAACATATATATATATATATATTATAACAGGTAGATATGCATAAAACAGTCAAACATTCATTTACATTAATGGCTTTCATAATTATTATAAAATTTATAATATTTAATTATATTATTTACAATTTAATGACTATTAAATTTCATTTATTTTATCTTATATTTATTATGCAACCTTTATTAACTTTCTTTACGCTTTATATATCTTTTAATATATATATATATATATATTAATTAGACTAACAAATATATATTCATTATGTTATACGTTTCTTCATTAATAAATTAATATAATAAATATGATTTATTATTATACTAAATTCATGTAAAGACATGAGTTATATTGTAATTAAATGAACAATAATTTAACGATATCCAAAAATAAATAAATAAATAAAAGAAGCTGTAATTATTGTTTTGAGATTTCATGTATCATGTTAATATTAACTCACAAAGAACATTGAAACTCTTAACTTTTAATATAATATAAAATAAAATTAATAATAAACATCAACATGAAAATATATCATAAAAATTAATAATAATAAATATAAAGAAATTAATATTTAAAGAAAAATCACAAGTTTTTAAGCTAAAAGCTTTAATATCACGTATTAGATTTTTTTGGTCATACAACCTAATCTTAATTTTGTATAATCTTAATATATAAAGTTTTAGAATAAGATGATGTTTACAATTTCTTAAATAAAAAGAAATCACACCTTGATCCATTATAACTTATTTTAATAAAATGTTTTATAATTTTTGTTTGTTTTTATTTTGTTTCATTATCTTAACATTTTAGTCTTTTACTTACTTTTTTTATGACAAAAAGCATTAATTTATAGGTAGAAAAATGAGTGTTTCTTTAACTTTTAATTATCTTTATTTATACGTTTCATCATAAAATCTCTCTTTTATTTTGTGTTGATAAAAATGAGTACTAATAATAATATTAATGAAACATAATTACTTAATTTATTAACTTAAATTATTAAATCATAAATAAAAAATTATTTACTTAGATAAGATAATAACATGTGGTCATAATATCTTATGACTTCTGCCTGTAATCCTTTTCTACCAAGTTTTCCATCATCTTTTTTTTCTTTTTATAGTTTCTTTGACGTGTAGATATATATTATCAGCAAGTTACAAAAAAAAAAACTTAATGACATTTTAAATCTTTATAATTACTATTAACCCGTCACTTTTTATAATTAATAGCCTCAGTTTTTTTATACATAGAACCATCTAGGTATATATTTTGTTGAAGTTAATTATACAATAAAAGAGGTTTAGTTTACAATTGAAAGTTAAGTTGATAAAAAAGAACCTATTTTTCATATTGCCTTGCCCCCATACTAATTTATAGATTTAAAATGAATAACCTTATTAGCGATGTTAATGATAAGGAATGTAATGGGTAAAGTATTATATATTTTATCTTTAAATTTTTATATTATATTTATTTTTATATTCATATTCGATAGAGATTTTAAATCTATTTTCATATTTATTTTTATGCATATTTAATGGATATGAATAATTTTTATTTTTATAGTTTTTTAACAAAAATAAAACCAAAATTTATTTTTTAATTTTTTTTATTTTTATCTTACATATTTATGTCATTTTTTTTATAAATATATATTATAATTAGTATTTGATATATTGTGAATATAAAATTGTAATTACATAAGCGAAATTAAAAGGATGAATTACATTGATAGTATATCAAACACTAATTCTATCTATTAATATATATTTTTAAATAAAAATATATTAATTTTAATTAATTTAAAATAATAATTTATATTATTTAATAAAAAAATTATTTATTAAATATATACAAATACAGTATATAAAATACGAGATAATTATTATATTACTTATTTCTATCTTTATAATAAATAAAAATTTAAAATTATATCTATTTTTATTATCATTTTTATAATATAATATCCATTTTTGTCTCTATTTCGATAAAAAATCATATTCTTCCTCAGATATAAAAAGATTGACATTCTTGAGCGCAATTGTCCGGAACAAAAAATATATAAATATAAGTATATTTAATATTTGTATAAAACAAAATTAAAAAGAAACTAGATGGTGGAAAACAGAAGTACATTTTTTAATATATAAATATTATATAAAACAAAATTAAGAGGAAGAAATCCCATCCTAATCTGGTTGCAAGAAAAGAATAGCGGCAGCCCGGCATCTAACGACACCAATTGTCTGCCGTTTTCAATTTCTTCTCAAAGAAGTTGTTGCACTTAGAATTGAAGTCCCCAACTCTCGTGAGGAAAAAACAAAGAAAGAAGAGACTGTTTAAAAGCTCTCTTTGCAAAATTCGATGGGTAAATTAAAGACCGATTCTCCCCTCTCTCGTCGCATTGTTCGCTCCTTCTTAGATTTCATCAGCTCCGGTACTCGCTCTCTCTCTCTCTCTCTCTCTCTCTCTCTCTCCTCTGGTTTTATTCTGTAATTTCTTATTTTTTATCTTTCAATTAGGTTAACTTTGCGTTTATCACTGATTTCTTCTCCTTTTTTTCTTTTTTGTTTGCTTTATTTTTAAAGTGATCATTTTTTATTGTTCTTGATTATGCTATGATGCAAATGCGAAATTAGCTCGTTTGCTGATTGATTTTCGATCTTGGAAAGCAAAATTAGGTCATTCTTGTTGGAAAATAGGTTGTGTACCAATCTATGAAATGCAAATTCCGAGTTGGGACTAAAACTTGCTTAGTTTCATGGAATGTGGTAGGTTGAAAAGAAAATGAGGTGTAAGAATGATGAGTGTGGCCGTCCACAATTCAATATGGGCAGAAATGTTTAGTGGGATTATCTGCTTTTTACGTTTCAATGAATCATGTATGATAAGACTTCAAAGGTGCGGCATAAGCTTAGGAATGATTCCATTGGAGAATGTCTCTAGAATGCTTAGGTATTATTATAGGATTTGACTGATCTTTAAATTATCAGCAAAAAAATGATGTAAACATTATTTTATCCTAAGAGCTGCTACAGAGTGTCTAAAACAATGGAACTGATGCTGTTTTTTGTTTTATCTTGTTAACAAGTTGCGTTGTCTTAGGATGCAACCTCATTGGGTAGTAAGAAAAACAAGTGGAATTGGTGTTTGCGTGCATCCTGTTTGAGATTAATTGTTGATGGGTACTTTTGAAATGCATGACTAGTATCATGTTTGTTAAGTTGCTAAATTTTAAGATCATTGATGTCATCAAATTATGTTTGTTGCTTGCACCCTCGATTATATAAAGTTTCCCCTTTTCTTTTCATCTCTCATTTATTTATTGTTTGGGGGGTGAGGTGGGGGAGGGCTTGGGGACTGTGAAATGTTGGGGGGGGGGGTGTCCTGAGTTGATTTAAGGGTTGCTTTAGCATATGCTAAATATGCTTCTAGATCTCTTTGTTGTTTAGTTTGCCTGTTACTATTACTAATTCCTGTAGGGCAAGGAATCTTTTTCACCATGAAACATTTATATTTTCTCTGTTGCCTAAAGACTTTTCTGCCATTTCTCTATGACATACTTTTTGATTTACTGTGTTTGCTCAACTTGTTAAATTGTTTTCTAATCACTTCTGTTTTCTGTAAATAGTTGAACCTGCTCCAGGGGTTGATCTTGAAGGCCTTGAAGTTGCCAGGGAATGTTTGACAGAAGTGTTTAAACTTGACTCAGCTTCTATAAATGATGTAAAACCTGATGTATTAGTTGACATATTCAGTTCATTGGAAGCATGTGAAGATCAGAAAATTAAATCAGATTCAAGTCACAGGGGAACTTCTGAGAGTGCTCCCGGTTCATCATCTTTCCATGATGTCAGAAGTGCTAATTCCTTGGAGGCATCAAAACCGGTACTTTTTCCACCTTTTTTTTTTAAGTTTATTCAACGTATATTTGGCTTTAGGATTTAACTTAAATGTGATGTATGCCATCTAAAATTTAATATGGAGAATTTTCTCTGTAAATGGATCTATTTCCTTATCATTAAATGGATGTCGTTGTAGTGGTTTTCTGTCAAGGACATCTTTTAGGAAATAGTGGGGTCTGATTCAATCTCACATCAAATTTTGGATGCAAATAGTTATAGTGAGTTGATGTTTGATAAAAGTAAAAGAAAGGATCTGGTTGGGTAAAAAGAGAATGTGTAATGTGTATTGAAGCTTGCATAGAGTCATTTTATAATGGAATTGTTATTGTTACTGCTAATGCTCTACCTAATATTGCAACAACAAATTACATTTAGAATTTTATCTTGCAAGAGTAATTATTAAGCCTTAATATTCCAACTGCTCATTTTTTAATTCCTTGCCTCTAACAAATATAAAACGTAATCTGTAGGCATTATTTGCTTTCTTGAATTTAATTTCCATTGTTTTTGCTATACTTTTTCTCCAATTGTTCTCTCTACTTTATATTAGCATTTTATTTAATGAGGCAAGTTAAAAAGACCAAAAAAAAGGGAGAAAATATTCAAATTATTTGCTTCTTATGAATGAGGACCCATATCTGAGAACTGAACGGAAGATTTTATGATAGCATACATACTTGTCTGTATAATATTGTATCGAATTATCAAGATATTTAGCTACAAGTTTTAAAAGTTCACATGACATTCTGGAGGCATTCATGATATTGCGACATTACTCTTGTAGCACTTGTTTTGTTTCTTTCCATGTTCTTGGACTTTTTTTGTCTAGTTCTTTCTAATGCAACTAGTGCCTTGATTTTACTGAATTAGGGGGATAATTGGACAAGAGAAGCTCAGTCTGCGGGTAAGACTTGTTATGTTGATAATCTCACATTTTGGACTTTTCAATAATAGGGTAGAAATAGTTTTACTTCTGTGTTGTATATTTCAATGCTTTAGGTTATACAAAATAATTCTAATTTGACACCAGTCTAACCTGCAGGGGTCTCTAAGGATGAACTATTTGGGCAATTCTTTGCTGCACTAGAGAAAATTCACTACTTTAGGGCCATGCCTGATGGGAATGATGATCCTGCCCAACTGGATAAAGCTACTCGTTTATTTCAAGATGCTCTAAATGTATGTTTTGCTCTATTGTATATTAAACCTGTTGCACTGGATGAATTGTGAATTGGCACTAGTTGATGGTTCTTGTTGCTTAAATTAATTGTTACAAGGTGATGGTTCTTGTTGAGATATCTTCAGATTTGCCTTGTGGATTCTGTTTTACTGTTAGATTGTACACATTCAATTTGAATTAGTTTCTTCATAGTGTATCCATGATTAAACTACATCATTATACCCAGAAAGTAAATTAGCTGAATTACGTGGGGAAGGTCATTTAAGATTATTTTCTGGTAGTCAGTGTTAGTTTGTTGACTGCAGGACAATCAGAAAGGGAGATTCTCTGTCCTGAAAATTAAATAGCTGAATTACTTGAGGTCACGCATTAAACAATTAAAGTTCTGGTCTGTCCTTGTAGAGACTTTGACTGAAAGTCAGCATGTAAGGAAATTCTGCAAAGGAGTCTTTTTCATGAGTAAAGTACTGGCATTGAAAGATAGGCCAAGGAGATGGGGTATAATGATCATGAATGTTTCAACGAGGATGGATTTATGCATCACTAATGATCTTTTTTCCTAAATTAAGCGATTTAATATGAGAATCTGTGATGGATTTCTTCTGGTTATTTTATTAGGAACCAACCTTTATTTCCTCTTCTGGAATAATGTAACATGCCCCTTTGCATGACTAGCTACAGCTTCAGTTATGTCTTATATTGGAGAAATGTATTAATGTTTTCATCTTACCATCATATAGATATGTGGCTTGCGAATCTGAAAGAGTGAAATTCCAATTTCTAGGTTGAAGTTCCTGTGTAATAAGCATCCTTGACCAAGTGGCTTAGATGGGGAGGTAAGTTAGTGAGTTAACCATAAAATCATGGTAATGACTGATGGGATTGGAGAACTATGTTACGAGTTGCAATTTTGTCAGTTGCATGTTATCCACCTGAGTTTAAGTGCATGTGTCATCTTTGAGGTTTTGCTGTGTAGAAAATGTGAGTACGAGGAAGGATATAAATGCTGTTTGGATTCTCAATATCTTTTCCTTTTAAGTGCTTTGAAGTAGTTAGGAATCTGCGATCCTCCAGTGATGGTATCAAAGTCCAACTTGTTTTCACATCATTAAATCAGGAGAGTTTGGGACTAGATCTTTTTAATTATATTCTCATTCAGTTTAGATAATTTTTTTGGCTAATTATGGTTATTGTCATATTTGATTTTTACTTTCTAAAGATATCAGATAGCTTCTGTTGTGCCTTTATTAATGTCTTAATTATCTGTCACATCAGGAGATGGAAAGATCTCAATGTCAGGCATTTGACCATAAAAACCTGGCTGAGACATTCAAATGTCAAGGTAATAAAATAGTTGTGTGCCTTTTGTTTTGTTTGCTGTTAGTGCTTTAAATGTGTAACCTTTAATTTCACATGTTCGTTATTTGAAGACTTTGAGAAAGTTTTGTTCATTTCTTTGTTTGTCTAATATGTGTGTGTTTTATTTGTTGATTTGTTAATAGTCTTGAAATGGAGGTTGTAAAAGCAGACCCAAACGAACAACTTGCTCGAAACCCAAACCGTCCAATACGATTTTTTGCTAAAAATGTCAATGACTTGATTCTAAAAGCGATCCAACCTAAGTTGATTCTAAAATTTAACAATCAAAACCTGAGGTCACTCGAAGTATTCAATACCTGAAACTACCCAAGTGACCACCTTATCATGATTTCTCTTTGTCTCTCTCTCTCTCTCTCTATATATATATATATATATATTTAAATAAATCTTTTTTCGAAGAATTATTGTATGAGAATTGTTGATATGATGACCATAAATTCTGTTGGTATCTTTGTAGCATGATTTTGAGAATATCTTGCAGTTTTCATTTTCTCTCTAAATGCTGCTCTCTTGTTTATATTGTCTTTGCTTTCAGGTAACAGGGCCATGCAGTCAAAGCTGTACTCTGATGCGATAGAGCTGTATTCTATTGCTGTTTCTCTTTGCGATGATAATGCAGTTTATTATTGTAATAGGTGCTGCATTAAATTGTGCATGCTGATAATTTGATATATATATATATATATATATATGTATGTATGTATGTATACAGACACACACACACACATATATACATATGTATGAGTGGTCCAGTTACTCCAGTATAAGTGTTAAATGCTTTTTTGACCCTTGGATCAAAGTAGCTAAGATTTAAAATATTTATTTTGATCCAAATCCAATGGTAGAAAAAGAGTGTAACTTTTACACTAGTGTAAGTGGATCCCCCCCCCCCCCCCTCATATTTAATTGTTAAGTGTGTATATATATATGGTCTAATCATATTTAATTGTTAAGTGTTACATGAGTTTTTTTTTTTGTTAAAGGAAGTATAATGATTGCAATGCATGGGTTTTTGGGCAATATTATTAGACTGATTGACAGTTAATTTTTTCTTACCAAAAGATGGGAGAGTCCTTAATCCTGCTATGCCACATTATTCATGCACTATTAGGTCATCCTGTCGGTGTCATTGAACACTGTAAAAGCTTTTAGCCTTTGACTTTTAGAAATAGTAAACTTGTCTTTTCTGTTCATCATGTCTTGATAATATCAGGATTTAAAAGTTTTTATTCTTGTTTATGTTTGGTTTCTAGTAATTTTTGGAGATATACTTATTTATTTTATTTGATTGCGGCAAGTTTTGACTTTTTTAGATGTTTTTCTCTGTGAAACTGTAATGTCTAATTGAATCATGATGTATGTTTATCAGGGCAGCTGCTTACACTCAAATTCACAATTATAATGAAGCCATTAGAGACTGTCTTAAATCCATCGAAATTGACCCCAATTACAGCAAGGCATACAGTCGTCTTGGCTTAGCATATTATGCTCAAGGCAGCTATGCTGATGCGATTGGGAAAGGATTTAAGAAAGGTTGGTGGGAAATTATTTCTGAGCTATACACCGTGTTACTATTGTACTGAGAAACAAGGGCAGCAGGATTCAATTTTTTTCTCTAGCCATGTAATTTTCAGCTATTGTGATACTTTGCATCATTGTATTTGCTTTGCGTGAGTCCATGGTCTTATTTATTTGTGTAGTTTGTGAATTTAAGCTCTTTCTGTCTCTCTATTGGAAGATGCAATTTACGGTATTCTACAGAACCTGAATTATGGTATACTGACCAATTTCCATGATTAGTTTTGTGCTTTAGAAATTAGTTAATTGATTTTGGATCTTGCATTGTAGAAGCTGATATTCCATCCATGCAAAAGTTGAGACAATTTTGCTTCATTTTTATTAGCCACAATCTTGATTTTATTGTGTGTAGCTTTTATCTTTGTTTATGGACACATCCAAATATAGAATATCATTTATGAGTTTTCATTTGATGGCTCTTAGTATGGATTATTTTCCTTCACAGTTAAAGAAAACTCCCACATTTTCTTTAGTCCTGTTATTTTCTTTGATCATAAAATAACTAATGATGTTGATCATAAAACAAAGATATTCTTTATGCTGTCAAACAAGTAGTTTCTACCTTTTTTTTTATTTAACTTGTGCAGCCTTGCAATTGGATCCAAACAATGAATCTGTGAAAGAAAATATTCGGGTAGGTTTTAATGTTCTATTTCTTACATTGTTGTTGTGGTGTTGTTGTTTTAACATTCTGATTATGATATACAGGTGGCCGAGCAGAAATTGAAAGATGAGCAGCAGAGTGCAGGACGGGATCAGGTAATATGAACTTTTAGTCTTTTTTTGAAACGTGATTATAGGTGTTTAATATTCAAAAAGTTGGTACGTAGTAATTAACACTCCCATAATAGCCATCACCAGTTATACCACCTTACAATTTGATATCAAAAGAGAGGATACGACTGTCTCAAACCTGTTCCCCTTGAAAATGGGACCCATTTTGTTTGCTATTCATTTGTTCTAAAAAATATTTGCTATTTGAATGTTCTTTTCTAATGATTTCTTGTGTTTCTGCATTTATATCAATCTCCCTTCCCTTTCTAAAGAGATCTTATTGTAATTTTCTCCGTAATGTCTCATTTTCTGTCCATGTTTTAATCTCATCATGCAGAGTGCTAGTTCAAGTCAAAACAATCAGGGATCTAGTAACCAGTCAACTGGGTCAAGGAGTCATGGTGCATCACCTCCATTTACAATGCCTTTTGACAGTAGTGCCCTTCCCACCGATTTTGCGAGCGTGCTTATGAATATGGCAGCGAGTGCATATCAGGGACAGCCGTCTCAAAACAGGCAGGGGGAAGACATCAACATGAGTGGATCAGAAGAACCTGGAATAAGACTAGGTGGGAACATCAACTTGAATTTTGGTGATCAAATGCAAATGCAAATGCAAATACCAGAGGAGTTAACCGGAGCTTTCAGATCTGTGATGGACATGTTCTCAGGTACATCATCACCTCATGGAAACACTCAAGACACAAATGGAAGATCAGCTTCAAACTAAACGATTGTACAAACAAACATATATCACTGTCTTTAGTTTTAATGGGTTATGCTTTCAGTTTTAACCATTCTCATCGAGTTACGGACAATATCCTTAGTGTTGAGACAAATAAAATAACTGAGATATCCAATTTTTTCTTCTTTTAAAGAAAGTATAAATACCAAATCACCGATTTTGTAATTCGTCAAAAAATGATCAAGGTAATCAGGTAAGGTGATTTTGTTCAGATGTTCCTATCAGTGAGTCATTTAGGGTATGTCTTTCCTAGATGATAGGAACTTGGAAGGCATTAACACGAACACATTTGTTCATCAGCCACCCTGCCTAATATTAATAATGCTACTTTTCTACGGTTTGAATGAGTATGTTTCTTAATGCATTAGATTTCCTTCTTTGCAAGTAATTAACTTTTATTTTTTACGATATTTTAGCTGAAGACCGAATAATTGATAAATTCAAATGGATGATGAAAAAAAGAAAGTAAGAATGTTTTTCTTTATCCATATAATAAGTTCTACAATTTTTTTTTTTTGTTCTATCCAAGGATTTTATTAAATGGTTGATGTATGCTTTCTTTTATTTGAAAAGTTGAATTGAAATCTTCCCTTCTTAATTAAAAAAAAAAAAGGTTATTTTCTTTATTTGTTATATCTAACCGAATCTGTGATTAGGTATCAGAGATCCACTTCAAAGTTCAAGCCCTAATTTTTTGTTCACCAAATCCTCTCCCTTCCCCTATCTTCCGCATGAATAGGTTTGGGCAATCTTATTCCATACTTATTTTCGGGTCAAGGATGCGACTTCAACATCGATGTTTCTTTCTCAAAATCAATTCAAAACAAAGTTAATTTCTTCTCTTATATCAATATAAATTATGGTTTTTATCTATTGAAAAAGAAAAAAAAATGTAACATGAATATTTCAAAATTACTAAATAGATAATTTTTATGATGATACTAAATAGTAAATATCTAGAAATTTATCTTTTAATTGTATTTTGTTAGAAAAAATTAAACAAACAAAACAAATTTTAAATAATCAAACAAAAAAACTATCTAAATTCACCATCTTCTCGTGACCACTAAACCCTAATATCATGAGCAATTTTATCAAACCCTTCAAACTTGAAAGGATAAAGTTGCCGTGGATCTAGGGTTCAAGTTTTGGATCATACATATCAAATATTCCTCAGATTTCTCTTCCAAGAAGATTAAAAGGTAACAATTAACAGTGACGTATTTAAAAACATTTAATTATCTTTGACATTCCGAATAATTTTCACTAAAATTTATACAAAATGATGACATCTTACAAAAAAAAAATGTTATTTTTTATGACCTGACCTACAAAACAAGGAAAGTCCAATTGCTATCACAAATACAACAATCGCTATCAAGACATTGTTTATCTTATAGCAATGTAAGTTTGAAGTCGCAGTAAACAATATTAATGACAATATTCTTTTGTATATAAAATATAATAATTACTTCAAAATATCTTTTCTGCGTTTTAGATTAGATAACCAACTAAGGTACATATGCCTTCTAGACTTCGTAGAAATTTCCATTGCCAATATCGCTGACAATAACTTGTCAATAAATATAAAGGGATAATTTTTATATTTCAATGAAAAATATATTCAACGCAGTCTACCATGACCATCCATTCAAACACAATGGTCGGAGGTTTTTTTTTTTTTTTTTTTTCAAATACCCATAATTTATGGATCACATTAATCTGACTAAGTTTATAGATTAAAATTATATTTGATACATAAGATAATAGATAGAATAAAAAAATAATTATATTATATTATATTTAATTTATATTTTAAAAAATGGTAAAATTATAAAAATAATTAATTATTATAGGATGATTCAATTTTTTTCAAATAAAAATGATTATTTTTAATTTTTAAGATTGAATTTATATATTTCATTATACTTTTAAAAATTATATCAATAATTTAAATTATATAAATTTTGAAAAAAATAATTTTGATCAATAAATAAATTATTTTATCTTAATTTTTATACACATTAAACATAAGATAAAATAATATTATTTAATCTACTCCTATTCATAATGTTATCTTATTATATTTTATTATAATTTTATATACCAAATACATTCTAAAAAATAATATTACTAATGATTCTTAAATTATAATAAAATATTAAATATGATATTTAAATTTTAAATTTTTTTTAACGTATTACTTGAATTATTAATCAATTAATTAATATAATTCTTAATTAAATGATTGTTTTTCATCACGTATTATTATATAAAATTAATCATGTTAAAATAAATATTATATTAATTAATATATTTATAGTTTAGATATTATATTAAATATTTTATTATAATTCAAAGATTATTTATAAAATTATTCAAAATTTAAAAGTTAATAATTTTAGATTCATATTACCCAAATTTAAAATAATATAAACTTGAAATAATCTAAATAAAAAAGATATAAATTCCTTTCAATCCAAGATGATTTAATATTTTATTTATTCATCTTTATATTTAATCAGCATAATATAAAAGAATAATGACATCTATATATAGCAGGATTTTTTTATCTTTATTTGCATAAATAAATAAGTCTTTGACTCTTATTAAAAAGAAACTTCAAACAAATGAAACTTGAACACGAAAGTTTCAAGACTTCCAGACTTATCGCAAAGACATCTTGTTTGGTTTTATTGGCAAGAAATTTCTCATCATATAAAACCATATGTTCGTACTATTATTTGGTCCCCTACCATGTGAATTCTGATATATATGTTTGGGTGAGAAATCGAACATTGATTCGAAAGGAGGAAGTTTTCACGGCAGATGAGCCACAGCCGCATATACCACACAGTAATCTGAAACTCATCTGCTATTTGTTTGGTCTCAAGCAAGACACTGTTTCATTTTCTTTTGTTTTTTTCTATCTATTCCTGACAAGTTCTTCTGACTCCCGCTCAATCAAAATTTAAGCCACAACTAACAAAAGAACAAAGAGAGAGAGAGAAAAAAAAGACTGAACATAAAAAACAACAACTCTTTTCAGAGTAAACTACTTCTGAAATTCCAACTTCTTTCATTCTCGATCTTTCAGCCCCAATTTAACTACCCTTTCGTTTTACACATAAATACGTCCTCTTTTTGATCTCTTACTTGTTATTAGAAGGAAAGCTGAAAGTCCGCTTTTGTTGAACCCCCCGTTGTTTTGGTTTTCTTCTGATGCTGATCATTTGAGTTTGGTCCCTTTCCTTTTCCAAATATTTCAGCTTCAGCTTCGAGATTTTGAAGGTATTTTTGGTTCATGCACGTGTGTACTCCAGTGGGTTTTTTCTTGTTCAGTCTTTCTTTTTTTTTTTTTTTTGTTTTGAACTTTTAATGTTGCCCTTTTGTTTTGATCTTTCAATTTCTTTGGCCATTGTTGAAGATGCGGGCAGTCTTTTGATTCAATGGACAACCTCAAAGTTTCCCTTTTCTTTATTTCATTGATATTTTGCTTGTGACTTTAATTAATACCATTTGCATTGATATTTCGCTTGTGGAATTTATGCAATGTTTGTTACCCTTTTGTTTCTTTTTTGTTTTTAATAAGCTGTAGGCCTTTTTCTTGTTCCTTTCGATGATTGGTCCTAAAAAGCAGAAAAAGATAAAAGATTTTGTGGCAACATCAAAACAGTTTAGTACCCAGGAAACTTCCTTCTGAGGGAAGTTAGCAGCCAGAATATGTGGTGGTAAATAGCATAATGATAATGATAATATATATAAAAAATCAGGATTATGTTTGCTTGGTTAAAAACATGTTGAGTTATGAAGGTGATAATGATAATAGGAACTTTGATTTTGTTCAGTGTGTGTCCACGCCTGTGTTTCATCTTAAACAGTTTATTTGTAACAATCGATCATGTTAAAACAAAGTGATCTCTCTCTCTATTATACACACACACACACACACACACACACAGTTATATATATGTATATATGTAGCTGCATATTCACTTTGTCATGCTTGGCTTTGGTGCCAGCTGGCCAAGGTTTGCTTTTGTTATGAAGAAAAAAACTTTCTTGTGGTTTTGGCTTTTTGTCCCTTGCTGCATTCTGTTTGGTTATTGCAATCTAACGGAACTTTCCTAAGCTATTCAGGGAAAAAAAAAAAAAAGAAAAAGGAAAAGGGAACTTTGAATTTTTCTTGTACTCATTTTTGGTTAGTGATCATGGTTGGATGTGATTCTGTTTTCAGGAGAGCTGTAAGAGGTAGATACTGGCGGGGGCACAAAATCCTATAAAAATGAGTGGTTATATTGTTGGTGCGCTTGTCCCAATTGTTTTGACACTTCTCCTTCGAAATTCAAAGAAGGTGAAGAAGCGAGGAGTGCCAGCCGATGTTGGTGGGGAACCTGGGTATGCAATCCGAAACAGTCAATTTGCATCCCCTGTTGAAACAGCATGGGAGGGTATATCTACTCTTGCAGAACTTTTTGAGCAGGCATGTAAGCAACATTCCGATAAACCCTTGCTTGGAACCAGGAAACTCATTTCAAGGGAGGTTGAAGTGACTGAAGATGGAAGATCCTTTGAGAAGCTTCATTTAGGAGAATATGAATGGTTGACATATGGGAAAGCATTTGAAGCTGTGTGCAATTTTGCTTCTGGACTGGTTCAACTTGGTCATAGAAGGGAAGAACGTGTGGCAATTTTTGCTGATACAAGAGAGGAATGGTTCATAGCACTGCAGGTCGTACTTATATCTTCTGAAATTTTCTTTTAATTTTTCAAGCCTGGTAGTTTTAAGTTTTAACTGAGGTATCTCATTCCAGGTCTTTGCTTTGCCTTCCATGGATTAGAGAATATAACTGATACATGTCCTTTTTTCAGGCCTGCTTTAGGCGCAATGTCACTGTGGTGACAATATATGCATCTTTAGGGGAGGAGGCTTTATGTCACTCATTAAATGAGGTCCTCTCTCTCTCTCTATACATATGTTTGGTGCAACAAAAATTATATTTTTATATTTGTATTTAGTAACAAAATTAATATTATTATGTGCAAAATAGTAAAGTTTTGCCTGCACTAATATTTTTTATCAGTCCTTAAGAAACTACATCTGTTTGTAATTTGCTTGCCTCATTGGTGAATTGTGTTTTCTTATTTCTTACATATTTCGATAAATTGTTAAGGGTCTGCAGGTATTTGATCGACTTTTCAGCAATATTTGCTAAGTTTCTTTCTATTCATGTCTGAAATATCATATCATTAAGCTTGGTAGAATTGATATTTATAGCTAAGGTGTTATGTTGGTAATGCACTCTTCACAAGGTTAGTGAGGTAACCATACATCACAACAGTATTCCCTGCATCTTATAATGTGCAATTGAGTGGAAAAAGTGGTGATTCACTGGTTTAATTGGCTAGTAAAGTTTTTATGGTTTTCCAAATTTGTTACTCATATTTATTTATTTATACAATCTTTGTTCTGCTAGACTGAAGTTACAACAGTGATTTGTGGGGACAAAGAACTAAAAAAGCTTGTCAATATTTGTGGGCAACTTGACACTGTCAAACGTGTGATCTGTATGGACGATGAGATTCCAACTGTTGCAAGTGGTAGATGGACAATCACTTCTTTTGCTGATGTCGAGAGAGTCGGCCGTGAAAATCCTGTTGATGCTAATTTACCTCTATCAGCTGATGTTGCAGTTATAATGTATACTAGTGGAAGTACTGGGTTGCCTAAGGTTAGAAGTGTCTATTTTGGGTTTCTGTTCTCTTTTAGATTTTGTACTTAAAAATATGCATATGGTTGGTGAATCAGTAGTAGGCATGATTTTATCTTTGAGGTATGTGAAATGGTTAAGATTAGGTTTCCATATTGTTAGGCCTCTTCAAATATATCAAATTTGTACAGGGTGTGATGATGTCACATGGCAATCTACTAGCAACTGTTTCTGCGGTCATGACAATTGTTCCTGGACTTGGAAGCAAGGATGTTTATCTTGCATATCTACCCCTTGCTCATATTCTTGAATTAGCAGCTGAGGTTTGTACATTGTCTTGGATTGCATTACAAAGAATAATGGCAACTTGGTTTTGATCTGTGATTATAATTCAAATTTGTTTACACGCAGTGTGTTTAAACGTATTTGACTTTCTTTTTCCAATTGTAGAATTTAATTCCTGCTGTTGGAGGTGTCATAGGATATGGAACCCCTTTGACTCTAACTGATACATCTAGCAAGATAAAAGCAGGAACAAAGGGGGATGCCACTGTGTTAAGTCCAACTGTGATGGCAGCTGTCCCAGCAATTCTTGATCGTGTTCGAGATGGAGTGCGAAAGAAGGTTAGAAAATTTCACTTCCACAAACATATGACTTATTTATATGTATGGATAGTGAATATATACTCATTTCAATCATTATTTGAATCTTAAACTTTAGGTAGATTCTAAGGGTGGACTATCCAAGAAATTGTTTGACTTGGCTTATTCCCGTAGATTATCTGCAATAAATGGTAGTTGGTTTGGTGCCTGGGGCCTGGAAAAGTTTCTGTGGGACTTTCTTGTCTTTAAAAAGGTCCGAGCAATTCTAGGTGGTCGCATTCGATTTCTGCTATCTGGTGGTGCTCCTCTATCTGCAGATACTCAGAGATTTATCAACATCTGCCTTGGGTTAGTATGTTTCTAGCAATTTGTGTTGATCTTTATATAAAATAAATTTATGGATCCTCTGGTGCTGCTCTTTCATACACAGACACACAAGCTCACAAGCTCACAAGCAACACACAAGCATGTTTCTGTAGTTCTATAACAATTGCTGTTCTAAATTTAATTAAGGTTTGGTTTAGATGAACTGAAAATTTTATTTGCTGGTTTATAAAATATGCTATATGATTTTATAGCGATTTGACATCTAATAAAAGTTAGAAAGAAAATGATTTGCATAATTTTAATTAAAATATTGGGGCAATTTAGTCAAATGTTATAGAAAGGAAATCTTAAACAACATTGACGGAATGCAATAAGTAGGTTTTAACTACTTAACATTTTTCAACATTTTTGTAATTATAAATATTCTATTAAGTTGTTTCCAAAACAATGTACCAAAGACATGGAAAATTAATATTTTTAATTGTTTATCAAACAACACCTAACATCTAATCCAACAGAAAGGTGCTTAATCTAGATCTTGATCTGCTTGTTGATTTCTTCTGCTTTTTGTCTTAACTCATCACAGTTAACACTTGAAGTAGTGATACAATTGAAGAGAAGGGTAGAATAAACCACCCAAGGGTACTCTCAGTTTTCTTTTTTTCTTTGCTAAGCCTCTCAGATGCTAGTTGGTCCTGTACCTGGTGCTCAAAATTTTCTAAATCAGTTTCTTTGGTTAAATTTCCTATTACTTCCTCAATTACAGCTGATTTATTGAAAATATTTGACATAAAGAATGCTTGGATGGATATGTGACAGATATGTGTTTATATCTCTGGATGGGAATCTTGATTAACATAACTGAAAACAGAGATAAAAAACAATGTTTCTCTGAGTGCTATTTTATTAAAAAGAATCCCCAAATATATAGAGGAATTTATTTGTATAAAGAAACCCACAAAATCACAACACAATCATCCAAACATAGAAACAAATGAAAGACTAGAAATATAAATCCCAACAAATCAGGAAAGTGATCCTGATTTGATATCCCAGCAAATCAGGAAATTGATCCTGATTTGATACATAATCTGTCAACACTCCCCCTCAAGCTGGAGAATAGATATTTATCATTCTCAGCTTGTCAACAAGAGTCTCAAAGCTTGGTTTATGTAGTCCCTTTGTTAGGATATTTGCTACTTGTTGCTTTGTAGAACATAGGTCATACAGATCACTGCCATATGAATCATCTCTTTGATAAAATGCCTATCAACTTCCACATGCTTTGTTCGATCATGATGCACTGGATTATGAGCAATACTTATAGCAGCCTTGTCATCACAATATAGTTTCATAGGGTATTCAGCTATCATTTTCAGTTTTTCCAAAAGTCCTTCAGCCACATAGGTTCACAAGTTCCTTGTGCAAGAGCTCTAAATTCTGCTTCTGCACTAGTTCAAGCAACAACAGACTGTTTCTTGCTCCTTCATGTGACAAGATTACCCCAAACCTTCGTATAATACCCAGAGGTGGATTTTCTGTCTTCAATTGATCCTGCCCAATCTACATCTGTAAATGCTTCAACATTTCTTTGTTCATTCTTCTCAAACAACAAACCCTTAGCAGGTGTGGCCCTCAAATACCTTAAGATTCGATACACAGCTTCCAGTTGCTCTTTAAATGGAGAGTGCATGTACTGACTTACTACACTAACTGCAAAGGCAATATCAGGTCTTGTATGAGACAAGTAGATCAGTTTTCCAACCACTCATCGATATCTACCCCTATCTACCGGAATTCCTCGTTTCTTTCCAAGTTTCACATTAGGATCTATAGGTGTATCAGCTGGTTTACAGCCAAGCATACCAGTTTCCTTCAAGAGATCAACCGTATATTTCTTTTGGGAAACAATAATGTCGTTCTTGCTCCTTGCAATTTCCATCCCTAAAAAGTGTTTTAGTTGTCCAAGATCTTTAAGTTCAAATTCTTTTCCAAGAGTCTTCTTCAGCCTCTCTGTTTCTTCAGTGTCATCACCTGTCAATATAATATTATCAACATAAACTATCAAAATAGTCATTTTTTCATGTTGTGAGTGTTTGAAAAAAAGAGTATGATTAGTTTGTCCTTGGCTAAATCCAAATCTTCTTACTAACTTTGCAAAGCGATCAAACCAAGCCTTTGGTGACTGTTTTAAACCATAGAGAGACTTCTTCAGTTTGCATACCTTCTTATCATTGTTTTGCCCTGCAAAGCCAGGAGGCAAATCCATATAAACTTCTTCATCCAGCTCCCCATTAAGAAAGGCATTCTTGACATCCATTTGGTGTAATGGCTAGTCAAGATTAGCAACTAGTGAAAGCAGTACCTTTATAGTATTCAATTTAGCAACTAGAGCAAAGGTTTCAGTGTTGTCTACTCGAAAAGTTTGAGTAAATCCCTTCGCAACTAAGCAGGCCTTGTGTCTCTCTAGTTCACCATCTGAATTATACTTAATAGTAAACACCCACTTACATCCAATTGGTGTTTTTCCTCTAGGGAACTCCACAATATCCCAAATTTCATTCCTTTTCAATGCTCTCATCTCTTTAAGTACAACAGCTTCCCATTCTAAGATTTATAGAGCTTCATGAATATTTTGTGGGATTTTAGTTACTTCAATCTTTTTTATTATGGCACGGAATACAGTAGACAAACGATTGTAAGATAGATAATTGGACAATAGGTGTTGAGTGCACGATCTTACACCTTTCTTGAGTGCTATAGGTTCGTCTAGATCATCAGGTGGAGTATTCACTAGTGATGGTGCGGTAGGCACAACCATTTTTGATTGAGAATCTTGTGGATTGATATTCATTGGTGATGATGTTGTAGGCTCAGCATTTTTGATTTAGAATTTACTTGCGGATCAGATTCTTGACAATGTGGCTGGGCCAAAAAAGTTTGTATTTCCTGAGGTTGTGGTTTGTGTTGTGAATAAACACGAAGCTCTATTTTTTGTTGAGAATTAAGCATAGATGAATTTGTCCTTGTTTCCAACTTAGCTTTTATTGGTGACCTAATAGGAATAGCAGATGTTACAGGAAGTGGAATGGAAAATTCTCAAAGCCTATCTTCACCTAGTATATCCGCCTAAAGAGTTGGTTTTGGATAAAAAGGTTGATTTTCAAAGAATGTGACATCTAGTGAGACAAATGTTTGTTTTGTGGCTGGACAAAAGCACTTATACCCTTTTTGAGTAGGAGTACCCAATAAAGATACATTTTATGGCTCTAGGTTCTAGTTTCCAACGAGATGGACTTTTGTTGTGAACAAAAGATGTGCAACCAAAGACTTTTGGGGGTAAAGAAGTAAACAACATAGTTTGTGGATATGATTCAAGTAACATGTTCAATGGTGTTTTGAAATTGAGAGCTCTACTAGGAAGTTTATTGATCAAGTATGAGGTTGTTAAAATAGCATCCCCACAAAAACTTAGGAACATTATTGGTAAACATGATAGCATGAGCAACTTCTAATAGGCGACGATTTTTACGTTCTGCAACCCCATTTTGTTGGGAGGTGTTAACACAAGAACTTTGGTGAAAAATCCCATTTTCTTTTAGATAATCACCAAGAATTGAATAGAAGTATTCCCTCTCATTGTCTGTGCGGAAAATTTGGATTTGGGCTTGAAATTGTGTTTGAATCTGTAGAAAAACTAAGAAATAAATTAGTGTGAAAACTAAATGTATATTGAAAAACTGTTCTCACAGAATTATACAAGAATCTTAGGTTTATATACAACTAACTAGGGGTTAAACTGGGAAACTAAATCTTCCTAAAAAACTAATCCTATAATTAAGGGATTGTCTATCCTAATTTTTTTTTTCTTAATTCTAGGGATACAAATACTTAATTCTAGAGATACAAATATAAATATACAGATTACAAGATTACAACCAGCTGTAAATAAGTGTTTTCCCACACTCCCCCTCAAGCTGGTGAATAGGTATTTTTCATTCCCAGCTTGGAAATAATTTCTTGAAATGTTGTAATGTTGAGACCTTTAGTCAACACATCTGCAAGTTGACCCTTGGTTGATACATAAGGTGTACAAATCAACCCACTGTCTAGTTTCTCCTTTATGAAATGCCGGTCTACTTCAATGTGTTTTGTTCTGTCATGTGGCATAGGATTGTGTGCAATGCTTATTGCAGACTTATTATCACAGTAGAGTCTCATTGGTCCATCCCACTTGATCTTCAAGTCTTCTAGGATAATCTTTAACCATAGTAGTTCACAAATTCCTTGAGCCATTGCTCTGAACTCTGCTTCAGCGCTTGATCTTGCCACCACATTCTGTTTTTTACTCTTCCAAATCACAAGATTACCACCTAAAAAAGTGCAGTAGCCTAAGGTGGATCTTCTATCAGTTACTGAACCTGCATAATCAGCATCTGTATATGCTTCTAGAACTAACCCCGAATTTCTTTTGAATAAGATACCTCTCCCAGGATTGGCCTTCAAATAGTATAATTTACGGTAGACAGCCTGTAGGTGCACTTTTTTAGGACTATGCATAAATTGACTTACCACACTTACAACATATGTTATATCAGGTCTAGTATGTGAGAGATAAATGAGTCTTCCAACTAATCTTTGGTAGATCTCTATTTACAGTAGCATCTTCATTAGCTTCTCCAATTTTATGATTAGGATCTATAGGGGTATTTGTAGGTCTACATGTGAGCTTCTCAGTTTCCTTCAGAAGATCCATTACATATTTCTGTTGTGAGATGAAGATACCATGCCGCGAGTGAGCTACTTCAATTCCTAGGAAGTACTTCAATCTCCCTAGCTCTTTTATTTCAAATTCTCTAGCCAAACACTGTTTTAGAGATTCTCTCTCTGTTTCATCATCTCCAGTTACAATTATATCATCAACATATACTAATAAAACTGTGACTCTTCTTGAATCAGAGTGCTTGATAAACAATGTGTGATCTCCTTGACTCTGTTTATATCTCATTGCTAGCATCATTTTGGCAAATCTCTCGAACCAAGCCCTAGGAGACTGTTTGAGGCCGTATATAGCTTTTTCAGCCTGCATACTTTGTTTGCTTCTAAATGATCTCCAAATCTCGGTGGAACCTTCATATATATTTCTTCTTCCAAATCACCATGTAGAAAAGCATTCTTTACATCAAATTGTTGAAGCTGCCAATTGTAATTTGCAGCTATGATAACAAAATCCTAATTGTATTCATCTTGGCAACTAGAGCAAAGGTTTCCTGATAATCCACTTCTTAGGTTTGGGTGTAGCCCTTAGCCACTAACCTGGCTTTATACCTTTAAACAGTACCATCTGCCTTGTATTTTACAGTGAAAACTCATTTACACCCTATTGGATTTTTTCCTTTAGGCAACTCTACCAGTTCCCATGTCTGATTTTTCTCTAAGGCCTCCATTTCTATTTTCATGGGTTGCCTCCATTTCTCACTGGATAATGCCTCGGATAATGTAGTTGGAACAGAAATAGTGTTTAAGCTCACAAGAAAATTTTTATGGGATGGTGAGAATTTTTCAAATGACACAAAATTAGAGATTGGGTATAGTGGATGCTTAGTACATTCTCTGGTTCCTTTCCTAATGGCAATAGGCAGATTATAATCACTAGTTATAGTTTTAGAAAATTTATGCTCATTTTGAGAAACAGAATCAAAAACTGTAGTTACCTCATTTCCAGAGTTAGGATCAGGTTCTTGGATTGGCACTGGTTCAGGATCTGGAACTTTCCTTCTTGAGTACACCTGTAATTCCTTCATAGAATCAAGAACAATATTATCCTTTGTCACATCTTCTGTATTTGGAATGGGTTCAGACTCAAATTCAGTGTTTGACTTGGGCTCAGTAGAAACAGGTTTCGACTCAGAAGAATTAATGGGTGTAAATGTTGAAGAAGGGGATAAATCAAGCAAAAAGAAGTCTTTATCCTTATCTTCCATGAATGAAGTCTCCCCCTGAAGATAAGGTTGAGTAAAAAATGGTTTACTTTCTTCAAAAGTGACATCTGCAGACACAAAATTTTTTGGTAAGAGGATGATAGCACTTATATCCTTTTTGAGTTGAAGAATACCCCACAAAAATACACTTAATCGCTCTTGGATCCAACTTTCCCCCGTTATGACTGTGAACATGAACAAATGATGTACAACCAAATATCCTAGGTGTGAGATTGTTTGTGGTATTGAGGTTGGGATAAAATTGTGAGAGTAGTTCCATAGGAGTTTTAAATCCCAAAACCCTTAAAGGTAACTTATTTATAATGTGTGTGGCAATGAGAACAGCTTCCCCCCAGTAAGATTTAGGTACATTTGCTTGAAAAAAAAAAAGCTCGGGTTGTGGCTAGTAAATGACTGTTTTTCCTCTCTGCCACTCCATTCTGCTGTGGAGTATTAACACAAGATGACTCATGGATAATCCCCTCTTTTTGAAAATAGGTGGATAGACTCTGGTTGAAGTAGTCTCTTGCATTATCAGACCTTAATCTCTTGATTGTCACTCCAAATTGATTTTGGATCATGTTTTGGAAACTTAAAAACACATTATTCACATTTGATTTGGATTTAAGTAAAAAAACCCAAGAGAGTCGGGTACAATCATCTATGAATGAAACAAACCATCTCGCACCAGAAATATTAGGAATTGTAGAAGGACCCCAAATGTCACTATGAATCAAGTAAAAGGGAGTAGAACTTCTTTTGTTACTGATTGGAAAAGACACGTCTATGCTTTGCAAGTTCGCAAACATCACAATGAAAATCTTCGACATTTAATCCTTTGAACAAAGAAGGAAACATGTTTCTCAAAGTTCCAAAAGAAGGATGCCCAAGGCGAAAATGATAAAGCCAGATTTTGTCTTTATTGGAAGATTTTTCAGAAAGAAATGACAAAGGTAAACTATTCTTGATATTACTTGTGTTATTTGATGTCTCAAGATAGTATAGTCCATCCTTCTCCTTAGCAAGTAATCATTTTCCCTGAACTCTGGTCCTGAAATTCACAATAAGAGGGATAAAAAGTTACTTTGGAATTCATATCTCAGGAAAGTTTTTGTATAGATATCAGATTAGTAGACAATCTAGGAACATGAAGAACATTTTTGAGAACAAATGAGGGATTAACTTGAACATCTCCTAATCTTGCCACTATAGTAAATGAACCATCTGCAACAACAATTTTCTTATTACTAGGACACAGGTTATATGTACTAAACTTTTGTGAGGAATGTGTCATATGGTCTGTGGCTCCTGAGTCAATGACCCAAGAACTCGTAATAGGCTTAGCCGAGACATTTAATCCATGAGAACCGGAAGCTTTACCTGAACTAGAAACCTTACCCAAAGAACATACCACAGTAGGCTTTTCAAGGATTTTCAATAAGTTTCTCAGCTTTTCAATCTCTTCCCTGTCGAAATCTCTTTGTTTTTGAGACATCTGTAGTACTTCAGTGATTTTTCCAGTTGACATTTCCTCAAATTGGGTGTTAGTGATATCTTTCTTTGAAAGGGTTCGGCAATGAAGGCCAAAACAAGAAGTCAGCAATGAAGGCTGAAAATTTTGCTTCCCAAGAAAAGCCTAAAGCTCTGATACCATGTAGAAAAACTAAGAAAATAAATCAGTGTGAAAACTGAATGTATATTGAAAAACTGTTCATATAGAATTATACAAGAATCTTAGGTTTATATGCAACTAACTAGGGGTTAAACTAGGAAACTAAATCTTCCTAAAAAGCTAATCCTATAATTAAGGGATTGTCTATCCTAATTTTTTTTTTCTTAATTCTAGGGATACAAATACTTAATTCTAGAGATACAAATATAAATATACAGATTACAAGATTACAACCAGTTGTAAATAAGTGTTTTCCCACAGAATCATTTGTGAAATAGTTGAAAAATTGCCTTAGCACTAGACTTGTCTTTTAATAAGTAAACCCAAATGAACCACCTAGTTTCAGTTATGTTATTTTCCCGTGAAGGTCCCTAAATATCACTATGAAGTAAAGAAAAAGGTTTAGAAAATCTATATGGATGATTAGGATAAGGAACATGAGTGTGTTTGGCAAGTTGACAAGTTTCACAACGAAAGGAATGGACATCTTTATTCTTAAAAAGAGAAGGAAAAAGAGTTTTTAGATATAGAAAACTAGGATGTCCTAATCTATTGTGCCATAACATAATTTCACTAGAAACAGAAATAGATTCACCATTTAGAGCCAAAGCTTGTTTATTCACTTGTTGAGGATCCTCAAGGTAGTACAAGCCTTGATGCTCCTTAGCATTGCCAATTGTCCTTCCCGAAAGTAAATCTTGAAACTCACAATATGAAGGATAGAACTTAGCCACACAATTCAAGTCCTTCGTCAATTTACTACTAGACACTAAATTACATGCTAAATTAGGAACATGCAAAACTGAAAATAGTGTCATATTAGAAACTTTAATGTTTCCTTTTCCTGCAATAGAGGATAGTGATCCATTAGCAATACGAATCTTAAGGTTTCCAGAACATGGATTATATGTTGAAAACAATTCATGGCATCCAGTCATATGGTTGGATGCCCCAGAATCTATAATCCAAGATTTCTTAGAATCTGATTTTGCATCCAAAGAAGAGAGATAGTTACCTTTTTGTGCAATTTTGCACTTTGGAGTAAGTGCAGTAATTGTTTCAGAAGTTACCTCTGATCTACTCTCTTGAGAGGCACCAGTTATGGCTGTTTTGGCCATTAGAAAAGTAAAAACAAGAGCAAACCTTGCTCTAATACCATGAAAACAGAGATAAAAAACAATGTTCTCTGAGTGTTATTTTATTAAAAAGAATCCCCAAATATACAAAGAAACCCACAAAATCAGGACACAATCATCCAAACATAGAAACAAATAAAAGACTAGAAATATAAATCCCAACAAATCAGGAAAGTGATCCTGATTTGATATCCCAATAACTCAGGAAATTGATCCTGATTTGATACATAATCTGTCAACAATAACATGACAATTTAGCAACAGGAGTTATTCCTTCTGAATCATCTGATTTGGATTAATTTCAGTTCAGTGCATTTATTTCAACTGTAATTCTAATTTCTACCTAAAGTAATCAGATGAAGAATGGTGCTTTATTGCTAAATTCACATGGCACATTTATTGAAGTTGGCAATTATTAGAAATAAGCTTCTCTAACAGTTGATGGCATCATGTTATGCTTCCAAACAATTTGGACCAATTCTGATAGCTTTGAGGAACTGTAATATTGTAGTGGATGTCTTTGAAAATTTTAGAAGTTATTAATTTGATTTTTCAAATGAAAGCTTCTTAAGAAACCAAGTCACCAAAGTGATGCGTTTGAATTAACCAAAAAAAAAAAAAAGTGTGCAGGAAGATTCTTTGTATGGAAGGTCATTTTTTTTTTTTTAAATCTTAGATGGTAAACTCGAAATAGATATACAATTAGCTTATACAATATAACAATAACAAAAAAATGCATGGGAGGACAAATAGGTTCTTAGTGGGTGAACACCATGGAGATGCTACCATCAGCAAGGATACTGACAGTTATCTTTCTTTTGCACAGTTTTATTTAATTTTGTAAGTATCATACTCTCATTGGATTTCTTTTTTCAGTGCTCCAATTGGCCAAGGATATGGTCTAACTGAGACTTGTGCTGGTGCCACCTTCTCTGAGGTTGATGATACATCTGTTGGTCGTGTTGGTTCTCCGCTTCCTTGCTCCTTTATTAAGGTAAGAGATGATTATGATTATTTTTCACTAGTTTGAGTGGGATGACTTTTGACCAGCTCTTGTGCTTTGCTTTAATATTTTAAGGGACTCTGTTTATATATTTGCTTTTCTTCACTATCTATTGGTTAAATTTTGTGTCTCTCCCTTTGAAACCAACCCAATAGGTTATTTTAATTTTCTCTTAAATATACAAATCCATGAAAATGTTGAAAATCCCTTTATACTGGTTGAAACTGGAAGCTTTGAGAATGGATCTCTATGGTATTGGTAGTTGATGTTATTGGCAGTGGTAAGCAATAAGTCCCTATTTGCAATTTTCCATGTGAATGTTTTTTGCTCTGCATCACTTTGCTTTTGGTATCATACAGACCCAGTGGTAAGTCTGTTGCCTAAAAGCACTGCCTATCTGAGCTTTGTTTCCTGTGAATACATGGCATCTATGTGTGTTTTTGCACGTGTCGCCGAACCTATTTGTGATCAAAGCTTCATTTTCTCCTTGCTCTCCATTTTCTATAGGATTATGTTGTGGGATTATTGCTCTGCTCATCTCATACTGATGTGATTACATTTTGTTTATTTCAGTTAGTAGATTGGCCTGAAGGTGGATATTTAACTAGTGATTCACCAATGCCTCGTGGAGAAATAGTGGTTGGTGGTCCGAGTGTAACACTTGGATACTTTAAAAATGAAGAAAAAACAAAAGAAGTGTACAAGGTAGGCTTTCAAACTTTCAGTTTATGCGTTCCTTTTCTTTATCTCTTCAAATTTTAAGATTACCTACAATAGATCCTGTACCTATAATAAATCAATAAATCATGTCTTTCTTTCCTCTCTATCTCTCAGTGAACTGACTATTTTAATCTTTGGGTGTGGAAAAGGTTGATGAGAGAGGAATGAGGTGGTTCTATACAGGTGACATAGGACAGTTTCATGCTGATGGTTGCCTTGAGATAATTGACCGTAAAAAGGACATAGTCAAAATTCAGCATGGGGAATATGTCTCTTTAGGAAAGGTATGAAAGGATGTTTCTAGTGAAACAAAGATGTTCTTCAGATGTTCCACGGTAACTAATATTTTCTTCTACAGGTTGAGGCTGCTCTCAGCATCAGTCCCTATGTCGACAACATTATGTTGCATGCTGATCCATTCCATAGTTACTGTGTGGCTCTTGTAGTGGCTTCCCAGCATGCAGTGGAAGAGTGGGCTTCAAAGAAAGGAGTTGCTTTTACTGATTTTGCAGACTTGTGTCAGAAAGAAGAAACCATCAAGGAAATACATTCGTCTCTCGTTCAGGTATTTCTCTACTCTAGAATAAAATTCCAGTGATTTGAAATTTATCCTGATGTTAGGAAATCTTCAAATTTATCCAAACAAATAATAATAATAAAAGAAAGATTTAAGCGAGGAGGTCGCATGTATATATATATTTATTTACCTTTGTAACAAATTGCTACAATTTATGCTCTTTGCTTTTTACATATTGAAACAAATTCTTTAAACTTGGAGAACTATCAAATGGCGACATTTGCTTTACCATGTGTTTATGATCACTCATTTATGATAATACGTTTTGTACTCATCTATTTATGGTAATTTAAGGATTCTTTGTTCAAGTACTGGTTTAACTTTGACGTAGTTGGTAAAGAAAGTTTGAAGAAAGTTTGAATTGGCATGTACTTTCACATATAAGCAGAGATATCGTATTCCCTTTACTTTGAACATACCCTTTGGGTGTCTGATGGGGATGGTAGTGAACAGTTATGCTGCCACAAGAATCAAGGCTGCTAATAATTCAATTTTACTTTTTCACTGCTTCTTTTTCCCCCCCACCTCCCACCCCTACCCTTCCTTTCCTCCACTGCTTTTATTTGCAGATTGCCAAGAAGTCACGATTGGAGAAGTTTGAGATTCCTGCAAAAATCAAATTGCATTCTACTCCTTGGACTCCAGAATCTGGCCTTGTCACTGCAGCTCTCAAGATCAAGAGAGAGGCCATTAGAAAAGCTTTCTCCGAAGACCTGGCTAAGTTATATACGTAATATTTTTAAGACTTGATGCTTTTACTGGTGACTTTGCCAATCTTGATGAATGGGAAGACTAGTTCACCATGATATGATGAAACCTAGACTTTCTCATTCCTTCTGTCTTATAATTTTTTCATTTTTAATTCATGTTTTGTTCCAAAGAAACTATAAAAACACTGTTTTTTGATTGTCTTCAGGCAGGGTTATTAGATACAAATCTCTTCTCTTGGTTAACCTGTTACTCTTTCGAATAAATGTGAAGGCTTCGGCCAAAAAGACATAAGTTGCAAATATCTGATTAGGCTGAGTTCTTCTCTTTGTCTGAATTGCATTCTAATGTTGTGGGGGTACATTAAGAGATCTAAGCTTAATGAAAACTGAAATTGTAATCATGTTATGTAATAATGAAGAATAGATTTTGCTTAGTTTAGGAGGAAAGGGGAACATAAGTAATGAGTAGGAATGGGCTTGGTTTGGGGAGCCCCATAATGCACCGTACATGATTTACCCATTTCATCTGTTTGACTTACCTGTATTAATCCAAACTCCAAAGGCATAAAAGAAGGAAATGCCAAGTGGATTTTGGTTGAAGAGGTCAAGCAGTCTAGAAACTAGGTTTCTAAGCAAAATAAATTAAAAAGGAGAGATTTGGTGTTTCAAGGAAGATTACATCTTAATATCCGGTCCAAATATCTCATCAGGAGTCAATGCTCGAAGCTTTATGGCATTACTGATTTTGTTATCATAATGTCTATCAAATGAAAATACTTCTGGACGTTTTTTTAATTTTTGTAAAAATGAAAAAACAATAGCAGTTATAGAACGCATCCTTCTGTAGGATGAAAAGTCTCTAATCGGGCACCAAATGGACCCTAAGAAAAACAGTTCAACGCGGGAAAGGAGACGCACAGCCACAATCCCTCGGCTAAAATTTGGGTCCATCATGATTATGATGTGATACTTGACTCTAAGCCAACCGAAATTGGAAACAGCCCCTTCTTCTCCCCATGTGACTATTACTTTGATTGTTTCTCTTCACTTTTTTGAACCCTTTTTGAATGTGATTTTCATGGACGCTTCATCGTCTTCCTTCGTTCTTTTTTTTTTTTTTTTTTTTTTTTCACTCATTTAAGATTTTTTTTTTCTTTTCCTTTTTTCATTTCCCTTTACACACGTATATATGCACGAACACAAAAAATAAATGTCCATGAGGGAATGCTTGCACTAGTGGCAAAATTAGGAAAAGAGAATAGAAAACATCAAAGGAGTTTTTTTTAATGATGTAAATTCCCAATGAAAGTTAAATAAAGTTAATTAAAATTGTTAAATGGAAGTTGGTATAATTCACTCACTTTCTCAACGACATGTAATTTTTTTTAATATTTGAAATTATGAAAATTGAATCCCAATTATTAAAATTATAAATTTAATGTTTTATTAATAGATCATATAATTATTGATAATTATAAATAATTTTCTTATACAATATAGTTTGAAAAAAAAAAGTTGTGAGAACCTAAATTGCAAAAGGTTTTAAGATGTTAGGATGTTAAAAATAAAATATTATAGTGCTAGCTTGATTACTTTTGAAAAAAGAAAAATTAATGGGTAATATGATAGACCTAATTGAAAAGTAAAAGTCCAATTAATGCATGGCAATTTGTCAAATAGCAATACTTTTGGAAACCTCAAGTTGAGAAGATTCATGGCAAGGACTAAAAAACAGGTGCTATTCCACCATCATATGTCTTGGGCAAGACCAATTCCCTACATCTTGTGCCTTTACGTGGCCTCAAAACCAATTGGGAGTCTCAACAGTTGACTTAATCCACAGTCACAAACCAAGCACCAACCTGTTTTTCTAGAGTCTTGGGTTTTAGCAAACCAACTACTAAATCTAGCAGACTGTGGAAATCCCACCCACAAGTTGGGTAAAAAGTATACATATTAATCTCACCAACATATTGGGAAAATAATCATAGAAACTGTTGTCTAATCCTTGAGCAAATCAAGATTATTTATTATAACTCTTTTTTTTTTAATTTTCTCTTTTATTTTGTCTAGCTCATAAATGGGTCTGTAACGCCAATATCGTTGAACATTTTTCAAAGTAAATTGGGTGGTTAAAAGAATTGGCTTCAAAGTAGATCAATGTCCCTGGCATAGCTAGACGGATGGATGGATGGATGGCTATCCAAAAACCCACTGCCCGCTGATATGTTGGTGTGGGACCAATCTCATGATGATCTTACTGACATTCTCCACAATATAAGCCATCATACAGACAACAACTCAACTCCTTTCTAATTTCTCTCTCTTAAAGAGTTCTCGTTTCCTCCCTTTTGCTCTCTCTTCATTACAGTAATAGCCCCATACTATCATGAATGGGTACAGGGAAGACAATTCATGCTGCTATTTCCATCCTACAGAAGTTGTTATTGGGGTTTGCCCTTTGTGCTTAAATGAGAGGCTTCTTATCTTAGCTTCAAAGCAAGGCCAACGCTCTTCATCATCCAGCAGAGGCAGCCATAGATTAATTCAAGGTGTTTCACAAAAGAAACCTCCCATTAACCTTCCCAAGATCTTTGCTTTAGGTTCACTTCTCAATCGTCTTGAGTTCAAGCATTGGAAATCTGAAAATTCTGATGATCATGATGCTTCAACCAGTCAAGAAGGTACTACCCATTTAATTTCTTCCCCTCTCTTACTCTTTTCCTTGTTCAGACTGTTCATGCAAAAAACAGTTTTTTTTTTTTTTTTTTTTATGTGTTCTTGAATTTGCATCAACAGAAGGAAAAACAATTAAATCAAAACATGACATGAAAAAGATATGCATCACATGCATGCATGTGTGTCTTTATGTGTAAAATTATTGTTTGTGTAATGACAAAAGTGTGGTCAAAGTATGGCAGAACTGGAAATCAAGAATCTTTTCCTGTTTTCTTCTGTTTCCTCTGGATTTTTTTCCCCTTTAATAATGTTATAGAAAGTAATTCCCTGTATAACTGATAGCAGTTACCCAACATAAAAATGTGTGTTTGTTTGTGTGTTTTACATGGAATTAGTAGTGAAAAGTTTTATATTAACTGCAAAATATGTTTGGCAAGAATGAATGCCATTAATAATTGTTTGGAAATCCAATTATTAACTCTGCAGATAATTTATGTATATTGGCTTTAGTTCCTGACAGTTTCTGCAAAATCTACAGAACTTGGTAGGTAATGCAAACAGAAAACTTCCGAACTTTCCTGTATTATTCCAGATGTGACCAAAACAACATTACCATTTAATTGTTGGATCATGCAAATCATTCGGCTTCCTAGTAGAAACGAAAATAATAAAGACAACAAATATCATACAAATTCATCTAATCTGAAATCCACGGAGGGACCCCTTCCATTTCAATTCTTGCTAATCATGTCCTCAGCATATAAAATTTTGGTAAAGATGGCTTTCCTTTTTCTCTTTCATTTTTTTTTTTTTTTCATGCTGTATTTTGGACATTGCTTTAGTTTTACAAATTTTGAGGATGTACTTATCATGTATGTCATGTAGAAATAAAAGTTGTTACTTTTCCTTAGCTTTCGATTTTCCCTTTCATTTTCTTTTTGTACTTTATATTATAGTAATAAACCTTTGGAACCCTTCTTCAGCACCAAATTTTACTTTTGCAGACTCCTTCATCTCAATCAAGTTTGAAGAGAATGGTGTTGCCTCATGGGAAAAGGGCACAGTTTCTAAGGTCTCTCTTGAGCATTGCAGCATGTCCTGGCACCCCACCTTGACCAAGGACAAGGAACAAAAGGAGACCAATAAGAGTGTGATAGAGCATGTCAAACCACGTGCATCGCTCAGGTGGCGAAAGCGGATTGGCCATTTGTTCCAACTCATCAGGTGGAAGAGGTCCAGCAAGGCCAATGTGTGCCACATGGGCAGCAAGGTAGAGGGAGTCAAGGTGATGAGGAAGGGTTGGATAAGGACTCTAACAAAGAGGGCCAAAGAATAGAGGAGTTTTTTTGTATAGAAAGGGACACTACGGCTTTTCCTCCATACCAATTTGTGTGTAGGGGCTCTCTTTTGTGACTGTAAAGTTCTATATAATTGAGATGGTAGAGTCAAAATATACTTTATCACCCGAAAGTGATTTGGCTTAAAGTTCATTGCCTTGTTGTATTCTATTCTTAATTCTGATAGACAGAACAAGCTGCAAAACGATTGTTACAATTTGCCCCTCTTTTGAGATTGGCTTAAATAAGGGCACATTCCTAATACGAAAGAAATATTTGTATTTTTTCTCTCCATACTGATCTTTGGAGTGCAAAAGCAAAAACCCCCATGTCATGTGCACGAAGTGAGGAACATTGGAGCATAATTTCACAGGGTCCAAGGGTAACATGCCCCAAAATATAGTGCTAAAACTTGTTTTATTATTGTCTTGGTGGGAGAGAAACTTGTTCCTTCTTTTAATCTCTAAACTAATTAAGTTATAGTCTAGAGAGTCATCAAATCCTCTAGTGTCCATAACATGCTTCATAAACTAAAAATTTCTCATCATTGCTCTAGGAGATTTCTGCCCCATGTGCCAGTCATTAAGCTTATGCAAAGTACCCAGCAGGCCTCTGTGTTTGTTCAGAAAGACCCTTCGCCAGGGCAATTTGTCCCAAGTTCTAACTCTTTAGCAAAGGGACCATTGCACTTAGGACCACAAATAATGTTAAGAAAAGCCTAAAATGGAGAGGTCGAAAATGACAAGACTAAATCTTCACCCCATCTCCGTCTGCACATTATCAGAAGAAGAAGATGAAAGAATCATGGCTGCATTTGTTTCAAAGGAATATGTCACTAGACTTTTCCTTTTCATTGGCCTGTAAATTAAGTAGTCGTAGTATATATTTATTCATCAATTGCTAAATAAATAATTTTTTTCGACTTAATTTGGAAATTATTAAAATTAACTGTTGTTCCTCCGTCATTTGCCACTGAGGAGGACTAGTTGAGGCATTTTTCAAGCTGAACAACTTAAAAGGCAAAGAGATTGGAAAGTACAAAATGGGTACGTTGACAAACATTGAAGAATTCTTAGTACTCTGCAATACAATTCCCATTGGCTGACAGAAGACTTTGAAAACAAGAATTTTGTAATCCTATATTGAATAGCATTTTCCATTTTTTCCCCTTTGGATTGACTGCTGAGGGGCGAAGTGGTTAAGTGTTACGAATTATGCTTTTTTTGATAGACCGTGCGACATTTAAATAGACATTTTTCACATAAATAAGTTAAGATAGTTTGAAATATGAACAGGCAGTAAGTAAGCCATAAACTAATTTCAATGATGTGCAACGATACATTGAGACATAATGTGTGCACACCAACATGACCTCTAGTGCCCTGAAACAAAAAATGCTTAATTGATAGCAATGAGACTACAACGATTACAAAAGAAGCATCGAGTTTTTCCACTATTGTTGGGTTAGATGGATAGTCTAACACATATCTTAATTAGTGAGGCAGCCTAATAATTTGCAGACTACTCACCCCCTTTAAAGAGCTTAAGAACTTTTACACCTATACTACCAAGAACTATTGCAATATTTGAAATGGAACACTTTTTCTTAGCACATGAGATCTACCCTCCTTTTTAATGGCTTTATACAAGAATGGCTCATGACATCCTATGCTTGGTCATGCTTTTACATAAAGGTTGGCTCATGATATCTTCCCTCACTAAATCTATTGATGTCCTCGTTGACTTGCTGGCCTAAAATTCTTTAATCTTTTGTTTTAGGGCTTGGAGGTCATGGTCTCTTTCGCAATTGATCTATTTTGATCCTAAGCCATCCTACTTCTCTAAGTACTCTTTGATGGGTTTTCGAGACACTATGGTTAGCCTATTTGCTAAAATCCCCTCCACTTGACGTTATGATGGTGGCTTCATATTGATTGCGGTCCTGGTGGTTTTATTGCAACTTGCATTGTTGGGATTTGTATGGTAAAGCTTCAGGTCGCTCACATAAAATACTTGATGCATTTTCATCCATTTAGGTGAGTCAATTTTGTAGGAAGCATTCCCCACCTTAGAAAAGATCGTTACTAGACCTTCATACTTATGCACCAATCTATGATTTCACTTTCTTAAGAATCTAGATTGCTTGGGCACCAACCTAACAAGTACAAGGTCACTAACCTTGAAATGTTATGCCTTTTCACCTTTATCTGCCTATTTTTTCATGCATTTTAATGCCTTTTTTAGATATGTTTAAGCAATCTCTGTATTTTGTTTCTATTCTTTAGTGAGGTTAAAGGCTCATGAACTTTTCCTTTGATAGGGCTCTAGAGTGGTGTGGGGTAGCCTCAATTGTTGCCTAGTGACTACTTCAAAAAGACTTTTGTCGGTGAAGAAACTCTTATTGGAATTAAAACAAAACTAAGCCACATCCAACAAAAGGGGCCAATTCTTTTGATTAGCTTGCACAAAATGCCTCAAGTACTCTTCTATTAAACCATTGACTTGTTTGGTTTGTTCATTTGTTTGTGGGCAATAGCTTGAAGAGATATTATGTTAAGATCCAAATAGCTTGAAAAGTTCTCTCTAAAATGACCTAGTGAATCTAGGATCCTTGTCATTGATGATGTTTGTGGACATCAAATTTGTCCAAACAAAAAAATACAGAATACGAAATTAAAAAAAAACAAAAAATAATACAAAATACCAAAAAAATACAAAAAAATAAAAAAATAAAACAAAAAAAATTGAGGATGGCAGTGGTACCTTCCCTGACACCACTACCACCAGGCTCTACCCTCCACCCTTTTGATTACCCATCTCGCTGACAGCCACTACCCTCACTGTCAAATAAGACAAAAACAAATAATAGGACATGGGGCTCATGCTTACACCCTATATCGAGCCTTGTGCCTTTCCCTTAAGCACACGCACGGTCGGAGCTTTATAAATAGAGCTCTTAGCCAAACCAAAAAACACATAGAGGAGGAGAGATGCTGTAAAAAAAATGAAAAAAAACACTACAAAAAAAAAAAATACAGTCCTTCCTGTAGGGAGAAACCCAACGCCGAGAGCTTCTTGCACAAAGAAGAAAAAAAAGGTCAGTTTAAAAAAAAGAGTCAGAATACAAAAAAAAAATAGTTTCACCAAAACTTTAAAAATAGATCTAGGAAAGTGGGGACTCTTTTTGATGAAAAGAAGGTCGGATCTAGGTTCAGGAGGTCGAAAGGAGTTTGTAGGTATATTTTTAAAATTTTTCGACACCGATGAATGCCACCGAAGCTCACCGCCAGCAAGGACTGCGGCGGCCGTCGCGACAGACGGCCACCTGCCCAAGTCGACTGAAAAAAAAAAGAGAAAAAAAGAAGGTTTTTTTTTTACAGAAAGGAAGAAATGACCAAAAAAAAATTTTGAATTTTTATATAAACTGTCGATAGCCAAAATGATGTTGTTTCAATAAACGCCCAAAACAACATCGTTTTAAGCATCTAGGATCCGCGCGTCAAGCCACACCCTACTCGGGGTCCGCGCACCCGACTCAAGTCCTGTTTTTCCATCAGCCTCTGATCGATCTGACTGAACCAAAGTTGAACCATTGAACCCGAACCGAACCGGTATCGAACCGCTGAACCAACCAGACCGTTCTCAGACTGAGTCAAACTGCACCGAAACCGTTGGACCGAATCGTCGAACCAAACCTCCCGTGACCGGTTCAGTTCAAGTAAAAAAAATTTTTTTTTTAAATTTTTTTAAAAATATTATTTTGATTATTTTAATTATTATTTTATTAATATTTATGCATATCAAAATATTTATATTTGATAGATTAAATGATGAAATATTTTTTTTATAATTTTGTTAATTTTTAAAATGAACCTTTTTCAAGATAAAATTTTTAAAATTGTTAAGCCTCTTTTGAGATGAATCTTTTTCAGATTTTAAATTTTTAAAAGTTGTCGAGCCTCAAGTGAGATAAATATTTTTGATTTGAAAAAAAAACTTTTTGAGTAGTCTGTATTAAAAAAAAAAGAGAAAAAAAAATCTATTTGGATTCTGGACAAAATTGTTATCTTTGTCTTTGCCATATTATTGATTATCAGCAATGTGCAAAGAGGGAAGTTGTAGACATCGAATTTGTCTAGACAAAAAAATACAAAATATGAAATATAAAAAAAACAAAAATAATACAAAATACCAAAAATAATACAAAAGAAATAAAAAAAATTGAAGATGGCAATAGTGCCTTCCCCGACACCACTGCTACTAGGCCCTACCCTCCACCCCTCTGATCACCCATCCCGCTGACAACCACTACCCTCACTGTCAAATAAGATAGAAACAAATAATAGAGCATGGGGCTCGTGCTTACACTCCATGCCGAGCCCTGTGCCCTTCCTTCAAGCACACGCACGATTGGAGCTCTATAAATAGAGCTCTTAACCAAACAAAAAAAATACATAAAGGAGGAGAGACGTTGTAAAAAAAATAAAAAAAATACAGTCCTCCCCATAGGGAGGAACCCAGCGTCGAAAGCTTCCTGCACAAAAAAGAAAAAAAAGTTAGTTTAAAAAAAAAGAGTCAGAATACAAAAAAAATAGTTTCATTGAAGCTTTGAAAGCAGATCTAGAGAAGTGAGGACTCTTTTTGATGAAAAGAAGGTTGGATATGGGTTTAAGAGGTCGAAAGGAGATTGTGGGTATATTTTTAAAATTTTTTGGCACTGATGACAGCAACCAGAGCTCACAATTGGCAACGACTGCGGTGATTGTAGCGACAGACGGCCACCGGCCCAGATCAGTTGAAAAAAAAGAAAAAAAAGGTTTTTTTTTTACAGAAAGGAAGAAATGACCAAAAGAAAATTTAGGCTTTTATATAAGCTATCAATAGCCAAAACGACGTTATCTCAATAAACGCCTAAAACGACATCGTTTTAAGCACTCAGGATTCACGCGTTAACCCGCGATCTGACCCGTTCGCATAACTGACCTGCAACCCATTTCTCTATCAGCCTCTGACCGATCTGACTGAACCGAAGCTGAATTGTTGAACCCGAATTGAACCGATACTGAACCGGTACCGAACCGCTGAATTGATCAGATCGCGTCCAGATCGAGCCGAACCGCACCTGAACCTCCTGTTGATCGGACTGTTGATCGATCCGGTTTAGGTAAAAATTAAATTTTTTTAGAATTTTTTAAAAATATTATTTTGGTTATTTTAATTATTATTTTATTAATATTTATGCATATCCAAATATTTATATTTGATAGATTAAATGATGAAATATTTTTTTTATAATTTTGTTAATTTTTAAAACGAACTTTAAAAATAAAAAAATAAACTTAATAATAATACCAAAATAATAAAAATGCAAGAAAA